TTGTAGGCGTACATTTATGTGGTGGAAGCTAATAATGTCATCAGCTGGAATAGGTAAGATTTAATTTAAAGTAATTAAAAGCTTCTTATGCCCCTCCCGATATAGGTTTCCAATGCTCCCTAGCTCTGCATTTTGTCCTGAGGAAGGCTTTGGGAGCCTTGGGATGAGGGTAGGGAGAGCCTTTAATCACCACCAGATAGCTAGGTGAATAATTTGCCATTTCACATTACTGTACTTCATTAACTTTATTGGGAGCTATAAGAACAGTCTTCCTTACAGAACAACTTTGGTTTAGCACATTCAAAGAGACCATTTGGTTAATGTTCACAGTGGAAAGTTTTCCCTTTCTTGCTGAAACATTATATGGGTAAGGACTTACAAAGATACACAATACATAGAATACTAAAGCTGAAGACTTCTGGGGAGCACAAAACCTTTCTAGCCTCTGTTGTATTCCCAGTCTAAAAAGACCATGAAAGCCAATAAAGAGGAATTAATATTATTTACTGGAGTAGGTACCGGTAATGAGTTAGAGCTTCCCACAAAAGCCTTTGTATCTTCTTTAGAGTTCATCAAGAATTTTAAGTATCTCTCTGACATTTGCACTAATGGATTTCTGATTTTTAAATCTCTGGAGACTTGAGAGCTATAGAAAATCTAGAGGTAAACTGTGTCAATTAAAAACAAACTTGCATGACTCAAGGACAGAATTAAAAAACAAATATTATAAGAATTTGAAAAACCTTAACTTTAACGACTGATAACAAACCTCAGACAACTTGTTAGGGAGTATTGGAAGATTAGCTCTGAGTCATTTAAAAAGAAATGTTCACTTTCGTTTTTATTTGCAAAAATGGAAAACATTTCATATTTTAAATACCTTTGGATTCCATTTCCAAGCTGTAAGCTATCTGAAACATCAAGTATAAGAGTGGAGGGAAAATTCCTGTCAGAGCTAATAGAAAATCAAATGAATTCTGTTTTGACAAATAGTGTGCCCAGTAAGTATGTAATATTTTGTAGTTTTTGAAATAGCAGCCATGTTAGGCAGTACAAGCTTATCAGACAAAAAAACCAGAAAACAAAATTGAAGAGACAGACTGTGGATAGGGGTTTAGGAATCTGGCTGCAGATCCAGAGGTTGCGAGTTCAGTTCCCCACTGTGCCTTCTTGACAACGGATGGACTTTATGATCCATAGGGTCCCTTCCAGCTCTGCAGTTCCAAGTTTATTATTATATTATTTAAAAATTGTGGCATTTTAAAGACTAACTGTTATATTTTAATATAAACTTTTGTGGATCTGTAAGATGACACATTCGTTTTTAAGATGCCACAATGCTTTTGTCTCTTTTTTTTTGTTTTGGCTGGCAAAATTTTGTGACTTTCTTATTTATGATTACCATATTTTTCCATTTATAAGATGCCCCCGTTTATAAGGCACTCCCTCCCTTTTCTAACCCAAAACTTAAGAAAACTTAGCTTTGAGGATTCAGCCTCTGGGCTCAGAATGGTTGGACATTTTGAGTCCCTGATGAATCTGAGCCTATAGGCTATACCTCCAATGAGGTGTGTTCCAATTGGTTTGTACAGCATCAGCTGACATCAGTTCTATAAGGCTCATGATTGGAGGAAGTCTCCTGACTGAAAGAACTCTGTTTACAGAGGCAAGGTATGTGTCATTTTGTTCTCTCCTCAGCTATCTTAGCTTACTTCTGTGTAAAAGGCATATCTCAATTTTTAGTGTAATGATTTTAGGAAAAAGTAGCATCTTATATATGGAAAAATACAGTTGCTGAACCTTCTGTATCCATGTATTCCTCTGCTTCTTCCCTTTTCTCCTAATGAATTCTTTACTTTTCACTACCAAGCTCAGCTGGAGTTAACTCTATCACAAGATTAATGTTACCACAATTAATATGAAACCAGAGAACATTACTCACTTTTATTTTGGTTTCAAAGTCTGACTTCAAATTAACCATAATTAATACACCAGGATTAGTTGAGAAAGAATGTTAAGCATGACTACCATTTGTATGCCCCCAAAGCAAACAAGTCAATTAAGATGGCCATTTAATAGACTCCATGCTTTTGTCTTTCTAAAACATTCCTATTGCATTTTTTAAATTCCACTTTTAACTTAAAGTCTTAAACCATTATGCTGGGTGATTTAAAATGACTGTATCAGTTCAAAAATAATTAGCCTACATAAATGTGTTTTATTCTGGAACACTTACTTTAGGTAGGTATGCCTGCTTTTTACAAGAGCTGCATATAATTTAGTTACATGTCAACTTTAAAAGTTGAAGATCTGTTAATTACTTTAAATACGAGGGGGTGCTGATAAGTATTGAGCTTTATCCAGAAAAAATTGAGCTAGGAAGCTATAAATTGCAGGGTATATTGGCCAATTTGTCTATATTCAACAGTGCAAAAATCAACTACCTGTGATTTTATCTTAACTTTCATTTTCTGATCCAAAGTGAACATGGCGGCACCTCCAGAAAAGTTCAATGTGGAAGAGCATAGGACCATAATCAAATTCCTGTTTCTCCAAGGGAAAAGTCCAAAGCAGATCCATGATGAAATGTCACAAACTATGGGTGACACTGGCCCTTCATATGCAACAGTTAAAAGTTGGGTTGTCAATTTTAAAACTGGCCATTTCGGTGTTGAAAGTGAGAAACCCAGTGGAAGGCCTGTTTCTGTCTCTGTTCCTGCAAATGTGAAAGCCATCCATGAGATGATCATGGAGGACTGCTGAATATCAGTCAAAAGTACTGTATTGCTATATATCTGAGAATATCACGTGAGAGAGTTGGTGCCATTATCCACAACAACTTGGAAATGAGAAAGCTGGCAGCAAAGTGGATCCCCAAACTTTGGACAACCGAACAAAAGAGGAAACGTGTGGAGTCATTGGTGGCTGTTTTGGAACAAGTGCATTGACTTCTTGGGGGAATATGTAGAATAGTGTGGCAGTTACAGCTTCCCAGCTCAATTTCTTCTTGGAAAGGCTCAATACTTATCACAAGGTCACTTTGGCAGAAACATAAGCAAGGGTGTTCTTAGTGGCTGCTCCAACCACTCCACTGTGAGAGACTAGGTAGCTTTGTCTCTCTGAATGCTTATCAGTAGTCAAGAACAGGTTTATTTGCACATACCTCTTGCTTGTACTTATGTTGAAATTGACATTTATTGGTTGCTTTTACTGACTTTGCTGATCACTGAATCATATGGTCAATACAACCTTCAGAATGTTTTCCTTTATTTTATTTTATACTGTATGGTTTAATTTTACTGTATTTTACTAAAGTGTTGTATTATCAGGCATCAATTGGTAACATATACATAACAAAAAAGAGATAATCATAAAAATATATGATCTGTGCACCATCCTAGAAGCATTAAGTTACTGCTGTTACATATACATTTTCCTCTTCCAGAACTCATTAATATGTAAATATACACAGATATAATTAGTTTATAATAATGCAATTAACATTTCCTAAACCAGGTGACTAATGATTTATGATAAACATCAAGTAGAAAAACAAATACCCACACATATGTTTCATTAATGCAGTAACTATTCCTGACTGAAAAGTCTGATGGTTCATTGAGCTCCACAATACTAGTGAGAATCTATTCCAGCTTCAGTCAAAAGTACATTAAGGGTGTGTGTGGATAAGCAAAAACCAATCTCTAAATACCATTTCACCTGTGTAGTTAGGTTGCAGACATTTAGCCCCTTTAAGAACAAACATCAATGATTTCCTAGCACTGTGAAAGACAATTATGGAAGGGATGGATAAAGAGGACAGAGGAAAGCTCTTTTCCCTCTCACGCAGTACTACAACAGGGGACATTCACTCATTCTGAGTGTTGGGAGAGTGAGAAGAGACAAAAGAAAATATTTCTTTACCCAGTATGCTATTAGTCTGTGGAACTCCTTGCCACAGGATGTGGTGATGACATATGGCCTAGAAGCTTTTAAAGGGGGATTGGAAAGATTCCTGGAGGAAAAGTCCAACGCAGGTTACAAGCCATGATAGGGATGTATAATCTCCAGGCCTAAAAGAAAGGTACCTCAAAATACCAGATCCAGGGGAGCGGTATCAAGAGACAGGTACTGCATCTAGTTGTCTTGTATGCTCCCAGAGGCATCTGGTGAGGCCACAGAGAGATACAAGAAGCTGGACTAGATGGGTCCTTGGCCTGATCCAGCGGGGCTCTTATGTTATGTTTCCCGATCCCTGTTCAACAATCAACACAACACTTTCGCTTTTCATATTTTCTATCAGTTTGTCTTGACCCCACGCTTTTCAAAGCAAGAAAGCCTTCAAAAAGCAGCTGCATTATATAATAACTGCAAGAATTTCATAGAGATTCTAGTTTTATGTACTTCTTTTAAAGATGCAAGAAATGCATTAATTTTTTTAAAAAGTTCATTATCCCCAAATACACCACACTGTATGGTACACTGATTGCAGGACCATCCGCACAAAGGGTACATAAAAGTAAGGAAAACAACCAAACTATAACCGCAAAAACAAAGAACATTCATTTTTAATTATATAAAAAGGATTATCTACCTAGAAAACCCTGAAAAGGGTTGCCATAAGTGAGAACTGACTTGAAGTCACATTATCATCATCATCTCGGCAACACTAAGGAACAGCACGACGGAAGCTAGAAGGAATCTCCCACGTCATCTAGCGTAGATCAACCCTCTGTCTAATAATTAGCTAATCATCCAACCTCTGCTAATTATTTCTCTCTAAGCAGAGTCCAATCGGTTTTTTTTTTTGTTTGGTTGGTTGGTTTTGAGACAATCTAATCTACCGCACCGGAGCGCTAGAAAGCGCTTTCAACACTCCTGTCTCCTAAAAAGGCGGTTAAAGCCCACCTTTTCCCGAAAAGCAGAAGCAACTCAGCCCCCTCCCGCTCCCCGCGTGATAACAACCCCACCCACCCCCTCCAATTACACGGTTCCTTCACCTGCATGGCCGCCGTAGTCGGAGGAGATCATAAAAAGCCTCCCCGCCGCCGGTGGATTTCCACACATGCGCTTTCCTCTTCCGGGTCAGAGCTTCCTGAGGGTGGAAGGTCACGGAGTGGGGAGGTGCCAGTCATGGCGGCTTCTGAGAGCCCCGACTCAGAGGTACTGCACACGCCCCCGCTTTCCTGCGAGGAATAGGCGCTGCTTTGGGGGGGGGGCTTGTGGGCAGGGGGCGGCGGCGGCAAAGGCCGTCCGTCGGGCCCTGGGTGAGTGGGGGTCTCTGTGCGTACTGCGGGGCACGTGTTTTGAATGGCGTTCCCAGCCTTGATAGGCGGCGGCGAAAACTGGAGAAGTGGGGCTGCGAAGATGGGTCGCGTGGGTTTGGGCTGGGAGACATAGGGTGCTGTGGGGTGTGTGTGTCGGTTTATGGCGAGAGGGCGGGGCGGGCGTGTGTTGTGTGCGTGCTTTTTGCAAGGGCAACTTCTGCAGCGTTGCGCTAGAGATCTGGACGAATGTCTTGGCTGTTGGGTCGTGATGGGAAAGGACTGGAACCGGGACTCGTCTTTAAAACAAAACAAAACAACCCCCCCAAACATGACCCAGTCTCATGCACAGAAAGTTCGAATTGCCCGATAGTCTCTGCACAGCTTAAATATAATCCTGCCACCATATCTCTGTTATTGGTATCTTCCTGCAAGGCGGTGAGAGCTTTGCTTTATACAGTATGTGAGGTCAGGGCAGAGGTATAGATAGGCTGAGGTCTTCTTCCTAGAAAACTCTCAATTGATTAGGGGCCTAATCTGTAACAAAGCCAGTGGATATGCTTGTACTGGTGGCCATCAGTGTGATGGGTAGTTAGGTTCTCCTGAGTAAAATGTCAAATAAATGTGTTTATGGCCACTGTGGTTAAGTGAAGAACAGCCTTGGTGGGGGGAAAACTCTATAAAGGCCAATAGGTTGTCCTTACCAGTGACAACCCAGGTCAGAGAAGCATTAATAATGTTATAAGAATGCAAAGTTGGTACTGTATCATCATTGCAGTTTTTTTCTTATCTGTAAAAATGTGTAAAGGATCACTGTAAATCGAAAGTGACTTGAGAGCACATAACAAGAATGCGCAAGTTTTCCAATTTTGGAAAATTCCAAAATATAGTCTAATGTTACATAACAAGAATAAATCCAATAAGTGTGACTGATGCTAGTTATTGCTAAAAAAAGAATGAAATTTGTAAAATATTACACTAATTACAACACTGTAACATGCTATAGTGCATATTAAAGCTAGCTTCGGTGCTAAACAGCTGTATTGCTTGAACCTGTTATGGAGAATGGGCAGCCCTTCAGATGTGGAACTGCAGCTCGCATAAACCTGTACAGCATTGCCAGTGGTAAGGGGTGATGGCAGTTGCAGTCCAGCAAAACAGAGAAGACAGTAAATTTCCCATCCTTGGTTTAGAGCAGGGGTCTCCAAACTTTTTACAGTGAGGGCCATACCAGATATTTTCAAAGTTTTTGAGGGCTGAAGGAAAAGGAATATGTGTGTGTGCGTGCGCGTGCACGCACCTGCACACACCTGCATGCCCCCCCACAGACACACACACATACACGCCCCCGACTGGAGAGATGGATGCACGCCCGCCCCCTGCATGCGCGAGCTGAAGGGAACAGGCTGGACAAAATGGCAATGCAGGCCGTAGTTTGGAGATCCCTGCTTTAGAGAGAGAAAAATAATAAAGCAAGTTCATTTATTATTTATTTAAAATATTTTTAACACATAATGTGAACATTAATGGACAAGTTCATTACTTCAGAAAATAATCTAGTTTTTCCTATTCTACTACTTTACTGTCTTTCTCAAATTTCCAACTAAAATAAGTCGAATTACATTCTGTCTCTTTCTGTAGCTATTTTTTTCTCAGCAATTTGTCAGTTTCACTTCTGATTGAACAAAATGATGAGTCTGTCCAAGACATTTTACCTAGTCGCATATTTTGCTCTTTTGGCCCGTTCATTATAATAAGGTAGTTGTGGAGTGATGTAACATTTATCATTTTATTTTGTAAGCATAATCTCAATGAACTATCTGGGTGACTTGATTAGTTCTATCTAGCTTTGATTATTGAGTAGTAAAATAACAATGTTATTTGGTCCATTGACCTTTGCACATACAAAAGCCCCCCACCCACCCCTGTGATAAGTAGTTGTTGAATTGTGAAAGGATACTGGTGTCCTTGGAATTTGCCAGTTTTGTGGAATGACAGTTTTCGTTCTTCATTACTTCCAGGTAGAGGAAGCTGGTCAGGTCTTTCTTTTGATGAAGAAAGACTATCGGATTTCACGCAATGTTCGCCTTGCTTGGTTTCTTAATCATTTGCATCAAGTTATCCAGGCAGTGCCTGAATCAAAACTGGTGAGTGAGCCGTATGAGAATCCAATCCCTTGCAGTCATCTGCTTTATGGACATATAGAAGAGGGCTTTTTCCAGTGTTGTTCCCAAATTGCTGAATGTACTCTCCTTAGAGTTGTTACCTATTTGCACTCCTGCTGTTTATAGGGAAAATCTGAGGACATATCTTTTTAGTCTTGCATTTTAAACTGTTTTGCTATTTCTTGATTGCTTTAAGATTTTATTGGCTGAAATCCCATTGTGTAATGTAAACAGAGTCATAGGTTTTGGTCCATTCCTTACCAGTAAATAAATAGCCTGCTTTATAATTCTTGGGGATATATGCACATGCTGACTTGACATGTGTGTACCTGCCCACCCCTGAGAATTGCTGCAGAGACTATTTATCATCAAGGAACAGATCAAAACATAAAATTTTGCTTACCTTATGTGACAGGAATTCAGCTGCTGTTTAAGTTTGCTAGCCTCAAGAGCTATTTTTGGTGGAAAGGTGAGATAAAAATGTGGCAAATACAGTGAAATAGATATGTAAAGATTACTTCTAGATCAGGGTTCTCCAGACTTTTTACAGTGAGGACCATAAAGAATATTTTCAAAGTTTTTGAGGGCTGAAGGAACAGGAATGAGTGTGTGCATGTGGCCGCACACACCACATGCACACACACACACACTACCTGCCCCCCACATGCATGCACACGCTCGCCTGCATGGATGCATGCACACATGCCCCCCAGACCACCCCACACCTACACGCCCGGACAGCCGCATGCACGCACCACCACCCCGAATGCATGCATACGAGCTGAAGGAAATGGGCTGAACAAAACGGAAACGTAGGCTGGATGTGGCCTGCGGGCTGTAATTTGGAGACCCCTGTTCTAAATGATGACTACAGTAGAGGAAGAGGAAGAAGGCATGAGTTAATGCTTATGTAAGAAGAAAAAATGCATCTGAAAGACAATCCTATGTTATTTTCTTACGGCCTTCCGTACATAGCTTTTATTCCTGCCTGTTTAGTTGTTTTTCATTTTTGAAGGTAACATCAGATAATGAGTTGGATGTTCTCAGCATTTTGCCAATCAGCTGGCAAACAGATGAGCCTATGGAGCCCAGGCCATTCCTCTTAATGCCTTCCACACAAGTTACATTCCTTGCACGTCAGTATCGTTTTGTCATTGAACTGGATTTGAGCCCCTCTACAGGGATTGTGGTAAGTTTTTTTGCCCCACAGACAATACAACCTGTGCTGGCTCAGCATTACTATACTTTTCATCTTCCTTTCCTAAAAGTATTGCTTGCTTTTCTCTGGAGGAAGAGCCTGCTGTGTAGCTCCACAGTATGATTCTGATATGCTTCTGGGAAGTGGGGGATCCATGTCTTTGAGATAACTTCCACAGAAGCTTAATAGCCTCTCACATGTTTTTTTCTTTTTCAGGATGACTCTACAGGAGAGATAATTTTTGATGAAGTGTTCTATGCCCTTTCCCGGTGTTTAGTGGGATTATTAAAACCCTTTCGAATCCCAGGTTCAGACATTATCTACCAACCTGAGATCTTCATCACTATCCAAGCATATTCTTCAATAATTGGTCTACAGACACACCAGGTAGTTCTTATACCTTCCATGTCTTCATCTTGTTAATATGAAAGGCTACTCCCCTATCTGCTATCAAGAACCCAAAGGAGGGAGTCAGAGAGAGGCTGCATTTTTAAACCTAGTTCCCTACTTGTTGTGAAAGTCATACAAATTATGGCTGTGGCGTAGAGCCTATGAGTCTCTAAAAAGAGATTGCTTGCTGCAGCATGCCATAATCTGGGTACCTTCTAGGTAAATTCTCTGACCAGTATCCTGTTCAGTACAAGTTAGTTGTGATAAGGCAGCGATTTACATATCTATCTATTCACTTGTGAAATGGAAGCAAAAGACCTCTGGCTTACATGAAGAGGAATAGGGATGTGAACACTTACCATGACTTTTGTTGCTATACTCCATTGCTTTTCATAACTTTCTCTAGCCCAGGTCTAATTCCAAAAGGAGGTGGACTTGGCGAAAATTGCTTAAAACTAAAGTATTACAATTGTAAATTTGTCCAACAAGAAAGGTCTTTCTTGATTTCGTCCATCATTTTTAAGTAATTATCTTTCAAAAGAGTGTTTGTTTTCTTTGTGAAGAATATGCCCAAATATTTTACTTTCCTTCCTTCCTGAAAATTCGTAATTTGTACTAATTCATCAATCTCTTGTTTTTGAATGTTTGTCATAATTTTTGTTTTTTTGTGGTTTATTTTTAACCCTGTCATTTCGCCAAATTCTTTTAATTCCAACATTAAAACTTCTATTGATTCCTTAGGATTTTCAACTACTATGAGCAGGTCATCTGCAAAGGCCTGTACCTTGAATATATCTCCTCTGATTTTAAGTCCTTTAATTTTATCTGATATTCGTATCTGCTGCATTAGTGCTTCTGTTACCATTAAAAAGAGTAATGGTGATAGTGGACACCCCTGTTGTGTTCCTTTATGTATTCCTATTTCTCGTGTGTGTTCTCCATTAATTCTTATCTTTGCTGTTTGTTTGGAGTAGATAATCTTATTTCAGTGAAATTCTGACCTGCCCCCATTTCTTCTAGTTTTGTTGTCATGAAGTTCCAGTTTACATTATCAAACGCTTTCTCCGCATCGATAAAGAGAATTGCTGCCTGTTTTGCTGGATGGTTTTCATAGTATTCCAAAAAGCTAATGAGATTTCTCACGTTAGATCTTACCGTATTTTTTGCTCCATAAGACGCACTCCCCCCCCAAATGTGGGGGGGAAAGTGTGCATCTTATGGAGCGAAGGCGGCGATTTCTCCCCCGCTGGCTGCGTGGGGGGGGGGAGCGTCGCAAGGATCTGAGTGAGCCTTCCAGGACCCTTGCGATGCAGCCCCCACCCAGCCAGTGTGGGCGAAATCACCGGCTTCCAGGTGGGGGAGCATTGCAAGGGGCCTGGAAGGCTCACTTGGACCATTGCGACGCTCCCTCCACCCCCCCACGGGGCCAGCGTGGACAAAATCACCAGCTTCTGGGACTCTTTTGAGGCTTGGGAAGCTTCAGAAGTATTGCAGAATAAAATTAACAAGATTCTATATCTGGCACCCTTTCTGTTGTGTAAAGAGTAGCCCTTCACCCATTTTGTAGGTGATTGTAGCAAATGAAAGGTTAAAATAGATGCAGTCAGATGTCTGTCTAGTTTGTCTCTTTAATGATAAAATGCATTCCTCTTTGTAGGATATATAGTGGCATTGCTGTAGTCTTGTCTGTGCTTCTTAACCTTGGGTCCCAGATGTTGCTTGAATATAATACCCATTTTCCCTAGCTGGTATCGCCAAGGTTCAGTGATGGTGGTTATAGTATTCCAAAAACGTCTAGAAGCCTCAGGTGGAGAGACCCTGGTCTTAGTTACACCCTCTTCCTCTCTAAGCCACAGGAGATCAAAAGGCAGCAGCCACAGCAAGAGAGGGACAATGCCTAGTCCCTTGATCTTATTTCTGAAAGTTGAGTGGCGAGTGCCTAATTTGGAATATCTAAAACAGCCCCCATGTTGTTTGCCACCAGCTATCTTGGTGCCTGGTGTTAGTAATGGGGTGTATGAGGGCAAACAAACTGAAGCATAATCCAGACAAAAAAGAGCTTCTTCTAGTCATTTGAAAGGCAGATGAGGGAATAGGGATGCAAGTTTTGCTGGATGGGACTTACACTTCCCCTGAAAACTGGTCCACAGCTTGGTTGTACTCATAGATTCATCTCTGAGCCTGAATGCCCAGATTTCAGCAATGGCTAGGAGTCCATTTACAGTAAAACTGGGGCTCCAGCTGTGTTTGTTTCTTGGAATGTCTGATTTGGCTACACTGGCACACAATTTAGTTATGCTTCACTTGGATTATTGTAATGTACTCAACATGGAGCTGCCTTTGAAGATGGTTAGTCATAGGCAGTATATAAAACCTCCCTGCCACAACAACTGCTCTGGCTGCCAGTTCTTTTTCAGTCCCACATCGGTTTAAAATTCTGGCTATTGCCTATAAAGCTCTGTACATTTTGAGTCTAGGCTATCTGAAATACCATATCTCCCCACGTGAGCCTTTCTGGCCCTTAAGAGAATCAGAGCAGGCCCGTTTCCTGGTCCCATTGCTGTTGCAGGTGCATTTGATGGGGACACAAAAGAGGGCCTTCCTCTGTCGCTGCTCCCAGCTTGTGGAATGCTCTCCCTCAGGAGGTCAACTGGGCCCCCTTTAATCCTTGCACCAACAGTTGAAGATCTACCTCTTCGGGCCAGCTTTTAATTACTGTGATGAATATGATAGATGGTTTGTCCTAGTACATGTTAAGCCAGAAATATTCTCTGCAAGATATATTTTAGCTTTATCTCCAAGGGAATTCAAACTGAGAAGAAATTTCCATGCCACAGAGTCTAATAAAAAAGGACCTTAACGTTGTTGCCATTTAGGTAGCATTTTTAAAAACCTAGAACATCCATGGGATTTTAAATGTTTACTTTTTATTTTCCTGTTAATGAACTGGTACATTCCATTTTTCAGATTATCTGAAGTTGTATTTATGTACGCTCACCATGCTTTGCCACAAAATAAGTGGACTAAATAAAGCTGTCTCACTCTCTGCACCCTAGGTGCTGTTCCAGGGTTGTCTGCTGGATCAGACCAAAATAGAGACCTTCTTGCAGCAAGTTTATACACAACTGTGTACCTTTGAAAACAAAGTGGCTGAGATGCTCCAGCAGCAGTATGAGCCCAAAACGCAGGTGAGAGGGTCATTGTATCTTCTGCTGCTTGAATGAGCGGAAAGGGTCTTTGTGTTCTTTGCTTGGTTGGCCTGCCTTGAGCTGGCCTTTTCCTACTCATCAGACAGTATTGGGAGTCCACCTCTCTACATAAGAGTGCTTGGATAATAAAAGAGCTGGACGTCATAGGTTGTGGCTGATGGAAACCTTATTTCTTGCTGCAGGTGGACTTGTCATCCCTTAATCAGGATGACATCCAGGAGCCCTCAGGAAGGAAGATGGGCATCTCTATGGTGACAGCTGATGTTGGGCTTGTCAGCATGATTCGACAGGGGATTCTGGCATTGCAGCTGCTGCCCTCCAACTCCAGTGCAGGTTAGCCAGTGGTGCCCTTTCAGAGTGGGGTTACTAGGAGAAGCACGGGCACAGTCCGTAAGACCATTTCTATCAAGCGAGTTAGAGAAGAAAGAAGAAGACTGAGTCTGTTTCTCCCCAAGAATATGCAAGACTGAAAAGGCACCTGATCTTTGCAGGGGAATCTTTGGCGTCTTTGATTTCCTGACCCTGGAACCAACGTTTCCCCAGTGCAGGGATCCTTTGTGGAGCTGTTTATTGATGCTTGTGGTGACTGCTGTGTTTAAATTCTTTCATAGCTTTCAGTCTACATGAGATTCCTTGTAGTTCTATTGCTGACCTCTTATGTGTATGAAACAGAGAAAAGATGCATGCAGGAAATAAGTAGCTGGAATCTTCTGATTCAAGAAGTCTAAGAGCCAGCCTATATGAGATAGAAAGAGAAGTATTTGATTGTGTGTTAAGTCATCTGAAGGGTGACAAAATATGGGTAACCAAATCATTTTAAAGGACTAAAGGTATCATGCTTGTTGGAAAGTTGAAGTTTTTGTAATTTCACAAATGGTCTACTCTTATATGGGCAAGACACAAAACTTACTCTGTTCCCGTTCAGAGAGAAGTGTGTTTGGCTCCAGCTGGCATGTTGCTGTCAGTCAGTCCAAACTGCAAAAACTGTTGTGGAGCACTGAAACCTATCTTTTGATATGGAATAAGTTTTATAAAATATGTATCCTGTTGTATTTTAGAGGAAAGAGCCACTTCACATCTTCTGTAACATAAAACTGAGATTGCTCACCCCTACCCATTTGGTATAAACCTGCCTCAGACTTTGGTACTGTACTTGATTTCCATACTGTAGCGCCTGCCCTTGTTCATTTACTGCTGACAGTTTCCTTGCTCTTGTTTGCAGGGATTATTGTGATCACCGATGGCGTCACCAGTGTCCCAGATGTAGCAGTCTGTGAAACGCTGCTCAACCAACTGCGCAGTGGGACTGTAGCCTGTTCCTTTGTTCAGGTGCTGTGGGAGATTGCAGACAGCATTCTGTGTATTATTCGTACATGCAGAGTGTCTGCCATTATTTTAACCCTTGGGGCAGACTGGATTGAGCAGTCATATTTCTGTGAATGTTTCCTTACATTACTCTTGGCAACAAGGTTGTTGCCTACACTTCATATCTACTTCTGTAGTGGTTGATTTGTCTACTTAAAATGCCTCCGGAGCGGTGACACAGAACAGGTGCCATTTCCTTTAAAGAAAGAATATGCATACACAGACAGTGAGCACAGAATGACTAGGTGATTGTTAAAAATAATACAGAGAACCAATCTGGTGCTTCTGATTTTTAAAAATCTATGAAACCAAGAGGCGACTTGCAATTCTGTGCAACTTGAGCAAGCTGTGCAATTTTTATTAGTTATCATAAAATTGCGTTATTGTACCACAAAATATCATGCTCTTGGAACAGAGGAGAATTTTTTATATCTTGTGTTTGCCTATGAATATGAGAAAAACAAGGATTTGTATCCCTAAGATGAACTAATTTAGTTCTGTATTGTGGTAGTTACGAAGGAAATTATCTACTCGCCCAGGAATAACTCCTGTTGAACTCTACAGGGCTTATTTCTGAGGAAACAAAAACAGTGTTCACTGATAGCAACTGAAATGACAAATAACTTTTGAATAATATGGTGTTTTGCTTCTTGGTGTGTGGTAAGATCTGGGGGTGGGGGTGTTTGACTTCAGCCTGCCTAACTTAGCAAAAACTTTGGATGACGTGTAATTGGCAATTATGCTCTTGGGCAATAAATAAGCTCATAACTACTGCAGTCATACCTGTACCTTTGGGCAAAGTGTTGCAGAGACATCATAGGAGATTAAATTAGTTTCCTAACTACTTTGATAACAAAATGTTCCTCATATTATATCGGGATATTCTGCTTGGTGAAATACCTGTTGAATCACATTTTCTTTATACAAAGAAATATATTAGCTGAGCACCCTCATTTCTATGTTAGCAGTTAAACAAAGACTTCAGAGGAGGAAGCTTAAAGCTATGGTTTTTATTGATCAACTCAAACCTGATATTACTGTGAAAGAAGCTGAAATAGGCTATGTTAATAGGATTTGACTATCTATTTAGAACAGGTCTTTGTTTTCTTCCTTCCCACAATGCTTTATAAGTCTGGTGTTTTAGTATATTCTTTTTTGTGATAGATGTTCCACATTTTATACTTAACTTTTATAAAATCTTTGTAAACTGGATGCATGATTATATAATTTTTTGTTTGGGAGTATGTGGACTTTATCGACAAATGTTTTTCTGTTTCATGCAGGTGGGAGGAGTCTATTCTTATGACTGCAGTTTTGGTCATGTCCCCAATGTGGAACTTATGAAGTTCATTGCTATGGCAACGTTTGGTACCTACCTTTCCACATGTCCTGACGTGGAGCCTTCTTGTCTGGATCTCAATGTCTATCACAAAGCTTTTCTGCTATACTCATTTTTGCGCAGCGGGGAGTCCCTGAACCCTGAGTATTACTGCGGTGAGCTAAGTTGTATGGAATGAGGAAAGTTTCTCCATCTTGTACACCCTGTTGTCATCACTGCCAATGCAGATAGTAACTCTTGATTAGGCTGAGGTATGGGAGTATACAGTTAGATACATTCTCAAGGAAGTGAGTGTGGTGGGTATTATATGAAGTCAGCAGGACTGTGGGCATAGTGTCAGTTTTTTTCTACAAATTTTCTCAAGAATGGTCCATCCAATGCAGTACTGTCAGTTACAGAGATATCAAAACAGTGAATTTGCTCTTGAAAAATTAATAAGTGATATAGTGGCCCACTTAGCTTTTCTGTCAGTGCATACCTGTAGAACCAACTTTCAGTCCCAGGTGTGCATTGATATAGATAGGAGTGGTGGGCATGTGGCTTTCCAGATGATGTGGAATGCAACTCATATCAACCTTATCCAACACAGAAGATGATGGGAAAGGCAGCCCAGCAACATCTGGAATGTTGCACCATTTTTATCCACGCAGTGCAGGATGATAATTTTCTATAGAGTAAAGAAATTTTTGCTGGCATTCTCTGTTCATGCACACAGAAATTATATTTCCTCAATACTTGTATTTTTATCTGCCTGCTTGAACATTTCCAACTATTCAGATCTCCATGTTTTTGCCCTTTTTCTGCCTTATAGTGAGGTTCTTTTCAAAAGAATAGAGGGATTATGTTCTCCACATAAAAGAGTAACCTATGCTGGCCAGAGATTTACAAATTTATCATGGTAATGCAGCACAGCAATTTAGAGAGAGATACCTTTTTTGAATCATTACAAGGGACATATGAAACATGTCTGGATCAGCCAGTTTCTCAAAAGGATTTAATGAGCCCCTCCTGTATTCTGGAGGATGACAGTCATTTTTCAGTTAAAAAATGTATAATGAAACCTTTTAATTAGAACTGCAAAAATATTTTTCCTCAATGATAGTAGCTACATGGTATGTTGTATTAGTAGTTACAACTAAATGGTATGCTTATTATTGCCTACAGTATGCTTCAGCCAGTCAACATTTTCCCATCATACTGTTTTCCTGCTGAAAAGTTCAAATGGTATCCCACTCAAAAGCTATTTGACTGATTATGTTAAATTCTCAAAAGGCAGAAAGGAAGATAGCATGATAGGGAAAAGATTATCTCCTCATCTGGATCCAGGTCTGGCTTCTTCCAAGGTTGCTTTCTGTTAAGAAAGAGGCATGACCTGTTCTAGCCGTATGTAAACATGTCTTCACCTAACATGTCCTAAGTTCTTAGTTCATTAGGCGTATTCCAAACTAGGCATTTCAGTGCTGTCACCTGCTTTTTGTGGTGGCTGCTAGTGAGCATCCTGGTGTGCCTTGGGGACTGCTAGTAAATGTAGGAATGAATGACACCAGGGCTTTGACATGATTGTTATTGTTGCAGTGTCCCAGCACAGACTTTTCAATGAACACCTTGTTTCTGCAAGCAGCAATCCAGCTCTGGCTATGAGGCGGAAGAAGCATGCAGAAAAAGAAGTGCATGCTGACCTTATCAGTATAATTTCTGTCCGTTTGAGAGAAGGTTACAGTATCCGTGAAGTCAGTGTTACAAAAGGTGAGGCAGCTTTTGGTGTTCATATGCTGCTTGATCAGGCTAGACTTGTGTTCAACAGATGGTCTTTCTGAAGCTCTAGATTACATGTGATGCCCGCTGCATATATATGTCTCTGGGCTCGTCTCATAACTCAGTAGGATTGTAAGTGGTTCCTGAAATTGTCTCCCAGATATTGATAGTCTTCACTTCCTAAAAGCCATGACCGTCATTTGCAGTGGTCCGTAGTACAGAATGCAAATCAGGTGCATCAACCATTAATAGTTGTATAAAAACAAGGATGGGCAACACTATTGTGTAGCTATCACACTAGTTCTTAGAACAGATTCTTTTAGCAGGGACTAATAGTCCCTAACCACCACTGAGAGATGATGTGATGGCAATTGATCAAATTCTGGAGGGTCACAGTTTCTCCATTCCTACTATTGGGTATGGATGTAACAAATGGAATTTCAGATTTAAGATGTGCAAAACATTTTGAATAGTATTGGATAATTCTATCTCTATCTCTGCGTGTGTCTCTCCTCTCACCACACACAAAACTAATGTACTCAGAAGTTTTGAATGGAGAAGTGGGATTCTAATTTGCCAAATCATTTTTTTCTTTTGACCCTGCCTGGCAAATGTCTGTTTCCTTTCTAGATACTAGAATTACCAACAATGCCCAGTCCTTGTCCTTTCCTGCCATTACAAAAGAGAACAGGGAGGCTGTATCTTGCCCTGCTATCCATAAGATTTAAGGCTTCGAAATGTCTTTTTGTGCAGTAGATGCATAAAAGGGAACTCATGGGCCTGAAATTATTTGTGCATAAAAACTTCAGTGTGATTCAAAATGGGGAATTGGGATCCTGGATATTGATGATGCTTAATAAATATTTATCCTACAGTTTTACTGGATGCTGAATCTTTTTAACGTAGTTATTAATCTGAATGGATCAAAAGCAAGGATAGAGTTATTAGCTAGGATGATAGTTAAACAGAGATGCTTGTCTTGATTAGGAAATCAGAATTTGATTGAAACTTCTTTGCAGCTTAATACCAATTTTTTTCACTTTTCAAAAGGCAATATAATTATTGGAACTCAATTGTTTGAGAGCCAGTTTGCACACACGTAAAAGTAGAAATATGCATCTGGCAGACTACTCCCATGCCAAACTCTTGGCAATGTATGTTCAACATATAACTTCTTAATCATTTTCTGTTTTTTATGTCTTCAAGAAAAATCCTGTTTCTTTATAGTTCAGGGAACTGGGAATATCCCTTTCCCACCACAAAAAAAGTGGAAGGATGAAATTTTCACCATGCCAACTCCTATATCATGTACTGTAGTTTAGCCCACAAGGAAAACAGTGGTGTCTTCAAGTTTTTAAAACATGTGGTGAAAGGTAGAAAACTACAGAACTTAATATTCTGTCTTAAGTATTGAAAGTTCTAATAGATTTTGAGCTGAAAGCTCCTTCAGTGAAATATTTGCTGCTAAATGTAGCTATGTGACAAAGGAATTCAAACTGGCAACTCTTAAAGTGGACTTTGAACTTTTGATTCGGAAGAATATAATTTGTCTCAAAATGTGTTTTTTTTTTTTTTGGATTTGATTAAAATAATATGTTTTATACCAGTGGTTCTTAACCTTGGGTCCCAGATTTTCTTGGACTAAAACTCCCAGAAGCCCTTCACCATTAACTGTGCTGGCCAGGATTTCTGGGAGTTGTAGACTAAGAACATCTGGGGACTCAAAGTTGGGAATCACTGTTCTGTACTCTGCCCGCAGCCTCTATTTGCGTAATATTGAGAGTAAGAGACAGCCCTGCAAAGCTGCTGTTGAGACCAGTTTTCTTGTCTCTTTGGTAGTCTTTCTGCTTGCTTCTGTACAAAGACCATACAGATTGCTCAAGACATCACCCTACTCAGTGGGAAACTGGGGAAGGCAGCATGTTAAAAAGTGTACACTGTACATAGGGAAGCATATTTGATTATAGAGTTCTGGTGTGGGTTCTTGAGTCTACTTAATCTCTTGAAATCGCAGCCTGATGACTAGATGACAGTTTGTGGAAGATGATGAGTAGATTAACCTGACAAGTAACTGCTGCAGAGAACCCCCATTAATGGAAGGCAGACCTGCCTCAGGGCACTACAGCTTTGGAGTTGGTACTGTCTGAAGTTTTGATAGTGACCTACTGTGGATGTTGGGGCAAGGGGATTTTTAAACCATTTGTTCCTAATCCTGGCAGCCGAGATGTTGTTGAAATCCAAGCCCCAGAAGCCCCAGTCAGCATTGTCTATGGTCAGATAGTCTAGGTGTTACAGTCTAACTACATGCAAAGTGAGAATGCAAAGTGAGGAGCCACATTATAACTCATTTCTCACAATCCCTTTGTGTGCGTATAGGTGGCACTCAACTTGAAGTGAAACTTGTCCTGCTGTGGAAGCACAATATGAGAATTGAGTACCTAGCTGTTGCCCCATGGCCCTTGGACCCTTCAAAACGTAGCACATGGGTAGAAGTAACTATGGAAGGCAGTTACGACATCTTGCATGACATCAGCTGTACAATGCGAAAGCCTATCACCAGCCTCTACCGCACAACTGTGATACGGCGCTTTTGGAACACGCTGCAGAGGTGAGTCTGATCTGCTGATGGGGTTGGCTTAAGCTTGGCCAACCAAGTGGGATGGTTAATCTTGCAGTTTCTTGGGGCGATACATATTTCCTGTATGTTTGAAAGTGAGAGTCTTAAAAGTGAAGATTCAGTTTCTGGATTAAGTGGTATGCTGCTTCCTTTAAGCATTTTCCTTTTTTTCCATCACCAGTGATGCACAAGAGACAGTTTTTACGGTTGAACATAAACAGTCAGTTCTATTTGTAAGGGAAGCACAATTGAATCCAAGAACTGTCTCAGATAAATTGCCAGCCATGTAGCTCTGGTGTGATGTAAAACCTTGTGATTCTTGAGGAGTTATTTTTGCGTTTTCAGTATCAATCAAACCGACCAGATGTTGGTTCATCTGCAATCATTTGACAGTGTTCCAGAGCACTTCACCATCCCTGAAAGCACTAGAAATGGGGTACCACTGTTCTACATTCCTCCAGGATCTACTACACCGGTATGTTCTCAGCAGTTATATCTCTGGTTTTGAAATTGGAAACATGGTTCTTGTAATTAATGCAGTTCCTGTCTGCCTGTAAGATTGATTTCTGTGGTGATATCAAAGGATCAGAGGACCAGGCATTTAATCCTCCTGGTGAAAGGGAGACAGAGAGGTGAATGCTGGTAATCCAACTTCATAGATAGGCTATAGCTTCCTTTGCTGTGGGTAGGATGCTGCATACACTGGTACAATCATATCATTCTTATTCCAGGCTTATGCTGTTCCATGGGATTTCTCAGTTTCCCAAAAGTGTGTTGTACAAATACATAAATCTTAAGATCATTCATTCATTAAGAGTGTTATGAGGGGATTTAGCTGTCATGGCTAAAGGTAGGCAAAGTGTGGTCTTCCACATGTCATCTACAACTTCTGTCCGCCCTAGTCAGCAAAGTCAGATGTGAGGATTGGTAGGATTTGGAGTCTAGTAATCTCAGAGGGGTTGTGATTTGTTCACCCAGACCTAAAAGTATTAATTCCGATTTCCTTAGGAATTTCTCTTGCAGTTCATATAACTTTGCTTATGCTTAGTATCAATTGCACTGTGCATATCTGCAACATTTCCAGTTTAAATAAATACTTGTAAAAAATTTCTGTTAATTTCTTATTTTCTGAGCTAGTATCACAATACAGTAATTATTGTGCTATGGGTCAGTCAACGTACATTACAAATGTAGCTTTTTTTGACACACATGCAACACCAGGGACATCAGGTGTGGTTTTCACAAGCTGTTGGTAACAGATTGAAGAAATGTATTGTTGGGAAGATGTTTGTGGCATTACCTGTACAATTCATGGTGATCATATCTTAATTTCCTGCTATATAGGGCATGTAGCACTTTGATCATGTAAGAAATCTGTGCGATTGCCCTCGAAATTTAATCTCTCAAGATTCTGAGGTCCTGTTAAAATTATTCCCAGTGTAAGAGTCTCAGTGTGGTGCAGTAGATAGAATTATGGACTAGGACTCTGGAAAAGAGGGCTTTAATCCCCACTTGGCTGTCTGTAGAAACTCACTCAGGGAGTGGAACTGGTAAAACCACTCTTTAAATATCTTACTTACCTTGAAAGCCCTGTTAGAATTACTGTATGTCAGTTCTGACTTGGCAGCACAGATGATATACATGAAAATTATGTATGTTGGCCAGCTTTGTGCATAGCTGCCTTCTGGGACAGGATGTGCAGCTTTCTGCTATAGAGGCAAAGGTGAAAATACTCAATGCATTTTCTTCTTTTTCAGGTACTGTCCTTGCAGCATAGCAGCTCAGATTCTTGTCATTCACAATTTGCAGCCTATTGGAAGCCCATTTTGTCTATGGATGCTAACTTCTGGCAGAGGTGGCTACACATGCACCGCATAGTTATCCTTTTGGAGCATGACATGTACGTGTGGATTGAGTTGCTGCAGTTTTTATGGTTGTGAGAGCATGCATGCAGAGAGAAGGACTTCCAAAACGTCTTGATATCTTTACTGCAGTGTGCCCCATGGGGGCAGAGACAGAATTCATGTGTGAACTGTGCTTGGGAACAGAGGGTGGAAGATGGCAGTATGCAGTGAACATGGGGTAATAACTCTTTGATATGTTTTGCAGGCCAGTTCCAAAGCATTTGCATACCCCAGGCAACAATGGCCGCTACAGCACAATCCAGTGCCGCATCTCTCATTCAGCCCTGACATCTTTGCTACGTGACTGGAGTAGCTTTGTGCTGGTGGAAGGCTATTCCTATGTGAAGCTCATGCGCAGGTGAGGAATTTGGTACAGAATGAGGAACAGTTGGATTGGATCTCTTCCAGTCTGTTCTGGAAAATGCAATGTCCACTAAGGAAACAAAATCTCTGTGAGGGTCAAATTTCTTCCTATAGAAATTGGTCAGCCCAGTCCCACTGGGAAACCATGATAGAAGCTCTCCATACAGTTACTAGTCTCTGTGTTCTTCAGCTTCAGAATGCTGTGCAGTCCCTTAATGAGAGACATCACTGTGCTATATCTTAAGGTATGGTAGTGCTGGAAGTCGGTACAATCTTATCTATGCAGTGCTCTAAAATTCAGGAGTGATGTGTCCTGCCTTTCATTGGACTCTGCATAACTTTTGCCTCTCTGCACCAAATCACTGAGACAATATTTGGACAGTCTTGTTGTTTGTGGGCCAAGCAACTGAGGTCATCTGGATATCTCTTCTGCCTATGCTTCCTACTAGCCCTAGCTGTCAGTGGTGAAGGCTTATGGAAGTTGCAGTCCAATAATATCTGACTAGCTATCATTGCCCACATGTGGATAACTTTTAATTTACATGTGGACAATGTTGGGTAGTCACTTTTTGAACACAATTCAATCTCAGTTGATACTGTATTTCTCTCTTCTGAGGCAGGGAAAGGGTGCCATTTGCAGCGCAGAGAGTTTGCCATTGCTTGTCTTCAGTTCAGTACCACTGTAAAGCCATTATACATTGTGTGGAATGTTTTCCCTTTTGCAGCTCTGACGATCAGCCTCCTTTTTCATTTTATGTGGTGCGGATCATTTCCAAGGCTCCCTGCATGGTTCTTCGGTTGGGATTCCCCATTGGGACACTTGCAAAAATCAGGAACAAAGTACGTACTTGGTTAATTTCCTTGTGTGGACAGAGCAAGTATTACCTTGATTGGCATGTGCTACCAAACTTTACTAAAGCTAAGAGTAAATCTTCAGCACTATAAATCTATCTGTTGTTTTAACTTCATCTGAAGACGTCCTGATACCTGGGAGAGATTAGAAGCCTCACTTCAAAACCTAAATAACGGTGGAACTGGTACATAAAACTAGCTGAAAGGGCCATGTCCGCCCTCAGAGGAATAATATATTTTGGAAAGCATAACTTGTTTCATCGATAATTTGAAGAATAATTAAACAGTTTGTGTTACCTGCTATCTCATGCTGAAGATGCTGGAAAGAAGGAAGATGCATTCTGTTCTACAGCAATTCCTTTAAGTATATGAGAGTTTTAAGGGAAGTTTGTGTGAGGCATAAACTGTACTTACAACCATCGCTGAAGCATGCGGTCATATTGCTGGCAAGAGCAGACTGATATACTTGTTATATTCAGCACAGATGCTGGGAGGCATGATGGCTGCAATAGAAGGGAAGAATTTGGGCCCAGTTCATGTTCAAGGGGCTGCCAGATAGTATGTTGTTCTTGTATCCCTGATCTGTGTTATTCTCCCAACAGATAGTCGAAGAACTAAGGGATCGTATCTTGCAGTTGCGCTTCCCTCATAGAGTACAGAGCAAAGAGGCAACACCGAAAGTGAAGAGGAAAGTTCTGGGCAGCAGTTCCCCTTCAAAATCACCTCCCATGCTGGCAGCCCAGCCATCCTTCTCAGACAGACCTTGCCTTATAGTGCTGCATAAGCCTCTGGAGAAACTCCTCATCAGGTAACAGTGGTGGGTCATATCTCTCTGTTCAAGCATGAGTTTAAAACATCTTGTTCCTCAGCAGGGATGAATAACACATGGTCCTTAGAACCCCATACCACAGCCGGTCTCCCCCCATGAATTGTCCAAAGATGTCCTTTTGGACATTCTGGAGAGGCAGTTTCGTCACATTTTGATGAAACTTAGCACCTGTGGTTCTCATTTTTTAGATTTTTTTTAAAAAATATTTTTTTAAACAAAAAGGTATAAGGTGACTTGAAAAGAGTTTTTTAAAATATATATTTTTATAAGAAGAAAACTGGAGATGGGGAGAAGTGCAGTCGTTCAAGCTCCGGTGATAGTCGCATGCAGCACAGAAAGGTATAAGGTGACTTGAAAAAAGTTTTTTAAAAATATATATTTTTATAAGAAGAAAATCGGAGATGGGGAGAAGTGCAGTTGTTCAAGCTCCGGTGATAGTCGCATGCAGCCCCTGAACCTCTGGAGACCACCAAACTTGCTTTAGAATTTCACTGAGCCTATAGCAGCCAAGTCCTGACATACAATGCAGCAGCCATAGGTGCAGAGGTAATGAGAGATCTAAAATCTTGAGTTTCAGGTATACAATGGCCTCCTTGTTTAGATCAGGTGTAGTAGGCAAAACATACTTGGTCATTCAGGGTTTTCTTTTATTTACAGAGATTTTCTATCTTATCTAGTAATTACTATCTGAAATTCTATTTTCATTCGCATAGAATTTGCATAATTTGCCACAGTAAATTGATGAGGTGCTGGGGGTGCATTTGAGTTGTGCAGTGGTGTGCTTGCCCAGGCATGTGACCAGAATCCACCCTGGCATCTCATCCAGTAGCCACATCTAGCTGTAGTGTGTAAAATGTGAATTGAAATGCTGTATGCAGAAGACATTTCTCTAGAAATTAGAATTTAGTCTTCATAATATGTTTGTCAGTATATACAGAATCCTTCCTCTGCACAGTGGAATTAGGTGGAATGTGCTGTAGATGTTAAGTGAAGAAGGCAGAGTTGTAGCTCACTAGCCCCTCAAAGGTGTGGGTCACTGAAGCAACCTCTGAAGAATCAAGCCCCATAGCTGTGTGCCTGTTTATCTGCCCTCTTGTTATTTTCTTTCTCTGTTCCCTAGATATGAGAAGCTACCTTCTGATTACCGTGTTCCATGCCTGCTCCCTTTGGAGAATCCCCCCATGTCAGGCCCTCTCACCATGGCAGCCAGCCGGACAGCTTCCTCCACTCTGGCCTCTTTGTCTCGCTACTTCTATCACCAGCGCTGGATCTGGTGCGTGCAGTCAGGGCTGGTACCTGCAGTGCCCATCACTGCTGTAGCACAGCTGCTGTCCACTCTCACAGAGTAAGTGCATAACTTGTCCCAGAGAGTCAACTGGAGCCTGCAGAATTGGTGGCAAGAGGGAAGAAAGGATGCTTGTTATGCTTGTTGTCTCCTTTTGTAACTGAGGATCAGGCAACCTCATCATCATAGGATGGATGGGTATAGTGAGGTGGTACTTGAGTTTCCAGGGAAGAAAGGAGCCTGCCATTGCTTAACGAGAATGTGTTTATGAAGAGAAGACAAGCAGGCAAGGGAGATGTGAGATTCTCATGACCTACTATGTTTTTCTTCCTGGGTTATGCAGGGTTCGTCTTTCTGAGGGCTTCCATTTTGCTTCCAGTGGTGATGGGATCATCAACATGGTACTAGAGTTGCCTATGAAGGTAGACCCTGTTTCTTTCCTCCTTTTAGTTTTGGCAACCCGCCACTCCCCTCTGATGATGGAACATTATCACATTCCCAAGCAAATGTTTAATTGGCTGTTGATGTAAGAGTCATACAGAGACATAACATAGAAATAACAAGCAGTTGCCTCTGTGGAAAAAACTTAGAGGACTCTTCCAATCTGCAGCCTGGGGAAGTGGGAGGAAAAGAGTCTAAAATAGCCACTCATGAGATGATTGCCTGGCAACTGTGCTTCCAGTTCAGTTCTTTCTGCTCTGTTTTCCATGAAAATCATGTTTAGCTGTGGAGATCAGAAGTTGCTGCAGCTCATTGAGCAGAGTGACTGCAAATTGTGCTGCTTAGTTGCATTTCTTCTAGTAGCTGAAATTCACAGTGGTATCATAGGAGAAAGGTAGCAGACAAGTGTGACATATAGGTTTTCTTCCACAGAATGATTCTTCACGAGAGAGTGGCAGTGAGAAGTGCACTTGCATTGTCCAATATGTGCTGTTCCCTCCACACTCCACATCCACTAAAGACAGGTGAGGAAAGGAGTTAAACATTCTATGTAGCTTCTAAGACCAAAGAGTCTTGTGGACAGTTGTGAGAACTTTGATAAAAATATGCCTGTGAAGGCAGGGATAGAAGAACAATATTAGTTTTTGTTGCTGTTTAGTCTTGTGCATAACAAGAATGCTTCTGTAAGTGCACAGAAATTCTTCCTATGCAGCTGGATGTTGAGATGAAAGGATCCCATTTGAATCAAGCTTGTGTTATGTATCATTTAGATGGTATGACTAGTTTATTTTGAAATTATACGTACTAGATGTATTATTGAACAAATGTTAATAATTGTGTGCCATAAAGTCAATTCTGGCACAGCAACCCTTTTCAAGGTTTTCTAGGTATAGCGTACTCGGAAGTGGTTTCCCGTTCTTGTCTTCTGCCCTGGGACAGCGCAGCTTACCCATGACTACCTGGGCTGGCTCTTTTGGGAGGCACAGTGCGAAATCAAACTCACAATGTCTGGGTCCACAACCAGATAACTAACTCACTGAGCTATCCATCCAGCTATTTATAGGAAACCATAAATATGTACTACTTCAGTTCATATTTCTTCTTCTAATGAGCAACTAAAACAATCCATTATCTTGTAAGTAAGCTGAGCTTTCATTCTACAAAATCCAGTACCCATATTGGCAAAAGAAGAAAAATACTGTAGCACTTTAAGAAACAACAATTTTATTTCAGTGTGAACTTTCGTGGATTTAAATCCATTTCCCCAAACACTGGAGTATAAATGCCTGTGTATTAATATGTATGCGAAGCTGTAAATCATTTTAGTTAACACATTTTGGGCAGGGCGGTAATTGTATGCTATCATAGGAATGTTAGGTGGTGTTACTGGGACAGAGGTCAGAGCCTGCTAAGGATAGCAGCTGTTTTATTATATGTAGTGTACTAAGAAGTCTTATCTCCACTGAGGCCCCTAGAAATGCACTGGAAAATTTTCATGCAACCAGTTTCCGCTGTCTCCATTTTATAATTCCTTTTTTTCTACAGTAAGCACTTTTGAGGTCCATAGCAAAGTGTCCTGGGAGATTGATATGTTCAGAAACTGGTTTATGTGTATTTACCTTCCACAACATTCCTCGATCTGTACTATGTAGAAAGCAGGGGGGCATAGCTAGCAGGAAATGGTATGGGTCAGATTGTTGCTGATATATGCCCCTTTGTATAGTTTACACAACAGAGGTTTCTTCACCTTTCATATGTCTACTGTTGAATCTCCCTTAATTGAGTTGGCCAGAAAGGAACAGTAGATGATGGGAAATACAAGGTTATTTTGGCTGCAAATCTGTTCACATTTTAGGAAGACAGGACATTGAGGCACCAAAAGAGACATCACACCACTTGTGACTATGCAGGAGCACCCAAACATGCTCTAGCTACACCCATTCTGCTTTGTTTGCATTCAAGTTTCTCCACAGATGATGACAATGATACAGAGGTGGAGGCCATTGATGTGGACATGGAGCTGAATCTTATCACAGAATGCTGGGTGGAGCCACAAAGTGGCTGCGTGGAGGGTGCAGTGGACAGTTGGCGTCACCTGCAAGGCCTGCCTTACCAGAAAATACCTAAAGTGGTGCGTTCTTGTGATGGGGATTTGTGGGAAAACAGCCCTTGGGGGACTTTTCCTGCAGGGAGAATGATTGGCAGCAGGTGTGACTGGTCCTTTAACTGGGGTGACATCTGTTCACATTCCCCTGCTGTAGCAATCTTTAAACTCAGAGTTACTGTTGCTGTAAAGACCATTTGAGTCATGACTGTGGAAGAGCGCTTTTTAAAAAAGTTTTTCTGGAGGAGGGGAATGATCTAGCTTCCATGAACCTTACAGGACAAAGTCCTGTTGGTATGGACTGCTGGCGGTGATTTTTTACTAATAAAACCTCCCCCACTACAATCCTGATGCTCCCAAAGTCTTCCCCAGAGCAAAAGGGAGCCTTAGGGAGCTTCGAAAGTGGAAACAGGGATGGGATGGGGATAGGAAACTTTCAGTTTCAAGTAATTATTTCTAGTGCCTGGATCTGGCTTATGCCAGTGTAAATGCACCAACTGGATTTTGCCCATTGTATGTACTTGTGCTGTATGTTCGTATAATCCCAGTTTATCATTGCAACTCTTTCTTGTCTTTGAATGTTATGCCTTTAACAATGAAGTCACAGTGTTGAGTGCTTTATGACTTGGTTGCTCAGTCTTGTATCTAACTTCAGATCCATATTCCAGCTTTATCCTCAAGATCTGATGTGCATCCACACCTTGCTTGCCTTTGAGTATGTCAGCCAACTGTGCCAGAACAAGGATTGGTCCTTTCCTGCGTGTGATCCTAGGCCTGTTGCTGGTGCTGTTGAAGGTGATGGTCGTATCAGATACTTTGTGGGTATTTTTTTAGTGGGGCTGTTTCCAGTGTGTTTAATCAAGATTACACTCCTGGTTTTCACTACAGGTTGTGATCATGGAAGTGGCTCCCGTGTGCATGAGATTCCTTTCCACTTTGACCTCATGAAGCTACTGTCCAAGTGTCAGCAGATTGAAATGTTCTTCTTGATGCTGACAGGAGGCAAGTTACCTTAAGACTTCAGGCTTGCATTATGTAGAGGAGGGGCATGGAGATGGCTTAGTCCAGAAGCCGTTTTTTACTTTTTCTCCCCAGTAGTAATAGAGAAGAGTTCTTCTGAACATACACAGGGCATATGTCCCTTCTGAATAGTCACTGCTCCATTGCAGCGCATCTGGGCTTAATATGTAGGGGTTCCAGTTCAGGTGGTGCTGGAGTTTTGGGAATTCTCTCCTTGGCAATCACTGGATGTGAGATGGATAGAAGAATAGGACAGTGTGACATTTACCCCATGGCCCCTGCTTGTTTCACCAAACAAAGAGCTCACACGAGTATCCCTACACACCCTTTAACATGCTGCCACCAGTCGGATCTCTTTATCAACCTATATTTCCTATGAAAGACTGAGGTCCATTCAGTACTGAACTTTTAAACAGAAACAGGTTTATTGATTACAAGTTGTTTTAGGACTAGTTCTTAAGCACATTCTTAAAGTTACACAAAGCTTCAGTATTTTACTTTAACCTCTTCTATCTTAATTAATACAGGTCACAGTCTGACTAATCACTCCTTAAGCACACACTCTGTCCTCAAACCCCCAAACTCTTTTCCTTCAAAACTGTCTCTCTCTGATTGAACTGACTAGACTCTGACTCACCCCTCCCTTAGTTTCTCCAGCTCCACCTCCCAACAGCTCTCATTGGTGCATGCAAATACACTGCTGAATATTAATTCCAGGGGTGATTGCTACAGACACGAATGGTACTTTCTGAATTATTTGAAGCTTCCTACAAAACCATTTCTGTTTTGCTGTGCAGGGAGGCTGGTTGCTACTGTCAGTGTCATTCCTATTAAGCTGCCAGAAATGTGCACATGGTGGGTTGATGTGCTTTCCTGGGGCACTAGGAACAGATGTTGTTCATGTTTCTGGATTTTTCCCTCGTAGCTGAGATTACAAAGGATTCTTCTTTCTTGCCCAATGAAATGCTACTTGGCCTATTTCATGGCTGTCTTCAGCATGACCTCAGCGACAGAGAGATCATACTGTTGGGCACAGATCACGCAACTTTCATGGAACAGGTGCTGCAGCGGGACAGAGATGGCCATCCTCCTCCATTTGTACTTCCAGTAATTGAAGGTAAGATATACGTACACTGATTGTTCTGTCCTGCTTGATTCCTCTGATTTCTTCTGACTTTGTTCCTCTTCCATTAGAGCTCTCCAAGGCCTCCATGCCCTCTGAACATCAGGATCCAGCCAAAACTTATCACTCTGCTGTGAACAAAGACACAACTGCCTCTGCAAGTATGCACCAGGTATAGCAGCTGTTTGCAATCAGTATCAAACTTCCAGGAAAGAGCCTCTAAGACTTGGGAACTTCCATGCCAGTCTTAGGTTTAGAAAATTGCCCAGCTACTGCACCCACCGAGCTTTAAATCTTTTTCTAAGGAGAGGTCAACATTTCTTCTTTATATTAATGCTACATGATAAAACAAGATAGAAAAAATACGAATGTGACTTTAACAGTATCAACTATAAGGCTTGTCTTTAAAATGTATAGACCTTTTGTTTTCGCTTTTGAGTATCATGTTTATAGAAGATCATAACATGGTGATTTGTCAAAACAAATTGTTTCAATTTTAAAGGATCTGTTGCACTAGCTTGTCAATTCCTATTGATTCAATAGCCTATTCTAGTGCAATTTACAGGAATTTGGCCACAGTCTTGAATTTAAGGCAGTGGTGGGCAATGTTTGAATTTGCACCTGCAACAGCAAGATAAAATAATATTTGGAAGGAAGGCGTAAAGGGAGATTTGTGCCTCTGAAACCAGGAAATGCTTTCCTTGCTTCACCATGATGAGGACAGGGTGGTTGTTTCTAATGAAAACTAACTTGACCAAGTTGTCTGGACTTTCCTAGGCTCCAGATAATACAGAGGGTTCAAAAGCTGATACCTCACAAGTGCCTGATAACCTCTTACCCCAGTGGCGATGTTATGCCAAACTGGTAAATCCACAGCATCTTTTCTTCACGTTCCTGCCAACTACATTCCCAGGTATGGAAATATCTGTTCTCTAGGGTGAAATGGAGAAGCTGTCTGAGAAAAGTGGTAGTGGTTGAATCTTAATCCTTAAATCACAGGGAGAAGAACAGCTGCATGCCAGGATCTTTGTTGACGGTGGTAAACAGACCTCAGGCTCATGGGGGCTGTTTCGGTGTGTTCTAGAATACTAAGATGCAGTTGGAACCTTATACAAAAGATATGTGTTTGAAACTCTCTAGTTTGCTTTGACTTCAGAACTGAACAGAATCCAGCCTTTAGTTTTCTCGATTTCATTAGTGTAATTTAAGGGGCAGAATTACTTTGTCACCATCTGTAAACTACTAGTAAATTATTGTCAATCCAAATCTATCAGATATCCTAGTTTGTCTACTGACCATCTCTGAGCTGTGTGATGAATTAATCAGATCATGTCAAGGCAAGCAGAATTTTATGTGTCTAAATATAAGCATTTTTTCATATAGTTGCTTGTTTGGATCATTTTTTCCTGAGATTTTTATCAGACACTTCTTATTCTTAAGGACTACAAATTAATGTAAAATGAAATTAATATAAAATTATTTTTTAAAAAATCAATATACAACTACAAGACATTGACTCCTTCCAAACTAGTAGATCCTGTATTTCACTCTAAACTAAAAAAAAAAAAGCTACTGCAGACATGTGGTTCCATCTGTCCTGATTGTATCCCACAAATGTAGTCAGGTGCACTGAAAACAAATTAGCTAATGACATCTACATTGAATAATGACTTCTTTGTGCTAGAACTTCTGCAACTGCCCAACTCAGTAATTTCCCTACAGCCCCGAGATGTCGATTCTCTCTTGTGCCCTGTGTCTCTAGGAGAAGGAAGAAAGCAGGGCCTGCTGTGAATATGACAGACCCAAACTATGACTTCTTTTTCCAGATATACAGAGACTGATGCCTTCTGGGTCAGGTAAATCTGCAAAAGAGGCAGAATCATCACTTAGCCAAGGAGTGCAGGAACTGGAAACCGTGGGGTTACTTCCAACTGTCAGCATCACGCCAGCCAATGGTACCAGCCATGCTTTGGCTTTTTTTGCTTTTGCAACATAGTTCATTTCCTTTGTTGTGCAATCTGCATGTGGGGAGAGGAGTTGGTATTAGGACTTGGTTATAAATGTTAATGAGTATACACTGTAGCTCAAGGTGCAAAAATTTCATAGACACCTAAAGGTAAAGGTTTGGCTTGACATTTAGTCCGCCGTGTCCGACTCTAGGGCGCGGTGCTCATCCCTGTCTCCAAGCCGTAGAGCCAGCATTTGTCTGTAGACAGTTTCTGTGGTCACATGGCCAGCGTGACTAGACACGGAATGCTGTTATCCTCCCACCGAGGTGGTACCTATTTATCTACTTGCATTTTTACATGCTTTCGCACTGCTAGGTTGGCAGGAGCTGGGACAAGCGACGGGAGCACACTCCGTCACCTGGATTCGATCTTATGACTGCTGGTCTTCCAACCTTGAAGCACAGAGGCTTCTGCGGTTTAACCTTCAGTTGCAACCACGTCCCCTTCATACACATCTAAACATATACTAAACGTACTTGTGTTATTTTAGTGGGAATTTTTAGTCTTGTCAGAGCTGGGGGCAGGGGCTGGACCTTGTGATACGTTCCAGATGATTTTCCTTAGGTCTATATAAAGTGGAACTTATCTATAGAATGTCATCTTCTTTGTCCATGCCAGAAACAATCCAGTGGTGCCTCCAGAGTAGGAGGATCAACCAGAGGGAGGAGTTGTTTCCCAAGAGATGCCCAAGTATGTCCACGGTCCTCATCATCTTTTGGGAGGCTCCTTCCATGTCCCCTGTAAAACTTAAGAAGTTTCCCTTTACACAGTCGAATCATTGGTTCATCTAGCTCAGTATTGCTGAAAATACATAGAGTTCTCAGGATACGTGTCTGTTGCACAACAGTTGTTCTTCTTTGTGGCCTCTGTGAATGCACACATATGGGTATTGTCTGCGCCTGCACTGACTCTCTCGGAAGAACTAGTCAGTATTAAAAACAATGTTGATTTTTTTAAATAGCTAAATTTAAAAAAACCGAGTGTTCCCTAGACACTTATCACTTTAAACCCTGCCTGATAAGGAAGGATGTTGGTCCCCTCCCTCTCGTCCTTCCATTCTCAGGCAATTGGGCTCCTAGGGGAGCACATTCCAAAGGAAATATCCTCAGGTTTTACAGCAGCAAGGTGATTTAAGACATGTATTTATGTATGAGGCTTGGCAGTTGTCACACCTTGTTCCACCACATGGCAGCTGGGTTGGTAGATTTTTCCACCAGTGCACTCCTCACCAGACATTAATGGCAAGACATTTGTATTCTAGCAGAAAGGTGCTGTGGCACTTTCTCTCTCCTCCTTAGATTCAGCGGCTTCTGTTCTTCCTTGTCATTGTGCACACCAAACTCATTGGATGCCTTTTCACACCAAACAGAGAAAATTCTCTCCTCCTTAGATTCAGCTGCTTCTGTTCTTGTCATTGTGCACACCAAACTCACTGGATGCCTTTTCACACCAAACAGAGAAAAGAAAGCCAGATGTTTAACTTTGAAGGTTTTCTCTGGTTTGGTGTGCAGTGGTTTCCAATTCCTTATGTAACTCAGGGATCTTAGGTCCTGTTTAAGATAGTGTCCTCACTGATGTTTTATCTACTGTCCTCCAGCCAATATGACCATTTGGGACTTGGGTGTTTTATTATTTTAATTATGCTTCTCAGATTGTCTTCTGTCCCTGCTTTGTCAGGGGAATGAGCTTTGGAGAGATCTTCCTATACATGTATGTTGCCATTTCATAATGGCAGAGACAATGAAAGATCCACTGCAGATCTTTGGGGCAGGAGGTGTTTGAAAACTACAGATAATGTAATTTTCTTCTCATTTGCCCTATCGGAGCATCCTGATTTTCCAAGCTATTTCTTCTCTGCAGAAATTGGTCAGGATGCAGGAGATCCAAAAGCTACACCAAAAAGAGAAGGGCGCATCTCCTTCAGCCGCCAGGCATCTCAGCCAGAGCTGGGTGAGAGCTCCCGAATCCGCTGTCCTGTTTTTGTCTACAGCTGCTCTTTGGAGCTGCTGCGGGAGCAGATGATCAATCCCAGACCAGTTAAGCCTCTTCGAGATATCTTTTTCAGGTGAGGTGCAGTCCTAGCATATCTTGGCAGTATCTACCGAGCAAACCTTGGGCTTTGAGACTGTCTCCTTGGTTCAGGAGTGCAGGCTTTCACTGTTGAGTCTCCCAAACAGGAGTGGCATGCTGTATCTTGGGTTAAGAGCAGGCTAAATAGGAGGAATTTCAGCCTTGCTGTAAGTGGGCACCTTGTTATGCTGTTGGGTGCTTCTTTTTTCCAGGAGCCAGTCTGTGGAGCGCCCCACCAGTGCTCCCTGGCTAGATTCCAAACATAAGGAATTGGTGAGTTACTGCACCTTGCTTCAAGAGCATTCCCACCAGTGCTATGTGAAAGGTAAGGAGCAGAAATATGCTGCTAGGAGGGAGGAATGGAAAAAGACAAGCATCACACATACTTCCTCTGTTACTGCCCTGAGCTTGACTTTTTTTCTTGAAGACCAGGAGAGGGGTATACGGTTTGTCCAGTGGCTGTGGGAAAGGTGCATCCCTCACAGTTACACAGCTTGATTTTATGGCAAAGTGAGGGTTGGGCAGGGCTTATTTATTCTATCTCACCTTTCTCCCTGAAAGGACCCAAGGTGAACCCAAGAAATCTTGGGTGCTTTCTTGTGTAAGTGTATTATTCACACTGCTTACTATGCCCATCTTAGGTGCATTTAAACAGCCACCTGATGTGTATCCTTTCCTCGTTCTCTTTAGGGCTGTTCCGCAGCTTACAACAGGGTCATGACGTCACTGCCTTTGATATTCTCACTGCCGTGGATTACTGTGAGGAACTTCTGCAAGAGATAGACATCACTAGCTTCCTTCTTACGCTGTGCAATCATGTGCGCTCCTTTTGTGACCGTCACCAACACCAGCTCACCAGCTTGGAGGGAGAAGCACCACGAGAATCTCAGACACGGGGGGTGCTAGCCTCTGTTTCCAGGTGATGTGGTTCTTCCTATATAGAGGGAACAGAATTTGAAAAGAAAAGTAGCCCTGTGATGTTCTGGCAGTATTAGTAGTACAATCTACATGAATTTTCTCTCCTCCTGCTGGATGTAGCAGATTGTTGCCTAACTTAATGGGTGACTTTGCTCTGTATCATCTCTTTCAAGTTGTTGCATGGCCAAATTGATATATAACACTATACCATGATTTAGCACTGTGCGCAAAGCGAAATATAGCCGGTGTGAAGCCATGTGAAAGGCACAGGCCTCCTTTTCCTCTTCTATAGATTGGAGTAAGGAACAAATCAAATTTTAGTTTTGCTTTAGCAGACTCTTGGTTTATTCTTAGGCGTGAAGGAGGAATCATGATTAAAAATAAATTCTTGTCCGCTGCTAAATGAGCTAGCAACATTCTCTACATTATTTGGGTCATTTGGTCAAATGACTTCCTCTCAGATCACAGTGCCTGGTGTGCATGTAGTGGGAATACAGGAATCTGTTAAAACAAAACTGCTTTAGTCTTCCTTCTGGTTATATGAGAGGAAACATGGGGAATGTGCGAGCTAGGAGTTTTATAGAGGCAAATGTACATAGTGCTAAACACTTCATGTTACAGTCATGTATGACTTTTGAGTAGCTAATATGATTTGATGCAAAAAATGAAGGTTTTTTTCTTAAATTAGGGTTGAGAAAGGGAAATGGTTTTGTATGTTACATGTTATGGCTGACTGTATATCTTTGCCACAACAAAAAATGATGAAAAAATGGAGAAATACAGGAAGGTTCTCTCATTTCTGATAGTAGATTGGAAACTGCTAGATCTCTTACCTAAAGAAGACGAAGACAGAAAAGAGATCAGAGGAGAGCCAAAGTTTCTGATCTTATACTCATGGGAAGAACAGTTCAGACTTACACAAATGAAGAAAAGTGCCTATGCTGTACTGCACAACTTTCACCTTTCCACTTTGTTGGAGGGTGGACTTGAAAGTTAATTTGAGTTGTAAAATGAAATTTCGCCATCTGCATCCCAGTACTGAAACCAACTTCCAGTTTGAGATTGTAGACAAGGCTGGTTATTTCCCATGCATCGACCTTCCTGAGGTACATAGCAGTTCTCTTGAGGCAGGTGTAGTGTACCTGTGTTTAGTGGCTTGTGCTCTGTTCTTCTAACTCATGGGCATTAACAGCTGATGTAGCAAGGCGTGCAGCTGTAAGAGTGAAGATATTTGTAACCAAGGGCTGCCTAATTCCTGCTACTTGTGAGTGCTGGGCTTCCAGTCGTAGGGAAGTAGGAGCTTGAAGTAACTTTACACTATGATCATGTCTGTGCATGCACCTGTCCTGGTCCTGAAGAAGCAACAGAAAAAGATAATATGGCACACTTGTCTGGCTGCAGGTACAGTCCCATATCCGAGTACAACAAGCGAGCCTTGCACTCTTTCTGAAGTGTCCCGTGGCTTGAGCTCTGAATTGTTGCAAGTATGCTGTGGCACCAGTGAGACTGGAAAAGAGGAAAGGATGGGTGTAAGAATCAGTGAGGAAAAAGTAAAAAAATGGAACATGTTGATTTGGAGAAAATCTGAACAAAAATGTTCTTGCAGAACTCTTCAAAACTATGAATAGGATGGACACAAAGTCTGTGCTTTTTGAAGAAAGAAGCAGAGCAAGTAAAGAATGAAATGTTGCTTTTAACACAGGAACAATTCAACTGTAAAGTGGAATCAATTACCAAGGAGGTTTTGTTTTGTGGTTTGGATTTGTTCTCCATTTTTTTACATGTCATTGTTAAAGTTCTACATAATCAACATATTTGTGCAATTGCAACAACTGTAATGACTACATTAAAATGTAATGAATGTAAGATTACTTTTTAGAAATTTTTGAATTTTAAATCAGATACAACAAATTACTTTCCTTCACTATTCACTTTGAACACTTCACCTCATAATCTTTCTTTTGTCTCCATTTGACCAAATCAATAAATGCACATTGGTCTGTAATGATAGGGTTTATCCACTGATCCTCTTCCTAATCATGGTAGATAAGTTCTTTTAAAAATCAGTTGCCTAAACCTCTAACAAATCAGTCTTAGAAAGGTTCATTATAACATTAGGTTGAGCATTTTTAAGATACTGTCCAGCTGTAAATGTTATAATACATTTCTCTGGAAAGTGTTACTTAAAGCAGCAGTCCCCAAATATTTTGGGACTGTGGGCTGGTTGGGGGGTGCGGTCCCCGTGCGTGGGGGGCGTGTCGTGCTTGGGGAGGGGCATGTCACACTCCCGGAAGGGCCTTGTGCACCTGTGCCCACCCGTGAGCGTGACACGCCCACCAGGGGGCGGAGATCAGTCTCTGCCGCCCAGTTCTGGCAAGTCCACAGACTGGCACCAGGCCACAGACCAGGGGTTGGGAACCCCTGACTTAAAGCATTGAGGGAGCAGTTCAGACCTTGAAAGAATGATTGAAACACTCATGCTGCTGAAACAAAACCAATTGTGCACCTGTCCCCACCCGTGAGCGTGACACGCCCACCAGGGGGCGGAGATCAGTCTCTGCCGCCCAGTTCTGGCAAGTCCACAGACTGGCACCAGGCCACAGACCAGGGGTTGGGAACCCCTGACTTAAAGCATTGAGGGAGCAGTTCAGACCTTGAAAGAATGATTGAAACACTCATGCTGCTGAAACAAAACCAAGAACTTCAGGTCTTGTCTGACTGTTCACCCTCACTTGGCCTGAGGAGAGCTGATTAAAACATCGTATTTTGTGCTCTTATATTCTTTATCAGAATGGACTATATAGCTTCTGTAACATGGCTGTGTGATCAAAGGCCTTGATTTCTGTGGGACTCTGTTCATGGACCCACAGCCCACAAACACCAGGTTTCAACAAAAGCAGAGCTCACAGTGTCTGTATCTGGGCCTTAAATCATTTAGAAAAGGGGGTTTAAAAGGAATGATTAGTTGCTGACTGCAAAAATAGTGCTGTAGGAGTGCTGTAGGAGTGAATGACTGACTATGGGGCTATGAAGATACTTGAAAGTGACTTGATTCTTTTTGAACCTCTATTGTCTAGCACAGAGACGGAGGATTTTAGTGAACCAGATTCCCAGATCTCTGCCTGTCCTTCCCAAGAGCCCAGCCAGCGTTGCTGTCCAGAGTTCCCTCTTTCGCTCTTATATAGCCAACCTTGCCAAGAGCATCCTGACTTGAACAGGATCATCCAGGTAAGGGGGAAACTTCATTTGGGGTTGGTTAAGCATCATAGCTCTTCTGATCAAAGTAGGCTATCTTAGCCATTTCTTTCTTTCTCTTCTAGGATAAGTTCTTGGAGATTGGCAGCTTATATTTTAAGCCAGTGCCATCGAATCCTCATTATTTTTTCTATTGTCCTTCTTCTGCAAAAAAAGAGGTAAGACAATATGCTTCCATATTTGTCTTCCTGCCCTATTAGATCCCCTTGTGGGAGCTGGAGGCCATTAAAGACAAATGTGGGAGGATGCAGTACCGAGGCTTTGCGTGTGTTGTGTGAGCTATTGCTTGTTGCTGTTCAGGAAGAAGCCTCGCAGGATGAGGTGGATAGGAAAGGCAGTGAAGACCTGGAGAGCTCAGAAACTGATCTGGCAGCTGATGAAGGTAAGGAGACCTTTTTACAGTACTGTGAATTGCTATAGCAACTAAATACATGCTACCCTCTGTATAATTTAGTGATACAGGATTTTTTTAAATCCGTGGAAGACGTAGAAAAGTTAAATGCATTTGTTTAAGAGTTCTTCAGTGGTATTACTGTTTTGTCTGAGCTCAGCAGATTTAGGTAGAGCAGATCTGGGCAAAGTGCGCTCCTGTCTGGGTTGAAACGTTTCTGTACTCATCCAAGTAGCTTCTTCAGTCTGAGGAGAGTTGGGATCAGGGATCTCCTACCAACTCTCCTCAGACTGAAGAAGCTACTTGGATGAGTAGTGAAAGATTTCAACCTAACAAGAAATACATCCAGTTGCCATGACTCAGCTTCCAGATTTGTAAACCTAATCTGAAGCAGATTTTGGTAAAAGGGTGGTACAACAGATGGTTCCTAAGTAACTTTCAGCCACCTTCCCAGTTATATTAGACTGCTGGAGTTTGGGTAAATCACACTTTTTCTGGCTGGTTACTTCGTGTGGATTGAGAATGGTGCACTGAATATTTGTCGTGAGGGGACATTCTGGTCTGCAATGAAGGAGACATCCTGACCCACCCATGCAGTGGTTGATACATTCTTTGGCATTATTTGTCTTATGAGTGACCTGGGCACAATCCTGCAGCAGGAGATTCGGTTTTTTTTCTTGAAGCTCTATTTTTTTCTTGTGCTTGTTAGTTAAAGAACTAGGAAGGAGCTGAGCATATGTATTAGATATGCAAAACTTTTCTTCTTAGTTAACCCCTGCCATTCCTGGGCAGAAAAGGATGTCTGGATGTCTCTTTCCTCTGAGACCAAAATTGGCCTTCATAGTGAGTGTCTAATGTATGATTTCCAGATACTGTTTGACTCAGACTGTCATCATTCCTAACTGTAGATTACCTATTTGGGGCTGGTGGGAGTTGGTTTTCAAAATCTGGAGAACCATAAGATGTCTACTCCACTTTTAGGTCGAAATTACACTTGGATTTTGGAATTTGGATTGAAAAAAACTTCCTGTTGTCTATAGTTGAGGATTTGTAAGACCTTTTGTAGGCAGCAGAGTTGCTGAAGCTTGACATTAGAGTAACTGTACCGTTAGCAGTCGTAGGATAGCCAAAGCACACCTCAGGCCCTCTTTTGTAAAGAAACATGCCTGTTCCAAAGGGACATTCTAACCAGTCTTTCTTTATAAGTACAGTACTGTAACTGTTTAAAATCTGAAAGGAGTTTCCAGTGTTGTGTTATTGGCATCTGGTGTGTGCTGTATGACTCTGTCTTGCTTCTCTATATTTATATTTCTCTCATTTGTTTACATTTCCTTTCAACTGTCAACAATCCAGATTTGCTGGTAGAGCAAATTGTTACCCCATGTAATACACCTTGTTAAGTTTCTTTGAGAGTTTACATTCCTTTTGCTGTACATACATTTCACTACTCTAGGAGTTTTATGGCCTAGAAATTTTTCCTCTCCATTGTTTACATTGTCTTGTTTGTTTACATGTCCACACTCAAGTGTTAGCTTGTTAGGAAAGAAGCAATGATATTTTTACTTTTACCTAGCTTTCAGACTTGGATGGACAACTGGCTGATTGTTTTGCAGTGACCTTTAGGATACCGCTGTTCAAACCTTGTTTTTCAAACCACAATGCGTATTTTCAGGTTTGCTTTTCAACACACCTCTAATTATTTTAGCCCTCTAAACATACAAAACATTAAACCTTGTCATCCCCCCACAGCTGAGAGTGGGGATGTCCTGCTTGTGGAGCTCCTCTTTTCTTCAATAGTCCAGCAGTTGACCTCTGGTCATACTTCATCTGTCTGTGATGTCTTGCAGCATTGCTTGCAGAACTTGTGTGGCTCAGTTCAGTATTCTTATTCTGCATACATCTGCTTGGGTCTGGATCCCTCTTCTGACAAAGTTTTGCCCATGTTGCTTATTGCTCTCTAACATGAAAAGAAATGGTGAGCGAGCTAAAAAATAACCCCAAAATGCTCCTCTTTTTTTTCTGTAGACAAGAGGGAAATGCATTATGATTAGGCTATTAAGAATGTTTTCTTGCTATTGCTGGCATTTTAGTAGCATAGGTAAGGTTTTCAAAATTTAGAAAATATCAAAATGCAAAAATGCACACGTTCAAAAGGTGTTGAATGCAACAGGCTCCTTCAAAAATATCTAGAAAATAAATTGGTGAGGAAAAGGAAATGTTGACATGCGATGACATTAAAATTTCCTTAACTTCTGGAAGCTTGTCAGATAGTTTCAACTTAGAACAGTTGCTCTACTGACCGAATTACTCATGTGGATGTTATCTGAAGTTATTGAGAGCATCTGTCTGTACCCAGTTCATTTGTCTCCTTGAAAAAGTTTTTTTTGGACTTAATCAAAATGAAGAAAATTATTAATATCAAGGCATCTTCTTCCCATTTTTAGAAAAAGGGAAATTTGCATACTACATGTATAATGTGCTGAATATTAATTAAATTGGCCTCTTGAGGTCTATCTGCTTTAGTGCCTAGTGTGCTTATCAGAAGGTGCAAAGAAGTGGCCTGGGAACAGTGTGGAGAAATGAAGGGCTGCTCTTCCTCCTGCCATTTTGATGTCCCATAATTTTTTTTGGGGGGGGTCTTCCTGCTAAAATATGGAACAGAGTTCTTTCCTCCCCAAAGATCCCATCCCTGGTAATGAATGCTAAGCTGAATTTGCAGTAAAATCCAGTCCAGTTACATAGAACACCGATCAGCCAGCTATTTGATCGATGTTTATTCAAATAACTAAGTAATCTTTGGTCTTTATGGCTTTATTAATATGACTATAATTCATAGTTACAGCTATACATTTCTGAGATAAGAATGATCAAGCAGACATTCATGTGCCAGTTGTGAAAACACACTGATAAAAAAACCCTTTCCTTGAAGTGATATTAAAAAAAATTGTGCTTATTCTACAAGATGCCTTAGCTTTGAGGGGCTTATGTTAAATAAAGCAGCATGTGCTTTCTGTTTTATTATGTATTGGTACATGATTTCTTAAACAGACTCCAGGCATTGCAGTAGTGCAAGTCATTTGTGTACCTACCCATCTGTCAATCTGTTTATTGATTTTTTTTTAAAAAAAAAAACCACCTTTCCTCCAGTAAGCTCAAGCCCCTTCAACATGTCTCTCCTTCTCACCACATTTATCTGTTACTCTGTCTGTCTGGTGGTGCCTCTTACAATATACCAAGCCAATCTTTCTTGCCATTTAGAGGTTTATTTTATTTAGCCTCATCATGCTAAACTTTTCTAAGAGGCTTGACACACCATAGTTTTTTTCTGCATTTCATTTTTTAAAAAAATTTGGCCTATGAATTCTTCATATGTAGGGAATGCATCTGCTGGTGGCATCGTCACTGAGAGTGACCCGGAACTGGAGGTTGAATATCGGGACCCCCTCGACCATGAACCTCTAGAAGCAGACTCAGTTTCAGACTCCAACACTGTGAACCAGGATGAAGACTCCTTCAGTGTGTTGGGAGATTCTCTGGCAGAACAGGAGCTGCTGGAGCAAGAAATGCCACCCCTCTTTATGCACTTGACCTGCTCCATAAAGCTGCGTGGCCAGCACAATTCCAAGCCTGTTCGCACACTGCCCACCTGCCTAGGTGAATGGAATTAAATGAACCTGTGCCTTGACGTGGGGGTAGTACAGCAAGGGTACAAAGGGCGGTATATAAGTCCAAAAAAAAAAATGCCCCAGGAAGGTGGGTGGGCTGGAGGGGTCATGTGGTAAAGGCTTACCCTCCTCCTTGGACATGTGGCAAAAGGGCATAGCATTCTCTTCCCTCAATAATGTCTGTCCCTTCTTCTAGGAGAGGTGCTGGGCTCTGTTGAAAGCTTCAGGACATTGCACAGCATCGATCTATCAGAGCTCTGTGTGACCCTTGATGTTTTTGTTCTGACCCTTCCCCTGGAAATTGAAATGGTGAATGATTTGCATCACAATCGGTAAGGTCCTAGGATTTGCACTGAGTTGTGGGTGAGGACACTGTATGCAGAAAAGTTTGGCTAGAACTGAAGAAAGCCTAGTGACTCTTCCCTCTCTTTCCCACAGGTACACCTCTGAGAGCAGCATCTCCTTCACCCGTTCCCCAGGGCGGCCCTCCTCTTTCCGCTCTGATGAGGAACTTATGCACACTTTGGACAGGCTGCCATCAACTATGGATGATGGGTATGGATCCTCTTTATTATGTTTTTGCTGGAGTGCACAGGTAGTATGCCGCCGTGTCTAATAACTGGCTTCTCTTTTCAAGGCACCCAGCACTCTCCAACCTTCCTGGATTACATAGGCAGGCTGTTGAAGCTATAATGACAGAGGTGAGTCCTTCTGCCCCTTTGAACTGGGCCGTTCTAAACTTAAGAGAGTACAGTGGTACCTCACTAGACGACGACTCCACTAAACAATGAATTTGCATAATACTGATGTTTTGCGATCGCTATAGTGATTCGCAAAACAGTGATTTCAATGGGCAATTTTTGCTGGACGTTGATTTGGTCTGTGCTTCGCGGACCATTTGTTCGCAAGACAACGATTTCTACAGCTGATCGTTGGCTTTGCAAAATGGCTGCCCTGTGTTTTCCGAACCCATGCTTCGCAGGACAGCTATTTTTACAGCTGATCAGCGCTCTCAAAATGGCTTCCCTATGGGAGATCTTCACTGGACGACGATGCATTTTCCCCACTGGCACACATTAAACAGGTTTCAGTGCATTCCAATGGGGAACCTGTTTTCGCTAGACTATGATTTCGCTGAACAGTGATTTCCATGGAACAAATTATCATCGTCATGCGGGGCACCATTGTATGCTTCTTGCTTTCAGTCTCTCTTTTTTCTTACCCCACCATCCTGGAGTGTAACTTAACTAGGGGCAAGCTTGGTAATGAAGTAACAGCTAACAGCAGACCCACATTAGGGTCTGTGCTGGGGCTTATGATTTAGACCTTGCTATGTTGCCTTTACCACCTCAGATCCGTTGGCTCTTGGATGATGAGATTGTGTCAGCATTGCGCCACTCACGACCGATTGTGGCTGACACTTTGAGCCGAGTGGCTAACCACGTCTACAGTTCTCAAGGCCGCCAAAGCTGTTGCTGTGAGGCTGTCCCTTTGCAGTTTGTGTTTGGACCTGAGATATCACTGGAAAAGTTTCGTGAGGTAAGTGGGTCTCTGTCTTTCACCTTTCCTTTTTCTTTTAAAAAACCTGACCTATTGTCCACAGCTTTTAGATCTTTCGCTTCTAGGCCTTCAACAACATTTCCTTCAAATAGACCTATCCTTCAAAATATGTCTTCCCTTACCTCTGTAAATTATATTCCCATAGAGCTGTCTTGTGCTTGCTCCCTGTCACTGAGACTTCACTGTTCTGTTGCAGGAATTCCAGAGAATGACCCTACCCGGCTATGTACTTAATGCTGAAGGGAACGATTTCTACTTTGTTTCTGTTAGCCGCTTGCATGCCCTAGTAGGCGGACCCAGTCCTTCGGTAACGCTGGAAAGCACCATGACAGGAGGCAGGTGTGAAAGCAACTGCAGAACTGAAGGTTCTTTGTCCCATTCTACTCCGCCTGAGGAGGTTCATGGTCCCTGGACATGGCCAACAAGTGAAACCAAAACTGGGCTGGAGACTGGAGAACTTCCTGGCATAAGTAGCCATGTACATGATGAGGTAAATAGCAATGTACATGGTGGCATCTGTCTTAGATTAATGGCTGTTTGTTCAGTATTGGACTGCAGTGTCAAAGGTGTTTGTGCGTTACCCCAAATTGTCTTATGGTTTCATTGGAAGTGAGATCTAACAAGTTTTTACTGTGATATAGGGGTCAGATGAAGTTCAACGACTAGATCAAGCCAGTACTCTGAAGCGTGACTCCCTGGATGAGGAGCTTTCAACCCAGCCACAACCATTGCCTTATTCCTCAGATAAATGGAACAGTGAGAAATCTCCCTCTGCAACGCCATCTCTAGCAAGTTTGACAGACTCTTTGACCCCAGGCAGGGAAGGTGAGGAGCTGTCTCCAACTAAATGTAGAGAATAAGGGCCAGTTGATAAAAAGTGGTGTATAATTCGGCATATGGCAGTCTTTCTCAACCTTCTTTAAATGTTAAAAATGCACTTCGATCATCCTTGACCATTGGCTATGTTACCTGAGTATTATAGGGACAGTTTAGGAAAGACTGCTTTAAACTTGCCCTAGGTTGCTTAATATCACCATGGAGGCTTAGCAGGGTTTTATATTTTCTTGAGACATATCTGGGAGGAGTGCTTCAGATGCAAGCTGAGGAGAGATTATCTGGTATCTGTTGCATATTGTGTTCCATATTCAGGAAAGCATCTTCTTTCCAAGGACTTCTGTCCTGATGCCTTTTCCATGTTGGTCCATTTTTGAACAAGTACAGTGTACCTCGCTAGACGACAACTCTGCTGTATGACAAAATTGCATGATGATGACTTTTTGCGATTGTTATAGTGATTTGCAAAACAGTCATTCCTATGGGGGAATTTCGCTGGACGTCGATTAGGTCCGTGCTTCGCGGACCGTTTATTCGCAAGACGACAAATTTTTTTGACGATTGTTGGCTTCCTAAAGTGGCTGCCCTGTGTTTTCCGGACCCATGCTTTGCAGGGCAGCCATTTTAACAGCTGATTGGTGCTCGCAAAATGGCTTCCCTATCGGCGATCTTCGCTGGACAACGAGGTATTTTCCCCATTGTAACACATTAAACGGGTTTCAATGCATTCCAATGGGGGAAAGGCTTTTCGCATGACGACGATTTTGCTTAACAGTGATTTTCCTGGAACAGATTATCGTCGTCATACAGGGCACCACTGTATTAATAAGCATATTGCAATCTCTAGCCCTGGCCACTTAAAGAAGTTTATGCAAAGCACACTCTTTTTGTTACAAGAAATAAAGATGACGAAGATAATAATAATTATAATAATACCAGTCTTGCCAGCTAAAATCTTATTGGTGTTCATATAAGATTTGTGTAACTTTCCACAGCAAATTGACAAGCTGCTGAGGTGCATCTGAGTTGCGCAGGTGGATGTGTGACCAGGCCTATGACCAGCATGCATATTTGGTGCCTTGTCAGATAACCACAGTTAGCCTTACCAAGTTACACAAACACCTGTAGATTTCTAGACATTATTCTGAAAGAACAGATGCATAAATACATTTCCAAAAGCTTTTCAGAACCTTGAAACTGATGGCATATAGATTTTTAAAGGAACACACATTTTCTTCAGCTTTCTAGGTCAGTTTAAAACATTTGTTCCTGGGGGATATTGCATGTTGTCAATCTCAAAGATTCTGAAAAGCCTTTGTAATATAGTCATAATACATGTATGTGAGCAGTCCAATTCAGGAGTATCCAGGATGGCTCTTCATCTTTTTTGCTTAGACTGAAAAGTTGCAGAATGGTAGGGATATATTTACTGAAACTTGTACCAATATATGAGGTGTAATGTTGGTTGCTGATATTTTTGGGATGGCATTTACTTCATGAACCTCTAGAACAGATAAATTGATTGGTTTCTGAAGTCATATATTCAGCTTGTGCAGCCTTTTAGAACTTTGTTGCCACTTCAATTGAGCCCTTGACAGCCATGAATCAATGTGGGGGTATTGTTTTTATGTAGGTCCATGAGGTAAATTCTGAGATGCGTGTATAATGTCAAATGGATTTCTTGTTCCTTACTTTTTTTTTTTTTTTTTTTTTTTTTTTTTTTTTTTTTTTTTTTTTTTTTTTTTTTTTTTTTTTTTGGCTTAAGTTAATTGTATTTTCATTCTGTGAGGGCTTGTTCCAATGCTCTGTTTTGTACAGCCTAGTTAACTTCTTAGAAATTGATAGAATGCACAGAAAATGATGTTCAGTTGTTGCCTGTGGTGCCTTTTAATTTCTGGATGCCTTCTTGATTTTAAAGGCTGATTGATTTCACCTACTTTGAGTAGATTATTGGGTGCCTTTTATTATTTGCTCTTGATGTGTTTGCATGTCAGCCTTGGCCCTTGCATTTTAAATTGCTCACTGGGATTGGCCAGACAAAAATATGTAGTTTCACACTGGTGAGAATATGTAGGTCAGCGTATTTTCTCAGGCCTATCTCTAACAGCAAAGAGACTTCCTCTCCTAGGGGTAGCTGTTAAAATCCTTTTCTTTCTTTCTTTTTTTCTCTGCTCCAATATTGATTTTTCTATAATCAAAACCACGTTAGAGCAGCTGGGCCCATGAGGCTGTAAGCTCTGAAAGGATTCATGTGTCTTGCTTTCGGCTTTATTTATGAAGTCAGTCTTGTTTCGTCCCTTCCATCAAACAATCCATGCAGCAACCGGGGTAAAAACAGGACTGCAGTCTTGTGTCACGCTGACACCCTTTTCTTTACAGGTTTGTTTCTTTATATGAGTTGGGGGGAACCCTGTCAAAGGGCTTAAAATAGATTTCTGCTTAAATTTAGGAGAGAACTAGGGAATCTAGAATCTCAGGTGCTTTTAACTCTTTCCTACAGGTTGTGGGAAGCAGTACCCTAGTAGGGTTCAGAGCCTGGTATCGAGTCAGGGTAGTGTGGATTCTGATCTCCTAGGTGAGTAGAATTGCTGAATCACCTTTGTGTGGGAGCACTGCCTAGGGGCTTAAGCCAGTCTCCCCCAACATGATACCCTCCAGTTATCTTGGATTATACCTCCCGAGCCAGCATTCCCAATGATAATGTTTGAAGCAGGTAATGAGAATGTTTGTACAGTAAATTGTGAAGGCATCAAGTTGGGGAAAGTGGGCTTAAATTTTTTTTTGCTTTTTTCTCCTACAAAAAGTGGTGGAAGAAACTACAGGACTAGCTGTCCTAATCTTGATTCTAACCACTTGAGATGCCTTTCTGGAAGAAGTTGCATTAAGAACTGGGGGAAAGTGACTGTGTTATACTTGAGTTCTTGATTTCAAAGAAGCAAAAGCATAGTGTAGCCACACGTGTACGCTGCATTTTAAAAAAGCCAATTTTAAAAATAAACTGAGAACAACAATAAGTAAAGTCCCATGTCAGGAGTTCCTAACAAACAAAAAGAGTCCAAGATGGGTGGGAGGTTTTTTAAAAAAAGAAATTATAAAGACATGACTGCAAACAATTCCAACAAGAAAAAATGCAGAAGAAACCAAAAAAGGCATACAGTGGTGTCTCACAAGACGGGCGCCCCGTTTAACGATGAAATCGCATTACGATGAACTTTTTGCGGTTGCAAAATGATGTTTTCTATGGGGGAATTTCGCTTTGCGATGATCAGTTCCCTGCTTGGGGAACCAATTCTCGCAAAATGACGATTTTCGGCCAGCTGATTGGCGGTTTCAAAATGGCCGCCAGGTAAAAAAATGGCTCCCCGCTCTTTTCTGGGACGGATTCCTCGCTGCACGGGCAGCGAAAATGGCCGCGCTATTGATGATCTTTGCTGGACAGTGAGTTTCAAGCCCATAGGAACGCATTAATTGGGTTTTAATGCGTTTCTATGGGCTTTTAAATTTCGCATTACAACATTTTCGTTCTACAGCAATTTCGCTGGAATGAATTAACGTCATAATGCGAGGCATCGCTGTATGTGGTTTCACAAAAAAGCATAGAGAGGACCTGAAAGTTAAAAAAATGACACACATAAGAAGTGGAAGGCAGGCTAGATCATGAAGAAAGAGTATAGAGAGGTAGCAAAGAATTACAGGAGTGGCATTAGGAAGGAAAAAGCTGAGAATGAGCTGAGGTTAGCAACAGAGACTGAAAGCAACAAAAACAAAACAAAAAATCTTCAGGTACATGTGTAGCAAAGAAAATAAATAGTAGCTCAGCTACTCAGGGTGGAAAAATGATAACATACAACCAAAAAGGGGGCAAAAGTGCTCAATTCATACTGTAGCTGAGTCTTTCCCAGAAGACATTTTATGAATGTGAAGTACAAGTGGAAAGTACAGTGGACCCTCGACTTACAGACGGCTTGACTTACAGACTTTTCGAGTTACAGACTTCTCTGGCTGCAAAATTTAGATTCGACTTGCAGCCAGAAAATCGACTTACAGACCAGAAAAAAACCAAAATGGAATAAAAATAGAATAAAAACCACTGGTTATGGGATTAATCGGTTTTCAGTGCATTGTAGGTCAATGGAGATTCGACTTACAGACTTTTCGACTTGCAGCCACCATTCCAATACGGATTACTTCCTTAAGTAGAGGGTCCACTGTACTGGATTGCAGCTTGACATTAATAAGTAGTCAAGGAATACCTTATTACTTTGAGTTCAGATCTTCAGGGCCCAATGAACTTCATCCAAGAGTATTAAAAGAACTGGCTGAAGAATTATCAGAACCACTATCTATTATTTCCTTGAAATCATGGAAAATGGGTGAAGTGCTGGATGATTGGAGGAGTGCTAATGTCCCTAACTTCAAAAACGGCAGATAGGAGAAACCTGGGAACTATAGACCAATTAGTCTGACATCAATCCCTGGGAAAGTTTTAGAGTAGATTATAAAACAGTCACTCTGCAAGCATCTTGAAAACAATGCAGTAATAGATAGAAGTCAATACAGATTTGTCAAGAACAGATCCTTCCATATTAATCTCACCTATTTTTTATTGAGTAACCTCTTTGTAGACAGTGAGAATGCTGTAGATGTAATATATACTGACTCCAGCAAAAACTTTGACAGAGTACTCCATGATATTCTTATTAGCAGACCAACTACATGTGGGCTGGATAGAGTAAGTATAAGGTGGATACACTGTTGGTTATAGAATCATGTTCAGAGAGTGCTTGTTATCAATGTCTCTTTCTTAAACTGGAAAAGGTAACAGACATGATATCACAAGGCTCAGTCCGGGGCCCAGTGCTCTTCAATATTTTTACTAATGACTAGAATGAGTGGGTGCATAGAATGCTTATCAAATTTGTGGGTTATACAAACTTGGATGGAACAGCTAATACCTTGGAAGAGAGAAAACAAAGTCCAGAAAGATCTTGATAGGCTTGAGTACTGGGCTACAGTTCTGCAAGAACTTCACTAAGCAAGCCCTTAAACTCAGACAACAGTGTTTCAGGTCATTCCTCTGGGAACGTTCCTTGCTGGAAACAAAGAATGAAATTTAATTGGGATAAGTGCAGATTTCTACACCTAGGAAAAAAAAACAAATGCACAGTTCCAATATAGGGAATACTTGGCTCATTAATAGTACATGCAGGAAGGATCTTGGAATTGTTGTTGATCACAAGCTGCAGCCAGTAGTGTGATGCAGCTGCAATGAAGGCAAATGTTATTTTAATTAGCAGTAATAGAGAATGAAATTTAATTGGGATAAGTGCAGATTTCTACACCTAGGAAAAAAAAACAAATGCACAGTTCCAATATAGGGAATACTTGGCTCATTAATAGTACATGCAGGAAGGATCTTGGAATTGTTGTTGATCACAAGCTGCAGCCAGTAGTGTGATGCAGCTGCAATGAAGGCAAATGTTATTTTAATTAGCAGTAATAGTCTCAAAATCATACTAGTCCCCCTCTATTCAGCACTGGTAAGGCCTTATCTTGAGTACTGTGTCCATTTCTAGACACCACAGCTTAAGGATTAACACAAACTGGAATAAGTTTAGAGGAGGGCAACAAGAAAGATCATAGGACTGGAAACCAGTCTCTGTGAGAAAAGACTGAAATAACTGGGCATGTTCAGCCTTGAGAAAAGATTGAGGAGAGATATGATAGCACTCTTCAAATACTTGAAAGATTGTCATACAGAGGAGAGGAAGGATCAGTCCAGAAGGCAGGACATGTAATAATGGGCTCAAGTTACAGGAAGTCAAATTTTAGTTGAATACCTGGAAGAACTTCCTAACTGTCATAGCAGTATGATAATGGAACCTCAGGAGGTGGGGGACATTCCAACCTTGGAGCCATTCAAGAGTAAGTTAGACAATGCTCTGTCAGATACACTTTCAGTTGGATTCCTGTATTGAACAGGAGGTTGGACTTGATGACCTTATAGGCTCCTTTTATCATTCTATGATTCTGTGAGTCACTAAAGTATTGATACTTCCTGACTATTGGACTGCAAAAGAATGTTCAGGCTCCTCAAGGGCCTCCTTATGCATATGGCTGCTTGATGTAAATGAATTGGCTGAATCATTCACAGAAGGCATGGTGCCTTTTCATCTTCCAGGGTATGATGGTGGTAGCAGTGACTCTGAGTGTGAAGAGGTAGTGATGGATGACTTGGAATCCAAGTGCCCCCTCATGCCTGATTTCTGGCTCATCGTAAAGATCCATCAGGACCGGGTAGAAGTCTATTCCCATACACGGTAATTGCCCTTTTCCCAGGAGAAAAAATAAGGATTGTGGGTTTCTTCTTCGTGGTCTCTGTGAATGCGCACTAATGGGTTTAATCTGTGCTTGTGCAGAGGTCTCCGGAATATTCTAGAGCTTTATGATACGTTCGTCAAGGACCGCCACATGGTCTGCCCGTCCTGGCAATTACCTCAGTTCCTTTTTGCTGCTGCTGAGGTTTCTCCTCTCGTCAAGCTCCGTTCGTCATTGCTTTTTTAATCTGAGGAAAATTGGAAAAGACTTTTCAAGTTATTTTTTTCTAGGGTCTATATAATCAAAGGAAAATTGTAAGAGACTTTTTGAGCAATTTTTCTCTATCGCCCCCTCCCCCATTTTTCCCTCCCCGCCATTTATGGACCCTCTTCCCCTGTTTTAAAAGGTGCACCTCGTGCTCTAATAAAGTTCCCCTCACAGATGGCCACAATCTCTGTCTTTTTTGCCTGGGAGAATCTCACCAGCCTTCTATTTGACAGTTCTGCAAGAACTTCACTAAGCAAGCCCTTAAACTCAGACAACAGTGTTTCAGGTCATTCCTCTGGGAACGTTCCTTGCTACCAACTCAGACTATGGAACTGTCCCAAACATCTCAGCCCCCTAAAGAATCTCCAGGTGCAACTACCTCAAAGTCCACCCCGCTGCCAACCTCCCCCCTTCAGTATTGGAACACTCCAAATTTTAAAAAAAAACTTCCACCGATTCTCGTCAATCCAGACACAGGCCAGTACCCGACTTAACACCACTACAGGACCAGCTTGCGTTCTGCCTTTATTCTCCTGAAGAGACCCTTCTTCCTTCTTCTGGTCAACCACCATCTCTGCTACTGGCACAGCCTCCATCTTCTGTAATTTCTCAGATTCGCTGTAGGGCCCCATGCCTACGAATTCAAAGCCGTGCCTTTCGGTGCCTCTACAGCACCAAGGGTATTCACCAAATGTATGGCATCTGTAGCAGCTCACCTGCGTACTCTGGGAATCTCCATCTTCCCCTACATAGACGACTAGCTGATAGTCTCCCCTTTACATTCTCAGGCTTTAAAAGATATCCAGTTGACCCTTTCTCTCCTTGCAGATCTGGGCCTCAAGATCAACAAAGAAAAATCCATTTTTGCCCCTACACAATGGATCACCTACATAGGCACGGTCCTCAACTCTACGAGGGCAAGAGTTTTTCTTCCTTCAGAGAGAGCAGTCAAACTTCACATGCTCATCAAACAATTCCTTCCTCACTCATTCATCACAGCACATTCAGCTCAACGTCTCCTAGGCCTTATGGCCACCACATCGACCATTCAGCACTCCTGGCTAAAGGTGTGCTCCCTACAACCATGATATTTGTCCCTCTTCGATCCTATGACATACTTATGTTCCAGCCTTCTCCAAGTCACCCCGGAGCTCTCTTCTCAGCTCCTCTGGTGGGACACTCCTTTCAACCTGTTTTTGGATGGTCCTTTGCTCCTCTCCAACTATTGGTTCAGATCACCACAGATGCAAGCCCTACTGGATGAGGGGCACATTGCAACGGCCTGCATATTCATGCTACCTGGTCCTGCGCTGAGCGAGCTCTTCATATAATCAGTCTCAAGCTCTTAGCCATTTTGAAGGCCTTCCGAGCCTTCAAACCCATCATTATTGGCAATGTCATTCAAGTCACAACTGACAATACTACTGCGTTGTTTTACATAAACAAACAAGGAGGCACCCATTCCCTTCCACTGCTGTATCTCCCTGTCCAGTTCTGGGAATGGTGTCTAGAATGCCATATTTTTTCCCGTAGTAGTACATACTGTTACTCAAGACAATCTTGTAGTGGACACTCTCAGCAGACTACATATCCAGATGTACGAATGAACTCTAGACCAGTCCGTATTTCACCACCTTTGCAAAATCTGGTGTCAACCACTCGTAGACATGTTTGCCAGCTGACGTTACCATCGTTCCTTGATCGGCGCAGTCGAGCCCCAAATCCAAGGGTTGCTCCATCCCTATTGGTGATTCTGAGTGGGTGTATTCCGTACCCGACATATCACCTCCGCGCAAGCGATTAAGAAAGACCCATCATGTGCCAGACATGTGCCATTCCAATACCAAGCCTGTACGACCCATGACTCCAACTGGGTCTCTGGCATCTCAAGAGCCTCCTACTCGATACCACCACCCGAAACAGGTTACGTTCTATGATCCTCCACGGTATTATGAGCCTCCTCTTAAGCGCTTTCGACATCGAGCATATCAGTATTACCAGCCCGAGCTTAACTTCTATACCAACCCCAGGCATTCTTGACGTCGATGCTACTACCAATTCGATTTCTCTGATTCTTTGACTTCCCCTTGATACCAATCCCATCATCATGGTTACTACTACCGTTCTTCATTGGATGATTACTCCGTACCACTCCCTACAGTACCGAAGGACTTACATTCCAACCTTCTCCAAATCACCCCGGAGCTCTCTTCTCAGCGCCTCTGATGGGACACTCCATCCAACCTGTTCATTGGACAGTCCTTTGCTCCTCTCCAACTATTGGTTCAGATCACCACAGATGCAAGCCCTACTGGATGGGGGGCACATTGCAACGGCCTGCATATTGATGCTACCTGGTCCTGTGCTGAGCGAGCTCTTCATATAATCAATCTCAAGCTCTTAGCCATTTTGAAGGCCTTCCAAGCCTTCGAACCCATCATTCTTGGCAATGTCGTTCAAGTCACAACTGACAATACTACTGTGTTGTTTTACATAAACAAACAAGGAGGCACCCATTCCCTTCCACTGCTGTATCTCCCTGTCCAGTTCTGGGAATGGTGTCTAGAATGCCATATTTTTTCCCGTAGTAGTACATACTGTTACTCAAGACAATCTTGTAGTGGACACTGTCAGCAGACTACATACCCAGATGTACAAATGAACTCTAGACCAGTCCGTATTTCACCACCTTTGCAAAATCTGGCGTCAACCACGCATAGACATGTTCGCCACGTCCCAAAAACTCCAAATGTGCCCTCTTCTATTCGAGGGCAGGCAAGGGACACGGATCCCTCGGAGATGCACTGATGGCAGACTAGACCACACATCTCATTTATCTCTTTCCCCCATTCCTCTCCTTCTCAGAGCAATAGCCAAGATCCGTCACAATCGCTCCAACACAATCCTCATTGCCCCTTGGTGGCCAAGACAACCATGGTTCACCATGCTCCACTCCATCGCTACAGATTACCTCCGATTGCCTCTCATTCCTCACCTTTTCTTGCAACATCATGACAGGACTCACCACCCCAATCTTCACACTCTCCATCTCACGGCGTGGAGGATTCACCCTCGGTAGATGCCATCTTAGCGAATGCCTGAAAGCCTGCCACTGTTAAGCTCTATTCATATAAATGGACTGTCTTCACAAGGTTTGCTCTTCAACATCATCTTCCAACAAATCCTATGACCGTGGATTATCTTTCAGTTTCTCTCCCATCTCTTTCGCAAGGAACTCTCCCTTTCTACTCTCAAGGTTTACCTGTCTGCTATAATAGCTCATCACCCTCAAGATTCCAATGCTGCTCTGCGTCCTTCTGCACCTGCACCATCCCCACAATGGTCTCTACCTGTTATTCTCCACTGGCTTACCTATGCTTCATTTGAGCCACTTGCTACTGTCTCAGAGCACCTCTTTTCCCTTAAGACACTCTTCCTGGTTGCCATTACTTCCACTCGTAGAGCCTCGGAGCTTGCTGCCCTCCGGGTCGATCCTCCATTTCTTCAATTTCACCCAGACAAGGCCACCCTTTTCCCTGATGTCTCCTTTCTACCAAAGGTTGTGTCGGACTTCCACCTCTCCCAACCTTTTTTCTGTCACTTACGACTGACCTAGAGCGGTCTTTACACACGTTGGACGGTAGACATGCACTTGCTTTCTATGTCTCACAGATTTCTTCCTTCCGCAAATCAAAACAACTATTTGTAACACTATACCTCCCTCACAGAGATTCTCATATTTCATCTCAAACTGTATCCCGTTGGCTCGTTGCAACTATAAAACTGCCGTACTAACTCGCCAAACAACCTCTACCTGTTGGTATTAAGGCTCATTCTTCCAGAGCTCTGGCTACCTCTACGGTCTTTCTTCGTGGAGTACCACTCCCAGACATTTGTAAGGCTGCCACATGGGCAACGCCGTCTGCATTTGCCACCCATTATTGCCCGGATCTGAGAGCCAAAAAGGATGCAGCATTTGGGAGAGCTGTACTTTCTTCTGTTCTTCCGTGATGCCCTCCTCCGGTAAGTTGGCTTGTTAATCACCCATTAGTGTGCATTCACAGAGACCATGAAGAAGAAAGAGAGGTTACTTACACCTATAACTCTGGTTCTTCAAGTGGTCCTCTGTGAATTGACACTTCTTGCCCATTCTCCCCTCTGTCCATCACTCCTGTATCACCTTGATGCAGCACCGGGCTCTTCTTAGGTAATTGCAAGAACAAGGCGGACCATGTGTACTAGGTGAGCTGTCCTTGACGAGTGTATCATAAAGCTCTAGAATATTCTGGAGACCTCTGTGCAAGCGCAGATTAAACCCATTAGTGTAAATTCACAGATGACCACTCGAAGAACCAGAGTTACAGATAAGTAACCTCTTTTTTATGCACAGTCTTGTGCAGATCCCCGTTCCCTTAATCTAGAGCTTCAACAAGATCCCAGGCAGTCTTCTCTTTTGTGCTTTCACTGTGTCTTTCCAACATAAGGCAAGGTACCCAATAAGTACTTCCCCATCCCAGTTTTTGTTTAGGCTGGAGAGGAAAGCAAATGGACTATACTCTTGCAATTAGCTCAGGTTTTGTCAGCTACAAAACCCACCTTCCACTTCACCATACCAATACATTTCTAGCTCCTGTTATTGCTCTGTTTCCCCCGACTTTTTATTTGTATTTCTGTGATTTTTGTCTTTGACTTGCCTGTTTTTCACAATCAATTAAGCATGCAGCAAGAAGAGATATTACCTATTCTTCATGGTCTCTGTGATTTACACGGATGGGTATTTCTGTGCCTGCACAGACAGTCTTAGGAACATTTAACCCCTCTTCTGAAATTAATATTATGTTCTACCCAATAGTTACTCCTCAGTTCCCTATAACCACCAACTTGACAGTGTCTTGAAAACCTTATTTATTTATTATTACCTTCCCCTCTTCTTTGCTTTGCTTTCCTAAAAAAAGATTACTCATCATTTATGGTTTCTAAGGAGGCATTTAAGCTCTGTGTTCTTGCAGTGCATTTCTTTGCAGTAGGCAAACTAAAAATTTGAAATGTGCTATTCTTGGGCAGGCAAGGGCAAAACTCCAATGGAGGAACTTCCATTTGTTTAGACTTGTTTGGGTCTGTTAATGTATTTGTTTCCTCCTTTTCCATTAATTCACCAAATAATTGTGAAAATCAAACAGGAGGGGACAGATGTGATCTTGCTAATCCCTTGATGGCCATGGCAGTCTTGGTTCGGAACTCTGCTTCTAATGGCAGTGATTATTCTCAAGGTACCTGCCAACTCTCATATTTCCAATTCTGAGAGTAAATGGCCTTTACACATAAGGGCAGGTTATTTCTCCACAGCCAAATACGCCACCCAGACATAGAAATGTTAAAACTGACAGGATGGAGAATTCTTCCTCATTAACAAGGGTTTTAAGGGAGTCTAGAAAGAAATCTCACAGAAGAAGAAGTGACTTGATTGCACATAACAAGAGCAAATGTACTAGAAAATATAAATGGAGTAAATTTTGATATTTTTCAAAATCTATTTATGAACCTTGCCTACCAGCAACATTTCTCTTTACTGTGTACTTCTCTTTTTATTGAGACTTAAAGAGAAAGGTTTTTCCCAATCTGTTATTAAGACTTACATATGTGCTATTGTGCCATATCATGCAAAAGGTTCTAATGCATCAACCCTTTTTACAAATTCCACAGTAAAGAGATTTTTGAAAGGGTTAAACGATATCTATCCAGACATAAAACTACTGGCACCTCAGTGATCCCTATCAGTGGCTTTAACCCAGTTGACAAAGCCTCCATTCGAACCCATGGCTTCCACCCATTAGAGCCTTCTGACCTACAAAACTGTGGTTTTGGTAGCCTTAATTTTGGCAGGTGTGTCAGTTAGGTTGCAGCACTGCACTGCGACAAAACTTACTTACAGTTTCATATAGATAATGTGACTTTGTCTACAGATATTTCTTTCTTACCTAAGATAGTTTTGTGTTTCCATGTGAACCAGCCGTTATTATTGCCTGCATTTTTCCCAACGCCTCTGTCCTCATTGGAAAAAAACACTTCACATTATGGATGTTAGACATGCTCTTGCATTCTGCATTGACAGAATGGGCTGTTTTAGAAAAACTAATAAACTGATTGTTATCAAGGAAACAGAAAAAGATGAACTAGTGTCTTCACAGAGACTATCTAAATGGGTAGTTAAAGCCATCTCATTGTCATACAAGTTAGCGAAATGCCCCTTACCAGGTGCATGAAAAAGGACACTATGGCAGCCCCTGAAGCCTTCTTGAAAAGTGTCCAGTTATGGGACATTTGACTGCATGAAAAGGGACACTCAACTTGGGCTATGGCAGCCCCTGAAGCCTTTTTGAAAAGTGTCCAGTTATGGGACATTTGAAAGGCTAACCTGGTCTAACCCTGTGACACTTGTGAACCAATATAGGTTGGATGTTAAAGCCAAATTGGATGTATCGTTTGGCTGTGCAGTGCTGTCTTCTATGCTTGCTTGAGAGACATCCCACCAGCCAGTAAGTTAGCTTAGGAGTCAACCATGTGCATGGATCAGAGATCATGAAGAAAGAAGATGGGTTACGTACCTGTAACTCTGGTTCTTCAAGTGGTCATCTGTGAATTCACACAGTCCACCCAACCTCCTCTCTGTCTGTGATGCTACTTCCACATGCTGTGGTATTGGATAGAGAGAACTGAATCGAGATTGTTGGGTGGAATGGTATATTAGCTGAGGGGAGAGGTTAAGGCTCTAGAATGTTCCCAAGACTACCTGTGCAAGCACAGAAGTACCCATATGTGTGAATTCACAGATGACCACTCAAAGAACCCCAGTCACAGGTAAGCAAGCTGTCCTTATCTGTGTCGCCATTTGCTCTCAGAAATGGGAACTTCCCCCAAGATATTTCTAAGATATTTTTCTTTCCTCTTTATGCAGCAGCGGCTTAAGTACAATGAAAGCAACACAAAATGAGGAAGGGGAGTGTTTGCGTCTTCATCACACTGTGGTGAAGAAGATTGGTGAGATCTGTCGCATTGTTAACCAGGTAATTAGGCCATATTGAAGTCATCATTGCTGTCTCATAGATGGCAGGAACATCTCCCTAATATAGGACTATCAGCAGGTCCTGTTTTCAGTCACTGTCATACCAGGGTTTCCCTGCAAAACCCAAAGGTTTTTAATACTGGGAGGTTTCTGGTTTTTTTAGTGCTACGATTGAGGGGAACTATGGAGGCTGCAAAAGAGGGGAACAGAGGGGACCAATGAGTTGCATGATTGTGTCACACCTGCCCTTTATAGTCCAGGGTGAAGTACTGGTTAACCCGCTGTATTCTGTGACCAGGATTTTTTTAACCTCACTGATAGCAAATGTAATATGATTAGATTAAAAAGCAGCCCTGACCACTGGAACCATTATTCAGATTTTTAAAAGATACTTCATACCTAAAGAGATATTGTATATAGAAATACCTTTTCAACTTTAATGAACAGAACTAGAAATTTGATATTTTCAATGAAGAATTTATGATTCCCTATCCTGGATAACTGCAGTGGATTTTGCAAACGTTACTGTGATAAACAAGCATGCAGGGAGTATCCTGTCTTTATGTGGAAAGCAGATGTGAATTTGATGCTGTGCATGTGTATCAGCTGCCACCAAGAGAAAGAAACCTCTGCCTAGAACAGCTTGGTAATGTGAATAAGCATCAGGTCCATCTCTCCTGTACTTTTCCTTTGTCCATAGCGGTTGCTGCTACAGGATCTGCATGATAGCCATCTTTGCAATTCTCTCCTAGTAGCGGAGAGTGAGGAGGACATCTGGAAAAGTGAAACGCCATACAACTATCGGCAACGCACTGGACCTGATGGTGAGTGTTTCAGTACAAATATGTGCTTATGCTGTTTTGTACCAGCACACTGAGCCACACGCACCATGTGTTTCTGCTTTCCTGTTGCCCCTTATATGTGAATTGCCAGTGACCTGATTCCTATGATACAAACAAACAAACCCTCCTCTTTTATGTTTTCATTTGATCTATTGTGGTGATACCTACTCTGTATTTCACCTTTTTTTAAATCTTGAAACACACAGGTATTTATATAAGGGAGGGGCAGGAGATTACAAATACTATCAATGCCTGGTATTTGATCTGGCTGTTGGACAACTTGGGAGAGCTGGCCTGTTTGTTCTCTTGTATAGATTACCCTGGAGAGGAAAGCTACCAGCCTCGAGATTATCTTGCTGCCACCATGCAGTTCATGCCTGGACATTTTGCCTGTGATGCCGTCTGGAGCACCACCATCCATGTACATTCACGGCTCAAGATGGGTCCCAATATGGGTGTTGCACGTGGTAGGTACCTGAGTGCAGGCAGGCGGCATTCACTACTGAGAACGTTTTAGGGGACACACAGGATGTGTACATATCTAGCTATCCCAGTCCTCAGGAATGGGTTTTATTGTTTCATAGCATCCCCTGAATTGGCAGTCCACTGATTAAGCAGATTCTTGGAACTGGAAGCAGAAATTGGTTAGCAAAAGGGAAAGAGGCAAGGCATGACGAGGGGCTAAGTTAGGTTACAGAGCAGGCCTTGCTCCTCTAGGTTCCTTAGAAGAAGAGTGGGCTGTGAATGTGGGGCTGATGATGATAGCTGCAAGGGTGAATGTGTGTAATCAGAAATAAGGAACTTTGATGACAGAGGAGAAATGGTATTGCTTTGGGAGCAAGTTGATTTATTAGACTTCATATGAGTCTCGTGGTAAAGTTACCTCTCCATAATGGCTAAAAGAGCTATGTGTAAAAACACTCTCTTTAAGAAATAAAAGGTTTAGGGGGTTGGAAAACAATGTAGGTGAGCTGCCATCTATAAAAAAATTCTCTGATGAAGAACACATATTTTCTGAATAACTGAAAGACTCTGGAGTTTGATATTTTTTCCATTAGAGACATTTAATACTTATTACTGTTATCAAGAAGGACCATGAGGCTTTGTGATAGTGGGTATATCAAGAATGGGCAGTTGAAGAATATTTGGAAAATAACAGTGAAGGGAAAGAGGTCCTGATTGGTATATAAAGATAGTACAGTAGTTGGTGGCACATTGGACCACATCTTACACTTGTAGGTAATCTCTCTCTTTTTCTCTCTCTTTTCCAGCCATCCAAGCTCTGCGCTCTGTGCTCAATGCTTTCTCTGTTGTTAACAGAAAGAATATGTTTGTTTACCAGGAGCGCTCAACCAACTCTGTTTTTTACTTGCGGTAAATTTACAACCTACTATTGCTAATACTTGTTGCTGCCTCCCAAGGCCCCGTCAATGAGCTGAGGAGCCCTCAGCAAATTCCTCTTCAGTCCCTACGCTCATGCTTATGCTTTTGGGAGCAGTCCTCCAACCCATTCATCTTGGCTTATCCTCTCCTTTTTGTTGCTCTGCTCCAGACTCTCTGAAACCACCTCCAGTGGGAAGTGCGGAGAAGGTGAAATCCAGAGTCTTGCATGCCGCTCTTTGGCACTTTCACGCAGCCAGGAGCCCATCTGCATTGAGGATGTGAGTATGAGCTCTCTTTCCTTGACAAGGAGATGCCAGCCCCCTTGAAAGCAAGCTGTGTATTGTGCAAAGGCTGCTCCCTTTCAGGAAGCCTAGTGTGCCTTTTCATCTCCTAAGACATGTTTGTTGCTCCTTGACAGGGTTCTCGCTTGTCCCTAGAGACCGCCTCTTGTCGCAGTGTGGATTCTGCCCGCCCTGTGAGCCAAGTGGACAGGCACATCCAGCTAGTAGTTCATGGAGTGGCGCCGGCAGGTATGTCACATACCCATTTAGAGTAATGTCAGAGAGAAGAGAAAGGAAAGCTGTGAGGGAGACATGGCAAGATTCAATGCTGTTAACGGTTTTATGGGTCGTCAATGGTATGTGAAGTGATTTAGTAGCTGTGCCCATAAACACAGTATTTGTTAGTATTTGACACTGGGGTTCTTTCTGCAAACAAACAATAACAGAAAGGATAGTAATGGAAACTTCATTACCAACCTTTAGTCCATCATTAGCTTTAGCACCTGCTAAATGTTTTGTTTTATCTACAATCTAATATTGAAATTCAGTATTCAGCTTTTGCCTCAGAGACTAGCATGGCTAACCTTTTTAAAAGTGTTTCAATAATACCATGCATTTCCCCTCATTCAGGCTTTTCCTCTAGCCATAACCTCCAATGGGGGGGGGCAACTTCAGAGGCTCCTCAGTCAATGTCTCACTCATTATGGGCTTGTGATCGGGTTCAGTTAAATCCTTTGGTGGTTCCTCACTTTTGGCGAGAAATAAAGACATAGACTTATTTACTGAACTCATGATTTTGTTTTTATTGGTCTCAGGCTTTTCAACAATTATTTCTGTTGGGTCAAAACAAGATAACTGTGGCAATGGGCCATAACTAGACGAAATTAGCTCATGGTGAAAGTCCAGATAGGGGTGCTGGGCCAAAACGCTTCCTGACAGTGGAGTTCTGGAGGGGTGCGCTCCTCACCACACAGATGGTTCCGCAACATGGGTGTCTCGCCCAGTCTCCTTCCTTAGAGGTCTGTTGTAGGCAGGATCAGGATGAATCACCTTTTTGCCTCTGCCCTGTGTCTGCGGGAAGACAATGACGGTCCACTCTTGGGTTTCTACTAAAGTCTCTCCTCCTTGCTTTGACTCCAGGTCGGGCAGCAGTCCCCCAATTCTCAAGTTTGGGAAATCCTTTAAGAGACTGTGCACCTTTTCATAATCAGTTTCCGGACCTTCTGTCCTTCCTTCCTTCTCATTCTTTCTCCCTCAAGCTTACTGCCAAACCATTGCTCCCCTTGGACATTTATACTTTCTTTCCAAACTGACACCCTTTGCTCTTCCCCTTTTCCTTTTTCTCCCTCCTCTACCAAACAGACCTCAACCTCTCCCTTCTTTCTGCCTTTTCTGTCTTTACTGACACGATTCCTCTTTCTTCAGCTGCATTCACGCTACAACCCCTTTCCCCCTGTATTAAGGTCTCTACCGCTGAGGACGGATCACTTTCCTTTAGCTCTCCTTCACAGGGCTATATTATCTCCATTTCTTAAATTTTGAGGTGACCAAAAGTCCACTTCTAGTTCTGAAAAACCTTCAGGTTTGGAGGAATTGTTTTTATTTTGTTTCATTTTGTTCTGTTGTATTTTTGTTTACAAAAGCAAGGTTTGCAGGACCTGTCAGCCTTGGTGTTTAAGAATGAATTATGCTCCTATGATTCTCCATATTTTAGCCAAAACAAAATAAAAATAGAAAATATGGCAATGTTTCCAGGGGCTGCACAGATGGGTGTGAAGTCCTTTTTGTCATGAATTTTGTCATATTGCCTCTCTGCTGTAGAAACATCAGTTGGAAAGGCTAACTATGCTCTTTTGACATAAGCCCTATTGAGGCATTACAGTCTCTGGGTTTCTTGGCATACTAAGAAGGGAGTCTTTAGTCCAACCCTCTACCACACATTGATCCTTGAGATTTGAAACTTCAGTTAACACAACAGTTGCAAAATCAAGAATTAACATTAGAGATGGAGATATTTGTATATGAATATCCCCATGCAGCTGGACTTAACAAGTGTCCGGCCCCTAGGGCCCGACTGTCCATTTACATGTCCGGTGGCGGCGGCAGCCTCACTCATCCTTCCGAGTGCTGCTCTCTCCCCACTCAGCTAGCCACTCTGCGGCGATGCAGGGAGACTCCTCCTCCCTTCCGCTGCCTGGAGTGGCTAGCTGAGTGGGAAGAGAGCGGCACTCCAGGAGTGATTGGAAGGATGAGCGAGGCTGCTGCCGCCACTGGACGTGTGACTGAATGGGGCTGGAGCCTCGTTAAGTCCAGCTGCGTGGGGACAAATACGAATACCTCCATCTCTAATTAACATATATAAAGGAAGGATAGGTATATTCTGTTGTGGGACATCTGAGTGCACAAGAAAGGGACACATGGATTGTCTTTCTGATTCAAATATAGAAGAGAGACACTTCCTAGCATAGAATCTTTAAGGAAACAAAATTAATATCAGATTTTTTTATTTTCCTTGTAGGACCCGAGATCACAGATGAGCTGGTGAAAGTTCTACGCAGGCGCCTGGATGAGGCCACCCTGGACATAATTACAGTTATGCTTGTCAGGAACTGCAAGCTTACCCCTGCTGATGTGGAGGTAATGGCTTTATCCCAAATTTGACTAAAGGAAGCCTGGTCTTGCTCTCAGAATCAGTCTAAGTTCTGAGCTTGGAAAACTACTCTCATAGACACACACACATTTACGTATTTATTTAAAATACTTTTACCCTGCCTTTCTCCTTAAAAGAACCCAGGGCGGCTTGATTATTGGTTAAACTCCCATGACCTGTGGTATGCTTTTTCATATTTTAAGGCATTTTGCTAGTCTCTGGGCTAGTAGAAGCTGTTTTGGGCAGGTACTACTAATTGGTGGCTGGTTCATGTTATATCTGTATGCATGTTTAGAATGTTAGACAGTGACAGGTTCTTCTCTTTGTAGTTCATACAGCCCCCTGGCAGCCCACCTACTAAAGTACTGCAGTTTACTCTTCCCCCTTCCTGTTTGCCTTGGCTCCCAGCTGTGGCCAGCTATCTGCGTCAGAATTTACTGATCTTTCTCCATACACCCAAGTACACAGACAGCAATGTGGAGAACCACTTCAAGGTGAGTGGGTGATTGTCTGCATTCATTGTTTTATGCTCAGGTGTATTGAGACCATTTCCAGTTCCAATCTTATTGGAGAGTGGAGGGAATGAGACAATAATGAGAAAATGAACATCCAAGAGTACCAAGTTAGCTTGATTGTAGCCACTGAAAGCTAGTCATGTGGAGACTATTTTTATAAACATCAATAGTTCTTCTATAGTTGAAGATCAATGCATAGTTTTTAAGAAGCCAAAGTCTGATAATACAGTGGTGCCTCATTAGACAATGTTAATTTGTTCCATTAAAATCACTGACTTGCGAAAACATTGTCTAGTAAAAAGCATTTCCCCATTGGAATGCACTGAAAGCCGTTCAGTGTGTTCCAATGTTGGGAAATAGTCCTCATCCAGTGAAAATTGCCCATAGGAAAGCCGTTTTCCGAAGCGCCGATCAGCTGTAAAATCCTGTCTTGAGAACAGCTGAAGCGCGGAGCAAGCTGTCAAAATCGTCCTCTTGCCGAATAAACGGTCCTCTGTGAACCACCAGGAAGGGATTTCCCCACTCCACCCTGAATGAAGCACTTAAAGGAGCCACTACCACAAAGGAGGGGTTTCCCCAATCAATCCCCAGCGTAAAAGAGCTCCTCTGCAATCCACCAGGCAGGGGTTTCCCCACTCCGCCCTGAATGAAGCACTCTAAAGGAGCCACGAGGTCCTGCTCGTCCAAGCCAAACAAAGGGGGATCTTTCAGTTATTCACAGCCTCCCAGAAAGGATCAAACAGCAGGAGCCAGCCACGCTCTCTGCCTTCCAATTAAATGATTTGGGGTTGTGGGAAGAGGAGAGCCCAAGCAGCAGGAAGGATTTCCCCTTGACGACCCCAAGGTTGAAGACCCCTCTTGACCACGTGGCCCCATTACACTGCCGAGGCAAGGAGACAGCCAGCCCCCGGAAGGGCTTTCCTTCTAATCCACCCATGGGGAAGCCTAGCTGAGGGGGAATCCCAAGCTTTTTTTTTTAGCCCTGGTGCGGCTGAAGCAGGGCAGACCTGCCTCTGCAGGTCACTGAGCCAGGTAAGGGGCCATCTACAAGGAGGGTTTCCTCCCCAATCCCTAGCCAGGGTACCAATACTGGGGAGGAATCCCCAACCGCCGGGGTTCTGAGGCGCGGCCGGCAGCAAGACCAGCCAGCCCCTGCTTGGTGCGCCGCCGCTCTCCTCCCTCCCCACTTGGGGTATGGGTGCCCTGGGCTGCAAGCTCACTGGCCAACAGTCCGCACCCTTCCCCGCCTTTAGATAAGCACCGATCGCACTCGGCCAGTGAAGCACGGACCAAATCATTGAGCTGCCGCCGCTGTCCCCCCTCCCCACTTGGTTTATGGGTGCCCTGGGCGGCATCGTCAAACAAAAATCGCCCATTGAAATGACTGTTTTGCAAATAGCTATAGCGATCGCAAAAAGTCATTGTTATGCGGATTCATCGTCTAACGGGGCAGCCGTCTAGCGAGGCACCACTGTACTTTATGCTCCACACTACCCAAATATAAAGAGACTCATAAATTGGCTATTCACTGCATGTTACACCCCATGATTTTGACTCCACGTTTACCCCCTATTTAAATGAAATATATCTTGCAGCAGTCTTCTGATTAGTAACATTCTGCTTTTCAGCACTATTTCCACCAGAGCAATAGCAGCCCTGACCTGGATCTCTACCTGTACAACAAGCCCGGAGGTCAGGGCACAGGTGGGAAAGGTAATGAGCATTGCACTTTTTTTCCTGCAACCATATATTTCTGTTCTGATGAAGTAAACTGTTGTCTGTACAGGAAAAGAGCCCTAGTTATTTTTCTCCAAGGTCTGTAACAGTCTGGGGATTGCATACCATGGAACTGGATAACACTCTTTACCATCTTCTTGATCCATTTGTAGCAGGCTTCTATATTTATTTATTTAACTTATATGCCACCCACACTACCCAAAGGCCTCTGGGTGGCTTACAACAATTTAAATGCAATAAAAGGATAAAAAGATAAAACAATTAAAATACAATTAAAAATACAGTACTCTAAAAATTGGGTGGGATAGATAGTAGCTTAGAATTACTCCCCTAAAAGTCTTTATGATATTAGCTACTCCTCAGTGGTGAGTACACAATCACTGAACCTGATCTAGGGCGATGGAAAAAAATAACAGCATTGCCTGATCCATGTCGTTGAGCAAAAGGACTGTGTTCAGAAAGGACCTGATGTACTTCAGCATGAGGTGGAGCTTTCCAGTTGCTAGTCTTTGAGCTAGTAGAAGCTGTTATAAGCCGGTGCTACTAATCAGTGGCTGGTTTCGTGATGTGTGTGTATGTATGCATTCATGTATTTGCCATATACTTGCTTCCCTTTCCACCTGCACTGTGGTCTGGTTATGCAGGTAACATACCACCTCAAAGTGTATCTGAACATTCTTCTGTCATGTAGGTTCCATGTTGGATCTTGTGCAGCACCTGTTTCCACCTTCCCAGTTTCAAGGTAGCTTCCTGTAGATTCCAGTGGTCCATTGAACTATTCCAGTGCTTCCCCCATTCTGATCTAGTGCCTGCTGTGGTTTTAGCTTCTGCTCTAATGCCTACTGTCTTGTCCACTTGCTTTCCCCTATTGTCACCGCAGTTCTTTTTCAGCAGCTGGTTCCTCACCTCCCATCTCTTTCGGTCCCAAGAATATCCCAGCTAGAGCTAGAATTAGTTGTTCAAGCTAAGGAATTTACAGAGAGTATAGGAATTAATGAAGTAGAAACTTTGTTTTGTTCGAGGTATCTAACTTCCTAACAGGCTCAGACCCTGTGGGAACTTCATTCTAGGTTGTGAGGGGAGGAGGGGAAATTTCTGTGATGTTCAAAAAGGGACTATCACAGTCAGTGACAAGTTGATGAATGGACTGAAATGTTTGTTTTCTCCATACATAAATATTGCTAAATCAATGCATTGGAACATCTATATTGAATTCTGATTAAATTCTGGGTTTAGCTGAAAATTTCACCCATGCTGTATTTGCCCTCAACCAGAAGCTGGCAAGTAATGAGGGGAGTCACGTGCCTCCTTTAGCAGCATCTAAATTTGCTCACCTGAGGCATCCAGCATTTTCTTTTGATGAAGAGCAAGTTCTTTATTGTGACTTACAGAGGAAGTGTAGATATGCGGATTAATTTGTTTAGTCTGATGAAGGTAGAGGTCACCTGGTCCTCTCTGGCCCGATGATTCTGTAGTTGATATGACACCACTATCCCTCCCCTTGTCTCTCTTCCCTTGTCTCTCTTCTCATGTGGCTGATATGAATGTCCAGGCAGTGTTGAACATACCTCAACGGCAGCAGTGCTAGGAAGCATGGGATTTATTGAGGGCAAGGAGCATTGCTGAGGTTGCCTCTACAGACAAGGCTAGCTTGCAGTGGACTCCCCTTTCCTTTTCTGAGGCATGGTTTGCCAGACATTGCTATGGAAAGCCTGCATTAAGCAGAGCTATGACTGTTAGGGTGTTTTGGGACCTGCTGAAAACGGGGGTCTGTGCATGATCTTCTGAATGAGATAGTATGGGCTATAGTTCCTTTGCCAATGCAGTTATATATGCTCTACTTTTGTGTATAGCCCAATGTCAGTTTACTTTGTGCCATGGCTACAACACTGTGGACACCTTCTAGTGATGTCCCTGAATTGAGTTGTTGATGCATGACCACATATTTCATGAGTCTCTCCGTGAAAATGTTAGCAAATGTTATGCTTGGCCAAGGATGCCTCCTAGGTCCATCACCATACCTTATTCTTGTATTTCCATAGCCACTAAATAAGACTGGACAACAATATATCTGTGAAGATTCTCAGTCATCCAGGTGCGGTTATCTGTAAGATGAGTCATGGCAACTGGACTTCTAATGAGCCTCTTCAGACCAGGGGGAAGTGAAACCAATGTAGAAGATGTATCCGGGATCCCCTACCAACTCTCCTCAGACTGAAGAAGCTACTTAGATGAGTAGTGAAATGTTTCAACCGAATAAGAAAGCAATCCAGTTGCCATGATTCAGCTTTCAGATATTGGACAACAATAGTTGCGAGGAAGTTTAGAAGTATGCCCAAACTTGCTCTTCCTTTACTTCATGGAACTTGATTTCCTACTTTCCAGAGGAGCTCCTGGCATTTAAGATGGAACCTCTTGTTTGCACAGTGTGGAGGGTGAGCTGCTGGCTGGCTGCTGTTGCTGGATTAGGAGATGGCGCCCAAAGAAAGAGGCAGTCCACTTCCTGTTTTCTTAATGCTTTTGCTAGTTGGGCTTTGCTGAGCTTGTAATGAACGTCCACTTTGGGCAGGTGAAAGCTTGCATCCCATTTCTAACAGGTGCAGGTATCTCTTTTTTCTATGTGTGTATTGTTACTTCTGTGGCTATTCCTACCTGTGATGCTGGTTCTGCATATAATTTGATTTTTTTTACCTCCCTGAGTTGCATCCCAAGAATACCTTTGTATTTATAGCAAGTACCTTAAGGTGCCGTCTCCTACAATGTGGCACTCATGGAAGACTGGAGCCCTAGGAATTTAAGCAGCCCTTTCACTTATTTTGCAGGCATTGCATGTATTGCACTCTCGTTTGTGGATGACTGTGGAAATCCCATCTCCTTGTCTCGCTGGGTGAGGCCACCCACTGCCCTGCTGACCACATCATTTCTCCAGGAGGAAGACTTCGAGACCTTGACTGCTGTCAGCCAGCACCAGGCTGAATCTCACACATCACAACCAGGTGGGAAGGCAGGGCTTCTTTTCATTCTTTGGAAAGATGGCAGCCTATGGGCAGAGCAGGGCTTCTTTTCATCCTTTGGAAAGATGGCAGCCTATGGGCAGAGGAGTAAGAAGGTTGGACGTACCTGGTCACAGAGGTGATTTCCAGTATTAATGGAGGAGTTGGCCAATATTCTCTGTATTTTTTCTAACATGCATCCCCTCGGTACTGTTTCTCTCTCCGCAGCCCTTTGTCCCATGGTGCGCCTGGACATCTGGGAGAAGGGTAACATCAGCTTGCTGCAGCTGTCTGAGAGGCTTCGCAGTGCTTTACGCCATGCCCTCTGTGACGCCCTCATGGAATTCCGTGTGCTGCCCAATCCTTTGTGTGTTGAGCTGTCCACTGAAGTAGAAGATCCAGGAAATATTGGTAAGAGGCTAATACGGAAGTAACACCCTTCCAGCTCCTCAGCACACAGGGTCGTGGCAACCAATACACCATGCTGCAAATGATTGTTTTGTAGGCATATAGGAGAATGCCTGATTCTGAATCCAACCATTAGCCTATCTCACTCATTGTTGTTAGCACCATCTTCCTTCAACCTGGTGCCCTCCAGTTGGGTTGGGTTGTCAATCCCATTCCCAACTAGATTAATACACTGAAAGGCAGTGACTCTCCATGGTTTCAGACCATGATTGCCCGAAATCAGCATCTTATACCCCTGAACTGTGGCCCTGTTGCAAAATCGGAGACATATCTCTTGACATAGAACAAAAAGCATCCATTGGAGCTAAAGGAGCCTCCAGAATGCCAGAAGACTGTGTTACTGCCAAGTTTATGATAGTAGGGGGACCAAAGAGGCAGAAGGTAGTACTGATATCCACATCTTTCCTGGGTTTCGAAGAAGGGGTAGGGTAGGAGTTTCTGGGACAGGTTTGACTCAAGCAGTGCAGATCTTAACAGTGGTACTGATGGATGCTGTGGTTTCAGGAAGCCTGCGCCGGACGATGTCTGAAAGTAAGGGACTGACTAAGCCTGCTGGAGGCAAGATGTGTCCACCCTCCCTGAATTTCACTGTCCCTCCTCCAGTTGCTGGTGAGCCAGTCACACCGACCAACAAGCTCGGGCGTCGCAGCTTCTGGGATATGCTGGTAATGACTCTCTGAGGAAACAGCAGTGGGACCTGCTGAGGGGATAGTGACAAGACTTTGGAAAAAAGGAAGACAGAATCAGTGTGGCAAAGCATGGCCCTGCGCTAGCTTGCAACCACTGAAAGACAAATACAGCCCATAGCCACATATTGTGTCCCACCAGGTGCTTGCAAACCACTTTCCTCCTAACTTTTGCTAACCCAAGAACATACAAGGGCTGAAATCTAGCCCACAGCCACATATTGTGGCCCACCACAAACCTCCTAACTTTTGCTAACCCAAGAACATACAAGGGCTGAAATCCAGTAGTATGTCGCAACTAGAGTAGGCCCATTCTATTAGCGGAACTTATAGAGGAATTGACTTATCAAATCCCCATTGAGTCAATGGGCCTACTCTATTTGTGATTTACTACTGGCTTTCAGCCACCCTTTTCAGCTGTATAGGTCTAACACTGGCATTGTGGTTAGGTGTGATCTGTGAGTTAAGAAGTGGCCTGTTATAAACATTATCACGGGGCATTACACGAGCCCTTTCAAAATACTGTATGCATTTTAAACATGTTTTGGTATGCCAACATGGCGTTATCCCTGTTAAGTGTGCTTTTGAGTGCAGCCATAGAGTCTGTCTCCTGAAATTAATGCATTGGAATGATACTAAAGATGAAATGTTATTGTGATCATGTATGCAGACTTTCAAATATTGGAATGATACTAAACTATCTTGCAAGGTTAGATGTAACATTATTGTGATCATGTATGCAGACTTTCAAACATGTAAGAATATACTATAAATACTAATTGCAATAGTGGGAGTAAAAAAATCTGTGTGATGCAAAATATTGTCAAATAACCATACACTGTAATTTGAAGTCATCTATGCCAGGGAAATGGGAGAAAAAAGAAAAGCCTTTCTTTTCAACTGCTGTGTCTTCATTGTCAGAGCAAGCCAGACATGGTGGAGCAAGGAAGCCCCAAGACCACGGATGACATTGTGCTGGAGCGACCTGAAGAGACCCGTGCTCGCCGCCGCCACAAGACGGAGAGTGTAAAGCAGCCTTCCAGCCAGGAGCGTGTTGCTGCCGCGGCTGAACAAGGGCAGGCCCAGAGGCAAGCACTCTCTTTCCCTTTTTTTCTTTCAGGGAAGCAGGGGAAACACAGTCCCTCCAGGCAAAAACTTAGCCTTTTCTTCATTAGCGGGAGGGCAGCAGTTCTTGTTGTTGCCACAAAGTGAGCCTGCACGCCTTAGTGCAAAGACAAACTTGGTGCTGCTGAGTTCAAAATTCCGCACTTTTGCTGATTTGCTGATGGACTACTTCAGGCACTTTCTTTCTAGCACCCTCTTTGTTATCTCCTTGGATTTTGACCTTGACTAGTAGATGCTGTTTTCACAGACGCCGAGCCTGCCAGCTAGAGGAGGGGGAGATTGGAGTCCTTCACCCAATTTTCAGTCAGATCTGCCAGTCCTGGATGGCATTCATGAACCACTTGGGTTTGTACTTAAGTTTGCATCCTATGCTTTCATTGTTTTAGCTTAACCTAGCACAGTGGTTCCCAACCTTGGGTCCCCAGGCGCTCTTGGACTAAAACTCCCAGAAGCCATCCTCACTAGCTGTGCTGGCCAGGATTTCTGGGAGTTGTAGTCCAAGAACACCTGGGTTCTCCAAGGCTGGGAACCACTGGCCTACAATGAAGAGATTCAAAATTCACTTCTGTGTTCATTAAGAATTTTATATCTTGACATTAAAACAGAACAGAAAAAAAAAGATTTGCATGGCCAGTGTTTGTAAGAAAAGAAATGTCTAAATTTGGGGTTGACATTAAAGATTCAGAAACCAAATCAGGTCAAATAGTGGTTGCTTGGCCATACGTGCTCTTCCTTCACTTCTCTACCTGTTTCCCCCATTCTTGGTAAATGTATGAAATATGTGATCACTTGAATACTGTCAACAAGTCCAGGTGTACTTTTTGCTTTGATCATTAGCATATTACAGATAACAAAGTTTTTTGATGTGCTCTCTCTCTCTCTCTCTCTCTCTCTCTCTCTCTCTCTGTATGTGTGTGTGTGTGTGTGTAAGAGAGAGAGAGAAATACCTATGTTGCTGTCTAGTTCTGTAGATCAGAGGTCGTCAAGCACCGGTCCACGACCTGATGCCGGTCCATGGTCTGAGCCGAACCGGGCTGCAGAGACAGACCTCCCAGCCTCCCTCACATGCACTCCCCTCCCCACAGCTGCTTTGTGCACACACACACGCCAGCACCGGCATGAGCGCTCCCCCAGCCTTTCATGCATGTGCCCGCATGAAGGGGTAGGCATGCAGGCGCTCCTGCGCATGCGTGAATGAGTGGAGGAGCACTCATGCTGGTGCTGGTGGGCGCGCATGCTCCTCCCCTGCTTTTGCGCATGTGCCCGAGAGAGCGCCCCTGCGTGAGTGCAGGGGGGTGCCCCGCCTTCCTCAGAGGCTCAGCCAGTCCACATTCCCAAAAAGGTTGGGGACCGCTGCTGAAGATGAATGCTTCTCATTCCCATAAGCATATTAAACACACAACTATGATAAGTGCCGATGTGTTTCTTCTTATTTTGTCACAATCTCTTCTTTCTGCATTGGAGTTTTTTTAAAAATCTGGGGTAGCAGGCAGCCTAGAGTCTCTCTCAGAAGATGGATCTTCAAACCAAAGATGCTGAAAGAGTTAAGGATTCCCATGCCAGTGTTCTTTAGAAGTGTTTTGCTGGGAGGGGGTTGCTCAATTCTTCATTTATTTAGCTTTAATCTGGCTTAAATTGACTGTTTCTGGTGGTTTAACTAAATTCCTAACCCCAGCTCTGTTAGAGGCATGACCTTGGTCCTGGGCATTCCCCCCCCTCCAGCCAAAAATAAATTATTTGAGTTTTTAAAAAGCAGAGAAGGGGGGAGTGGGGGGATCAGATTGCCTGACTATCCTCTGTTTTAGGAGATGGCTCTTAAATCCCAAACAGGTAGCTGAGGAGGAGCTTGAAAACAACTTACATAGTGCACTAGGTCCATTTCAAAAGCAAACTTGGCTTCAGCATCATCAGCCCTGTGGGTTTGGGACATTAATAACAGCATATAAGTTGGAACTACCTGCAAGAACCTGATGCACAGCCTTGAAGATGATTTATCATCGAAAACTCGCTCTTTTGTTTTTTGTTTTTATATTATTAATGGTTGATTAAAGTTACTGCCTGTTCCTCCCTTCCTTAATATTTCCTTTCCTGTGCAGGTTGTCCTTCAGTGCAGCAGTGTGCCACTGAGAGTGTGTCCCGCTTCCTGCTTCCTTCCATCATGCTTGAGATAGTGAACCTCGTCACCACTTTGGCAAATGACACCACTGTCAAAGTGTTTGAAAAAATCAGGTGGGTTTTAAGGCTAGGCTGCCTTGATAATTGGCTTGGTAGACCAGCTGGAAGGGTGCCACCAGAGGTGTCTGAGTACTTCCTAGGACTCTGTGGGGGAAAATACATGTGATGTGGAGGCTAGATCTGGAAGACGGCTATTGATATACTTTTCCCTTTGCTGCAGTGGTCCACAAGGGGTGTCCTTTGTGCCACATTCCCTCACACCAGGCACCAGTGCTCGGCCAGCTGTCATTCGACACTTCACCATGGTGGGGCGTAGCTTCCAGCAGTGGCGCTGCAGCACCGAGCAAGGTGAGTGAAGGAAATGGGAGCAGCAAATAAGTGGCGCTTTCTCTGCTGCCACTCGATTCCAGGCAAGAATGTCAAAAGCTGAATGCCACTTTGCCATTTCCTTTAGCCCTCAAAGGATTCCAGCGTTTTGAGGCCACAGAGCTTGGTTCTGCAGAGAAAGGTTCTGATATAGCCCCCCGGCAAAGGTTCCTTTTTGTGGAGATTGTGGACAAAAAGGTGTGTATCAAGCTGTGATAATGCCTGGCCCCTGCAAAAAACCCCTGAACATGCTGAGAGCATGAAAACCATTTCAGCGGAGTCAGGAAGTGAAGTCTGAGCTTACTGGTCTCCTTCTCTCCAGCTGGTGCTCTATACCTACAATTGGAGTGTGGACCTGGGCAGTGCCTTGAGCAGCTCCCTCACTCGCTTGCTTCAGTGGCAGAATGCCCGTGCCCATGTGGTGCATTGTCTGCTCAGCCAGAAACTGGGGCTCTTCCACCACTACTGCTACATGGACACTCCATGGCATGAAGACAGCAAACAGGTACTTCTGTCTCCATGCATTCTTGTGTCAGCCCTTTGCATGGCTCTTTGCCCTTAACCAACTTCCATTGCATCTCACGTGTCCAGGAGCAAAATCCCTTCCTGAACTCCACTCTCGAGGTGGATACCCTGATCCGGAGTCCAGGTGTTCCCCCAGGCAAAGACCAAGGTCGGCTTAGCAGCTCTGCTCGTATCTTGCCACCTCTTCACTTCCCTCCTGACATGGTGCCCTTTGACGAGGCCCTGCGTGATGTCTCCGTCAACCGGCCCAGTCCAGAACAGCAGGGGGTGCTTGACCGTGTGGCCCAGCATGGAGCTCAGTTCCTAGAGATCAAGAATATGGAGAGGAGAGGTAAATTGATGGGCCCAGAGTAAAGGGGAGATTGCTTACAACTGTGGCCAAGAGCAGAGGTTACTCACATTACAGGGATGTCACGGGAATCTGTGTGAGCCTTGGTCAAGGAAGAAGTCACTGGCATTTGAAAGTGAGGCAGTGGATTAGTTGCAAACATGCAGGACTTTTCTGTGGCTCCTGGAGACCACCACAGGTTCCAAAGAAAATTTGTCCCAGGAAAAAGGCCTCTAGGATTGTTGGTTATGGATTAAGATTCCTCCTATCTCAAAAAAACAAACACCAGAAAGGAAATGGGCAGTACTGGCCTGGGCACTTGGTTGGGTTTTTGAAACTGCCATTTACAGTCTTGTTTCTAGGCCTGGTACAAGCCCACAGTGGTGGAAGGGGGTTTGAATTTGGCACTCAAGTCCTCAGACCTTGCCCAGTTCTGGTGTGAGGGATGAGAACTAGCAGGCATAGCACAGAGTAGAGGCATCCAATCCGCGTACAGGCACATGCAAGATACAAAGCCCTGAAGGGGCTTGAGTTTTTACCAGGGAAAGCTTGTCGGAAAGGAGGGCTTGGTTGATGAAAGACCTGAAGCTCTGGACCTGCTCTTCTCAGCTCCCGCTTCTGTTCTACAGAGCTGGAAAAACAGATGAAGATTGAGAACCTCTTTGTGACATGGCAGCAACGGTCTGCGCAATCCAACATGCCCATCAGTGTGAGTTGAGGGGCAAGGTGGAGCTGGGAGGCGGGCAATACTTGGGTGTGAGGGACTTGGTGTTACTTCCGTAAAATGTGTGTGTGTGTGTGGTCTTGTTCTTGGGCACAAATGAGGGGAAGTGGGAGGCAAGCTTCTTCCACAAGACAAGACTTCAGGACATGTATGCAAAGTAGATCAGTGAATGGAGCGTGACCAAGTGTTCCAACAGTTCTGTGTTTCTTGGTCTGATGCAGTTGCAGGCTGACTCCATTATGCTTAAAATGCTGAGCACTTGATGTTGTCTAAGGAAACATGTAAGCTTTGAACTGTGGCAGGATGTGACAGCGATCAAGAGATGGGTTCATGTTATGAAAAATAAAAAGAGAACACACAATTGCTTTAAGAGCACACACACAGATGGCCTCCTCTGATCTCTGCAGACCAGTTGTCAGTGTCACACTTGCATATGTTGCCTGAGGCCAGGAGCACAAAAGCCTTGGGGATTGAAACTCGCAATGCCTGCATCTGCAACAGCTCTCCCTTTATTCTCCTGATGTCTTATGTGGCTGGGTTTTGTTCTGCTGGGCAGTATAAATTTGTGGAATAGTCCTGGAAATATGTCATGTTTAACCCCCCCCTTTTTTATATATGTGTGTGCAGCTTGCAGATTTGGAAACCCTGAAGCAGTCATCACGCTTGGTCCATTACTGTGCCACACCGCTACTCTTCGATCCTACCTTCCGGCAACAAATTCAGGCTGACCAGCAGAGCAAGCCGGAGGGGAAGGTGAAGTGCAGAGGGAGGGAATGGAGTTCTTTGTAATCCCATTATTCCTCCTTCCTTTTTTTTTCCTGGCTATCCCAAGAGAAAACCCATAAAAGGCCTTTCTTAGCTTAGGAAATCAGAGCTATTCCACCAGTTGATAGCTTGAGCCAAGAGGCATCCCAGGCCTAATCTGATCGTATCATCTGCCTCTCAGAACTCTTCCTTGGGTTGTGGGGCAAAGCCAATGTCCTTGTGTCCCCCTAATGCTATGTCTTACACACCCCATTACTCATTTGCCATTCAGAAGCGGCACCGTTCAAATGACTCCACAGCATCCAGTAGGGACCGCAGCCACAGCTGTGACTCGGCAGAGGGGCTGCCATGTCGGACCAAAGATGAGGCCTGGTTGCTGGAGCTATGTCACACTTTCCTGCAGCAATACATCCAATACCTGCAAAGCATGGGATTCATCCTAGTGCAGGTGCGGCCAGCCTCACCAACTCGCAGGTTAGTGCAAATGGGCAGAGTAGCGGGGATCCCGAACTGGAAGGAAGGGGGCATTACAGCTTCATGGAGCAGTGGTGTGCAAGAGGTAGACCTGCTTGCTTTCTTAGAGGATCCTCAGGCAAACATGTCTTGGAAAAAGGCATGAGGGAAGGAGACACTTAGAAACACTGCTTCTGTCTCGAAGAGGCAATATAGTGGGGTGTTGGTTCCCAACTTTCCACATCCATGTAATCTCTCTTGCATGAAGAAAGGGCTATAGGGTGTGTTTGCAGCCCCTTGATTTTCATCGCCCTGTATTATCTCTGGTTTTCAGCAGCACCAGTCGGATCAGAGCTATGGCAGCAATGGGCAATGAGGGGCGAGGATCTTTCTCATATAGCAGGCCAAAGGCTGATGGGAGCCCAAAGGTGAGTTAACTTGACTTTGCCTGCCATAGAACCTTCAATTCATATAGATACTGCTCTTAGAAGGGAGGATTGATTATTTGAGAAGGGACTGGAATGTGATTTCTTAGGCTGTTAAAAAATCCATTCTATAACCACAAAGAGCTCTTTCTACTTCATAACAATGCAAACCTTTCTCTTCCAGAGTACCAGCCCCCCTGTCACCACATACCATTTGCAAAGAGCCCTGCCTGGTGGCATCGTATTAATGGAATTAGCTTTTCAGGTGAGTAGGAACAGCCCTCTGCTGCATTCTGGCCAGACCAATGTGCTGACGCGGGATGAGCCAGTGTATTTGTTTAGAGACCTGAGAATTCAGAGATGAGTTGCAAGTACCAAGAAGGCAAATAAGAATGTAGCCTACTGCAGATGAACTAATGCTTACTAGAGGGGTAAAAGCGGATCGAGGTGGTCTAGCCCCTATGGAGACAGTGACGTTGCACTTGAATTAGCTGTTGGAGAAGGCTGAGTTCCTATAACTCATCTTTTATTTTCATTTCTTTAGGGCTGTTATTTCTGTGTGAAGCAATATGCACTGGAATGCTCACGAATCCCCATGGGCCAGTCTGTCAACTCACAGGTAACAGTGCTATATCTGACTTGTCCTGGGGTGAATATAGATGATCTTGGAATGTACATGCAAGGGGTGGCTTTGAGTGATGCAGTGACTGAATCTGAAGACTCAGTATGGCAGTCATTGCCTTGGCTGGGGCTCAGGATCAGATCAGAATCCTCGTCATCCTCGTCATGCTCTTTGCCATGGTGAGGTTGAAGGAAATGATGTTTAACACAATGAAGTTCACTGCTCTCAAAAGAATTCTCGAGTCTTTCAGATCTCGGACATGCTGTCTGAGATCTTTGAATAATGGAAGGTGTAGTCTTCTGAATATTAGGCACACATAGTTATCTTACTGGAAGTTTCCTTTACTGCTGTGTGAGTAGTGGAGCAGTGGAAGTGCCAGCCAGTACCTTTCCTTCAGGGAAGGACTTTGCAAACTTTGCAGCTTGTGTGGTACTTATTTTTTCTGCAAAAGTCAGTTAGTGGTGTATCTTGGATTTTCACAAGATGCATCAGAATTCTGCAACCTTCATTTGGGGACTGCCCGACTACAAACTGCCTATCGATATTATCCCACTAGATGGAGTTTTGGACCGAGCACGAGAGGAGATCCTCGTCTTTTTATCGGGTTTGTTCTGTGCTCAGTCCTGCCTGATTCTGATGGGTCTCTTCATGCACTGTGGGTAGCCATTCTGTGACACTGGGTGCAGAGGCACAAGACAACTAATCCTACAGAGTACCATTCCTTTCTTCTAATCCAAAAAACGTTCAGTCTTCTCCTTATGTCAGGGCAAACTCTTGAAGAGGGCCAAAGGGATTCTAAATTCTAATGACACTAAAAGTGTTCTGGAGACAGCGATGATAGAAGCTGAAGGCCTCATACTATATCAGTGTATTATCCCCATGTTGATAACAGCTGTGTTCCAAAAGATTTAAAGTAGATGCAGGGAATATATGGCCCTCCAGACGTTGTTAAAACTTCTGTATATCCTAGGTAGCATAGTCAGTGGTGGGGGTGAGAGATGTTGCCGTTTGATGGCATCTTGAGTGCCACAGTTTCCCAGCCTCTTATGCACAGTTTGCCATGTTTAAACCAGCTTCTTGGTCAGCTGTGAGTCAAGAAACAAAATCTTGCAACTGAAAAAACTAAATGCTGTAATTCCATCAAAGACTGAATAAATTATGTTGGTATTAAATTCTTTAGAATCAGCTTGATCAGTTTTCATTCATGAGGCAGTCTGTTAGCAGACATTAACGAGATTGAACGCCATCTCGGTTTGTAGTATTCTGTTTTAATTGCAACAGTAAAGCTGTCCTAATGGAGGAGGAGAAGGAATGGTCCTCATAGGCTGTTAGCAAATGGTAGAAGAGGTGCAACTGGGCTCCACTGGGATGAATGGGTAATTTTTGAAGTATATGAAAAGCTACTTAAATTGTGGCACTCACTGGAAATTTCATGAAGATGGCTGTTTCCTGAGGTTTTTGAAGATGCTGCTTTTCCAGGTTTATCACGTCCATTCGAAGAGCTAAAAGGTTTGCTCCTTTATAAAGTTATCATGACTTGGGTGTGTTTCTTTGGAGAAACACTGGTGGGAAGACAAAGAAATGCATGCATGTTGCATTTGAAATTACATTAATCTGTTTACAAACACCCCTCTTTTTCACAGTTTGTATCACTTGGTCAAAAGCAGGTGCCCAAGATCCTGCTTGCCCTGACATATAACACTTGGCCTTCATTTATGTTCTTCCCATATTAAACTGAAACAGCAACTCCTAATTTTGTTTTACTCCTTATTCACAGGGCATCCTCATGTATGTTGCTGTGGGTGCCTTCGAGAAAAAGGAGGGAATAAGTAAGAGAGAGAGAGAGACTAGCTACATTTTAAGCATTCTCTCCCAGATCCACCCTGATTGGTAAAAATTTTCTGCTTGTACATTGAGCAGTATTATCACAAAATCATGCTTGTAAACCCAGGAAACCCTTTCAGAGCATATAACTGTATTAGAAAAAGGCAATTTCATTTTCTCCACCTTTGTTCATTGTTTATGATAGCTAATACAATCACTGTCCCATTTCTCAGGACCACAGTGCTCTTATTCCAGATCCACATCTCGGGAGGGAAGGCCTATATCTCCGTTAGCCTAGTTCTACTGACAAACATGCAAGCCTTACAAAATATACCCTCCCGGTTTCCCCTGGATTGTGCCATTAAGGCAGGGACTAGGTGGGTGGTATCAGATGTAGTGTGTTGAGGCTGCTAATCCAGCCACCTTCTGCTAAAGAAGGATTGTGGTGCTTTGTACACTGGAGTGACAGGGCTGACTAGATTCAATTACCTCAGTTCTGAGATGAATATCCAGTCAGCCTGCTTTCCTTGCCACCTGTTTTGCTCAAGTCTTTTTCTGGCCTCCTTTATTCAGCACCATTCAGTGTTTTAGCTTCTCTAGGCTGTCACTTCATTTCTTATTTTCTCCTCTTCAGCTGTCTATGCTCTTCACAGAGGAGTGTGACAAGGTGCGTGATCTCATGCATGTGCATTCATTCAGCTATGACTTTCATCTCCGCATTGTGCATCAATATCTGCTTGGATCCCACATGGCATTGCGACAAGGTTATCATCTTACCAGTTTCCTAGAAGACTTCATCGCCCAACATCCTGACATTCCAAAGTTTGGACGCAATCATATCTTCCAAGGTGAGTGTTCCTTGAGACATTTGGGGAAACTTTTATAAAAGTTAGAGCTCTGTTGGTTCATTGGGCCCAGTTCTGTGGATTCAGTAGGGGACAGCAATTCTAGGGAGTCCCAAGCATCCTATCCTTGCTTTTTTAAATACTACACCAGCGGTGTATGTAGCATTAGAAATTCCCTGCCCTCAAGCAGCTTTTGCAGTAGGAAACTGATAACAGTGAAATGGGCTTTTGTCTTGTTCTAGATTCCAGAGAAACTGCCACTGTTTTATCACATATGTTGTTTCGAATTAGTAAAGAAATTTATGAAAACACATAAAATGCAGAAACTGCATCACATAATAAGCAATGGAAAGTAAAGTATTTGCAGCTGCAAGTTAAGGTAAAATAAATAAGAAAATGAGTGCAGGAAGTAACTTCTTGGCTGAAAAACCTTAGAAGCAACACATCTTAACAATGATGTGCTGTACTATGTCCAGACCAAACTCCAAATACCTGTCATGATATCCACCCTCCAGTACAGAAAGAATGAAAAGAAAGGTAGATGACTGCAAATCTATAAACACAGAAAAAAAATCAAAATTATCATTATCATCATAGAATTGCAGAGCTGGAAGGGATAAGAGTCCAGCCCTTGATAAGAGTTCAGCCCTTATCAAGAAGGCATAATGGGGAATTGAACTACCAGCCTCTGGCTCCAGCCAGAGATCTAAACCACTGAGCTGTCCAGCAGATTTGTGCATCCCTTCCTGTCTTAATACAAGAGCCTCTCACGTTCATCACTTGCTCCTAATAAAACACTATAGAGCCCATTCAAGAATCCAGTGAAAAGAGATTGTGGGCGTATTGTCAGAACTAATTAAGGAAGACAGTGCAAAGGAAGTAGCAATCAAACAAGCAAATGGTTATAAGTGAAAATGTAAAACAATAAAAAGCATACAATCAGGCATAGAGTATAAATGTTCAAAAATATGCTTGCTTGCTTAGTCAACTAAAACTAGAACAGCGATTAAAGGAAGCGCTGTATACTCTTCTAACAAGGAACATTAATTCATTTTGCGTATAGAGCCAATATATATACAAGTCCACCCACAGACATATCAAAGTGGAACCAGCAGTTGTACAGCCCCTATAAAACAGGAGAAAATGGAAACCCACTTCTTCTCCCCCAACACAGGTGCCTTGGCCTTACCAACCAACACCATAACAGCACACCAGCTATACAACTATATCACAGACCATGCCAGCACCTACCATATGAAGCCATTACGCATGGCCAGGGCAGGAACTAGTTCTGAAGGCAAGAAGGGGACCCCTGGCCCAGAGCAAAATGAGTATGCCCTAGTCTCCATCTGGAACAGGTAAGTGATCTACAGGTTTTTCTAAGGCAGATGTTTCAGCACTAATTATCAGCAGCTGTGAGCAGGAAGAACTATACATACCATGTCTGGTGAACAGTCTTCTCCACCTCTGTTACTCAAAAGCTAATCATGCTTCTTACAGCTCTGGTGTGGCTGTGACAATATTTTATTATGCATTTAATGTTGCTAGGTCCTTCAGAAAGCTTTGCAGGTCTTTCCTGTAGCCTTGCAACCTGAAATTTGACTTTATGGAGTTTTCCCAAGATTAAGTAACCAGGACTAGCCCTTACAAAATGTGTTTTACATGAGTATGAATGGATTATATTTTAAAAGAATGTTACTTCTTTATCAAGAAAGCAGACTGTCAGGAATCCAGGATAGTTGACACAGAGATAATTTTACACAAAAATTAACTGTTCACACTAAGTTTCTGTAGTGTATGATACTTGAACTTTTAAGAGTATTTTCTGTAAATACTACAGTATTACACTTACTTGCCTTTTTGTGTCAGCCTCGGTCCATAGTAAATTTTACCCACTGAATCTTTCACAAAACTTTGCAACCAGCTTAAAAGAACTAAGTTCTACTCTACCACTGCTTCTTGCTACTTCACATGAAAAGTGTAAGGTATTTGCTTTTTAGAGAGAGGTTTTGTGCAGAGGGTATTGTCTTGTTTCACTAACACAGAATTACACTGACCCTTTTGAGAATCCCAGGTGACTTTCAAATTACCTACAACTATTGCTTTCCACTCTTCATAGTTCCCTTCGTCTTCTGTCTTGCGCCTGATTTCTTTATTGCTTCTGCCAGATCACTATCCATATAGGATGCTTTTATCCTTCTCTAAAGAAATCCAGTGCATCCAAGTTCTTTTGCAACAGAGTATGACCCCACTGGTTCCAACACAAGCTAGTTTTGCTTTTCCCTGCTTTAAGTTCTTGAAAGCACCAAGTAGCCTCTTATGCTACTGTTAGCTTTTGGATCTCCCAAGTATTTACCTTTTGCAGTTGCAGTCTAGTCTTGGATAGGACAGAGCCACTGGATTCTTAGCCTCCACTCTTTACAGAACATCCTGCATCTTGCCAGTCTAGCTGAGAAGTATACCCTTTGTGAAAAGATAGTATTTGAGCTCACCTGCACTAAAGCAAGATCTAGCAATTAGTTTAGCTCAAAGTTTGAGCATGAAGGCTTGTTATATGATGGGAGAATCTGAAATGTAGACCCTTTCCCAGCACAAAACATAGTATATATGTACATTTTACTACTATAAACTTTTCTTTTTACAAGTTTGCTGAAATCACCATTATTGCTTCTTCAAACCTGATAAGGAGTTACATGAAAAATGCAAAGCTGGTAATGCCACTTGGGTGGTATTACAGGGTGGGAATGACATTTTTGGAGCACACGTTCCTGGTTTGACATATTGTTATAATGTGGCCTATTAATGGCAAAACCTGCTGCCTTCCTATCTACTGGTTCCCCTCTTTTACCATTATATATGTATGTTTTTGCCCAAACTATACAATTTGACTGTGATGCTGCAAACCCCAAGTAGTTACATATAACTGAAGCACACTACAATTATATAGCAAGGGTGAATCAAACCATGGACAAAACATCAGTTTTGCTGGACACATAGGGAAGCCAACTGCATCCGGAGTAATTTTAGTTCATTAGAACTACCTGTCGTGAAAACAAGCCCAGTCAGGAGCAGTCCATCTGGTGGCCAAAAGGACTGGTACTGCTCTCACCCCTTGATACTGAGTTGCCTACCAAAAAGTCTGTCATACCATTCTCTTTTTACAGCTCAGGTTCTTATAAGGATTCAGAAGGGCTCCGTCACCATGATGAATTTGATGTGTCTATGCTCGTGTGCCACAGTGCTGCGCCCTTTGAGGAACAGAGTGAATCAGAGCGACACATGCTTCGGTAAGAAGAAAAGCAGATCGTTGCAGGCAGGGGCATGCCTGCTTGTGGGAATGGCATGAGATTGCACTGACTTGGTTGTTCCAATATGCAGTGTAGCAAATGAGGAGACTGAGAATGTTCAGAGCTGATAGAGGTGTGTAGGGTACAGGTAGCTGCAGCACAACCATCTCTGCTGCCAATTCACTGGTGTTCTAAGACTGTCTTGAATTAATATTGGTTGTGTTTGATGGGTTATGTGTGAGCATGGTTGTACATTAGAAGGCACGAGGCTACATGAGACAAATCAGTTAGTGGAACAACAACTTTCTCTCCTCACAGATTGCATTTCTATGTCATCATGACAAGCCAACGGGAGCTGTTTCCTCGGCTAACGGCTGACATGCGCCGCTTCAAAAAGCTGCCACGGCTACAGCGAGAGACTCTGGAACCCGTTGTGGGACGGTCGACGTGGGAGACGGCAGAGGGCAGCCGGCAGCGGAGGGAAGTGCCAGAGCCTTGGGTGGAAGTGGAGGACACTGGCGAGTTCTACGCCGGCGGCCCCCAAGTCAAAGTGGGCCCTGGCCTCTTCTACACGTCTCCCTTGTTTCCGCTGTTGGCCTCTGAGGTGGCTGCTGCTCAGAAGCAGCTGAACAACATGGTGCAGCTCGCCAAGTGTCACTGTCGCCGCGACAACCTCTGGAAGCGGCTTTTCCTCCTCGAGCCACTTGCCTCTGACAAACTGAAGTTAGGCAAGCTGTCCCTTGGCGAGCTGGAGGAACTGCTGGCTGCTGTGCACAGGAAATCTATTGCCGACATTGATCCCCAGTTGGTGAGTGGCTGAGCAGGGCAAAGGGTTGGTACACCGGCCTGTGCAAACTCACACAAATGAAATACAGCAGATCTAGTAAGTAGCCTTAGCCTATGAAGGGCCTTGGAGAACTCTGTGTGTGTGTGTGAGAGAGAAGGGCACTCATTTTTTATCAACAGGATTCTTGTTTTCCTAGCCCATATACTGCAAGGATCTCCATCTCCTTAATTTGACCTCTTCCTTTTTTTCCCACCTGAGCAGAGCTGTTTCCTCACCATGACAGTTTCCTGGTATCAAAGTCTTATCAAGGTGCTACTGAATCGTTTCCCACAAAGCTGCCGCCATTTCCAGAATGCTGATGCTGGTACCCAGTATTTGGTAAGTCTTCCAACACACTTATGACCTACTGGAGACTCGCTCTACCAAGGAGCTTGCCATGACTTAATCAAGAATGACCCCAGATTGCCTGATTTGGTCATTTTCCACACTTCTGCTAATTGGGGCCAGCATCCCTTGGCTTTTTGCTGAAAAGACATAATGATATACAACTCTTTTGATGTAGGGATCTTCTCTAACTTAGGGAAATAATATTTCAATCCTTTGTGGTGGGGGGGGGGCTTAGTTAAGAGAGTGCTTGTCTTCCAGTCATCGTCCTCCCATGGCCTTCCTGCCCACCCCCAAGCAAAGGTGTTTGAATCTCTCAGTGAAGACATACCTCTTGTTGCTTTTTGCATGTCACAATAGTGTAATAGTGTAAGGCAGGATAAGGAAATGCTAACAGGCCTGAGAACCAAATTCTTGTCCACAGATTTCACTGTGAACCGTTAACAACCATTTTTTTAAACAAGCAAACAAATTGCCTTAATGAGCCCTTCAATTTCTGTCTCTAGAGTTGGGGGAATAGGTGAGTATTGGATACACCTCCAAAGCCCCTTAGGTCTTTAATAATGGAAACATACCTTTTTCTGTAGGGATGTATTTGTGTAATTTTTCTTCCACTGTTTACCTTTGGGCAGAGGTGGCCTTTGGGGTCCTTGGGAGATGCAGAAGTGGCTCAAGGTTGAGCTTGATATAAGGTCTTCCTTTTTAATATAGCAATCTTCCCCTCTCTGTCTCTCTCTCTCTTTGTAGGTGGTTCTGAACCAGAAATTCACAGACTGCTTTGTTCTTGTATTCCTTGATTCACATTCAGGAAAAACGGTGAGAATCTTTCCTTCTTGAGCCAGCAATTCAAAGAAAGCAGCAGTGGGGCTTCAGTATGACTTCACCAAGCCAGAACCCTTTTGACTACAGTGGGGTCTGATGTCTAGGACTGTCGAGCATGAACATCTTTCCAGTTTCCTATTTTGGGTAGGAAGTTCTACCCCTGAGTGTCTACATTACAATGGTCTGGCCCTGTCATGCTGTTCCCATGGGACTGCAGTGACACAGAGGCAGATCTGTAGTTGTCCCGTTGCAATAATCTTCAGAAAGTCATCTAACAAGAAGCCTGCCAAGTGTGCAGCACTACCTTTATTGCTCAGCAGAAGGCCATGCTATAGAGTGACAATGGGTTCCTTTGTCTTGTGCAACTGCTGATAGTTAATCTTTTCTAACTCAAAATCTTGCTTTGCAGAGCCTCACAGTGGTTTTTCGAGAGCCATTCCCAGTACAACCTCAGAACAGTGAGAGTCCCTTGCCTCAACTTGTGTCCACGTACCACCATCTGGAATCTGTCATTAACACCGCATGCTTCAATCTGTGGACAGGGCTCCTCTAGTACTCGCCAGCTCCTCTCACTTAGGGAGATGCTGCGCAGATCCAGCTACAAAGGTTGGAAGGGACAAAAGAGAAGCCACTGAGGGTGGCAGGTGCACAGTGAGACACTGGGTGATAAGAGGTTACAGCTGTCTGGATAAAAGGGTCAGAACACTTTGCAGGATTCTAATGGAGCTGAATGGCATTCACAAAGGGATCAGGAGGACTGCTCTGGAGCCAGAAGCAGAACATGGCCAGCCCAATGTAAAGGGTTGCTCATGCTTTCCCAAAGAAGCTACCCAAGTGAGGCCTTTGGATGGCTGTGATGCCTTGGTGTTTAGAACTGAAAGACTACTGAGGTTGCTGCTTTGGCCAGGCTTTTTAGAATGACTCACGGGATGAGTTTTAGTGGGGTGGGTATTGCACAACAATGGGAATGTTTTATATAAGTGAATGTACAGTAAATTAAACAAAGTTGATCATTAATTATAAAATAAAACATGTTTTGTCACAAATTTACACCCAAATCAGTTGCATTTGTCTCTGGGGAGAAGCAGGCATGCTTCCTATACATCAGACTTCCTGAATTGCTGGACTACAACTCCCAGAATTCATCAGCAATTCCCTCAACCAGAGTTCTGGGAACTGCAAGTAAGAAATCTTAGGTCCACAGAGGAGTTTTTCATCACTCATACATGGCCCTTGGTAAGACTGCCCACAAACAACCATTTGTCTGTGATGGAGAAGATGGCTGAGAGTGCCTAGGCTCCAGCCATGCCATAAGGGATTATGGGGCTGGTAGTTTTTTTTAGGGGAAGCTACTAAGTTCAGTTATATCATTGAACATCTGCCCAAATTTTATGGAGCAGTAGATTCTTGCCTGCGAAATGGGTGGTGTTCAGGAAAGGTGAATCTAAGTAGATCAAGCCACAGTGTGCTATGAAAGAAAAAGGCAGATAAAAACGAAAAGACTGGATTGCCCCCTGAAATCACAGCAGTCTGATACAGAGCCACTAAGTGGTACTACAGAGCTAGATCTGGAAAGAAAGGCCTTTTGTTTCTTTACGCCAAACTTCCCATTCCTTCATTAGAGGGGAAACAAGAAGGTGTGTCAACGTTATTGTTTAATGTGATAGCCCAATTTTTCACTTCTTTGCAGAGTGAGTCCTTATAATTGCACTGAGAAAAAGAGGGGGCAAACAAATTATAAAAAGTTAGGGAGGGTATGTGTCTCAGAGAAAACTGGGGTCAGGAATGCCTTTTGTCCAAGAACACAGAATGACATAGGAATGCAGCCATTCTGGAGCTCAAAGGAAATAACAATTGAGTAATGTCACTTTAATTAGGGAACAACATCTTACTGTGGACATAGACCCAGAAGCAAACCTAGCACAAGGAACATTTTAGGTGACTTGTCTCTGCCAAAAAACCTGGCTTTTTTTCTGTTGACACACACGCAGTGTTCTTCATCATCAATCCGTCTATACTCTTTATTTCAGTTTCTCTGCTGAGCTTAATCCTTCAGTGTCCACCATGCTGTAGATCATGACTCTCCCAGTATTCATGCAACCAGCTGAGCCCCTTCAGTGTGTCTCCTGTAATGCAAACCACAAACATACTCATCAAGTGAGGACATAAACTGAGCAGCCATCCTGGGCTCCTTAAAGCTACCTTAGCAGGTATTTAGCTACTGCTCAGCTACATGGAAGAACGTGGTTGCTCCTCTCTGGGGTGAATAACACCAGCAAAGAAGAGCTGCTGTTTGTGGTTACATGGATTATCTAAAGCCAACCAGCCACAACAATTAGCTACATGCAACAAGACACTAAGTATGTGCCTTTTAAACACTCCCATTTCCAGAATTCTACAAAAATTTGTCGGACAGAATCCCAGAAGTTCCAGCTCACATACCCTCACTTACAGACACCTTTCTTTTGCTCACCTGCAGGGCCTAGTCCTCTTAAGACTCCGTGGATCTAGACATAACTATGCTTGGCCTTCTAGGCCTTCATTTCCTGTTACAATTCTTCCTAAGAAGAAATTGCTGCAATGCTTCCTGGGTGTGCCAGTTCTTCAGAAGGCACCCTCTATAGGGCAGTGAAACTACCTCACCCAGGAAGCACTGAAGCAGAAAACAAAGGCATAGAAACATTTGACTCTATGGAGCCTCAGAGGAATAGGCGCTGTTCCAAGTGAGTGAAATACAGATATGGGTCTATGAGCTGGAACTCCCAGCATTTTGCCTGGGAATTCTTGGAAATATTTGGCCATTAAAGAGTCCAAAAAAAAGGCACATCCCTACAATGCACTGCCCTGTTCCCTTTCATCTAGAATAAGATAACACTCACCTTCTGGTTTATACTCGCATCCTATATAGCCACAGTAATTCATTGACTCAAGCAGCTGGAATAGATAAGGGAAGTTGAGTTCCCCAGCACTATTGGGCTCGTGTCGTGCCGGTACCTGAGCAATCTGAATGTGTCCTGCAGAGGAAGATAGTAACCATTAGAAAGAAATGTGAGAGTTGGTTTAGGGCACTGCTTTGCTCATACCCATTATGAAATAGCACCATTTCTATGCCACCACTGTATGCTGAAATAGATCCATAATACCAACTTGCAAGGCAACCAGATTACATTTGGTACAGGCAGGAAAGCCAAAACAAGTAAAAAGAACACTTTGCTGCCTTACCAATAATTGGAAAGTATGTCTTCAAATTCTGAGTCAAATTACCATCCATGATCTGGCAGTGGAAAATATCCTGTTGAATAAACAGAAGATACAGCATAGCTAGCTGTTAATCTAAAGGTCAGTAGAGCAGAAAGTTTCATTACACAATTGAGGTACCATCTTGGCTTCCCTCCTGGTCCTTAAGAATAAGGAGCCCTGGGCATCCAGCTATAACCCAAGAAAAGGAAGTGTACAAAATAAGACTCACCAGCTGCAACTTCAGGTTGGGGCTTCCTACCTTCTTTAAAATGGCAGCAGCTAAAAGAATACAGGTTCATGATATCACAACTATTCAGCTGTGATTCCGAAATAAAAGCCCCCTGGCCCCATTCCCACAGATCCAGTGCCCATTCTCCAGCATGGTGGTGGGCATTTCTCATCTATGAAGGGGACATCTCAGGTTTCCTTCGCTTACCTTGCTGTGGGGTACTCAAGAAGTAGCGGGGATCAGTAATCCGACTATTAATAGGCTCCAACAATCCTTCCAAATTTTCCTGTAATACCAGATGAAAATGGGACAATAACTGTTCAAAGCCCAATGGTTTCCAAATGATGGAAAGCTTTGATGTTAGGCAGGATGCCTCTTATATCTGAACTATGGCTGAATAGTCCCCTATTAGTTATTACGACCAATAACATCTTCCTAAAAATAGTTTGCCCTGGCTTGTCAAATACATTGAATACAGCTTCTCTGTGCTGGTCTTCCTCTTCTTTTTGCTAGTTTGTGGTTTGGTGGCTGGAATTTTTACTCCCCTATGGAATCTGATGATCATCGGGCACCTGACTCTCCTCAAGAAGTGGCATGATCTGCTAACTAACCCAGGACCTACCTGAGCCAGGATGTCAGCTGCATATCTGAGGTTCTCCACAAAAGTAGTTTCCATCTCAGTAGATACTGCCTCCTGCTCAGTACCAATGGGCACTCGCCCAGCCATAATGTGGATCCTAGAAGCAGAAAGAAACATTGGGATAAAATAGGGGTAGGTCAGTTAATGCTGGCATGCACTAAGAAGGACAGATGCAGGGCTGATGGTGCCCCTTTGCCCTTGGATCAAGGCTGCTATGATGCAACTGCAGTGAAGGCTGTCTCATGCCCAATTTAATCATGCCTCAAGGAGATGCACTGACCCATGGCATGATCTTCAGCACTGAACAGTCAACACACATCACTGCACAGGGTTTTCAGTGGGGCAGACTACCTACTTCATTCAAGAGTAGCTATCACAACAGCATTTAGAATTTTCTAATCAGACCTAAATAAACTGAGTCATTTTATATGGCCTCACTCAACTTGTCTTAAATTATTATCTTCTCTAAATACACACAGGCCAGGTACGCAAGATCGCTTTAAGCAGATTTACAGCCTCTTGGCATTCTTTGTGTTCCATAGTCATCATACAGAGTCAACTTTCTTCGTGTTCCATAGTCATCATACAGAGTCAACTATGTAAGAATAATTGTCATTTTTTCAACAATTTTTTTCTGTTAATACACTGCCTATGTATTCGTGCCAAGGAGTCTATGGTTCTCCACATGTTGTTGGAATTCAATTCCCATCCACCCTAGCCGGGCCAGCCACTTAATGGTAAAGTATGCTGGAAATAATATTTCATCAGCCTCTGGAGAGCTACAGGTTCCCCAGCCATTACAGATTTTTTTAAAAAAAATGTAACCACCATCTTGAGAGCCCGTATAGTAGATAGAGTGTTGGATTGTGACTTAAGGGAGTTGGGTTCAAATCCTGCACAGTAATAGAAAGTCAATAGATGGTTATAGTAAACCACTCCTTGAACATCTCACATACTTTGGAACTTCTACTAGGGTCACCATAGTTGGGAGACCAACTTGATGGTACCTAATAATAGCCAGTACTTTCACATATAACCAAAGCCAGACTGTTATTAATTAGTGCAGTTCACTGGGGAGTGGTCTTACATATGTGGCAACAAACAGCCATAACACTTTTTTTTGCTTCCTCTGCAGAGAACATAAATAGAGGACTTGCCTAGTGAGACATACAGACTTGGTGTGACTAGGATACTTATGACCCTATCTTAAGCAAATGGTCTTAATATGCAGCAATATGGGTTAAAAGCTCCATCCTGGATGCACATCTTAGTATGGTGAAGGTGTTTGTGTATATCAGAAAATTTGACAGCAATAGCTTTAGGAGGCTAAACTCCATTATGAATCTGGACTCTTGGCATGGTTACATAAAACGGAGAGGTCTAAATAAATCTCTTAGTCTGAGACACCAGACTAAGATGCATTTATCCTCAAAACAAAAACAAAAAAGACAATCTGTTAATAGAGAGGGGTTTTTTGGGGGGGGGTGTTTTTGAGATTACAAATCCCACAATTCTCCATTCCGGGCATTCTACCTGACTTCTTGTTCAGAAAGAAACCTTGCAGGTAGGAATAGAAAGTTTGGACAAAGCTATGCCAACGTGGTGGCGCTGTGGGCTAAACCGCAGAAGCCTGAGCTGCAGGGTCAGAAGACCAGCAGCCGTAAGATTAAATCCATGCGACAGAGTGAGCTCCCGTCGCTTTGTCCCAGCTCCTCGCCAACCTAGCAGTTCGAAAGCATGCAAATGCGAGTAGATAAACAGGTACCACCTTGGCGGGAAGGTAAAACAGCGTTCCCTAGTCACGCTGGCCACGTGACCACGGAAACTGTCTTCAGACAAGTGCTGGCTCTACGGCTTGAAAACAGGATGAGTCGGACACAACTGGACTGAAAATGAACCTTTACCTTTACCTTATGCCAACTAGGCCTCAAAGCCTTCCAGTTTAAGCCTTTGCGCCAAGAGATCCACATTTAAGTGTATGTAAGCTGTGTATGTAAGCTGTCTGTCTTTCTGACAGATATATCTATCTGTCAGACCATAGTAAAAAAATTCTAAAACTCCCATCCCTAATTAAGAGTACTCTTGGTGATGGGGTTGGGAAATTTTTGAAAGATAGCTATTGGGCAGAAACAGTTGTGGAAAGCGGTGTTGGTGGAGGATCTTTCATAAAAAATGGTCATCATCGTTTAGTTGTTCAGTTGTTTCTGACTCTTCATGACCCCATGGACCAGAGCACACCAGGCCCTCCTATCTTCCACTGCCTCCTGGAGTTGTGTCAAATTCATATTGGTTGCTTTGATGACACTGTCCAACCATCTCATCCTCTGTCGTCCCCTTCTCCTCTTCCCTTCACACTTTCCCAACATCAGGGTTTTTCCGGGGAGTCTTCTCTTCTCAGGAGCCTCAGCTTCAGGATCTGTCCTTTCAGTGAGCACTCAGGGTTGATTTCCTTTAGAATGGATAGGTGTGTTCTCCTTGCAGTCCTGTGGACTCTCAAGAGCCTCCTCCAGCACCACAATTCAAAATCATCAATTCTTCGGCAGTCAGCTTTCTTTATGGTCCAGCTCTCCCTTCCATACATCACTACAGGAAAAACCATAGCTATGACTATGTGGACCTTTTTCGGCAAGATGATGCTTTTTAAGATGCTGTCAAGGTTTGTCATCACTTTCCTCCCAAGAAGCAAGCGTCTTTTAAGTTCAAGACTGCTGTCTCCATCTGCAGTGATCATGGAGCCCAAGAAAGTAAAATCTGTCACTGCCTCTATATCTTCCCCTTCTATTTGCCAGGAGGTGATGGGGCCAGTCGTCATGATCCTAGTTTTTTTGATGTTGAGCTTCAGACCATTTTTTGCACTCTCCTCTTTCACCCTCATTACAAGGTTCCTTAATTCTTCCTCACTTTCTGCCATCAGAGTGGTATCATCTGCATATCTGAGGTTGTTGATATTTCTTCCAGCTTGGGATTCCTCCAGTCCAGCCTTTCGCATGATATATTCTGCATATAAGTTAAATAAGCAGGGAGACAATATACAACCTTGTCGTACTCCTTTCCCCAATTTGAACCAATCAGTTGTTCCATATCCAGTTCTAACTGATGCTTCTTGTCCCACGTATAGGTTTCTCAGGAGATAGATAAGGTGGTCAGGCACTCCCATTTCTTTAAGGACTTGCCATAGTTTGCAATGGTCCACACAATCAAAGGCTTTTGCATAGACAATGACAGAGACACTCAAATTAACTGTTGATAATACTGCACAGGGGACAATGATGAACCACTTCTAGGTACTTTATATCTTGGAAAAACCCTAAAATGAGACAGTCCAAAATAAAGTGAGATAGTGCTGGAGAATTAACACTTCCAAAAAAGAAGGCACTCAATCAGCTGCTGAGGAGAAGTACAAATAGCACTGTTCCTAATGAAGGAACCTGATTAAAACCAAAAGGACATCTAGTTGTTGTGCACAAAAGTAAAAGAAAAAACCGAAAGCTGAAAACACACCAGCTATGAACTTTAGTAACAAAAACTGAGCAGAGCTGTTACAGGTAAGGCCTTCTGGAGGTCAATAATACACAGAGGCACTATACATTGGAAATGATTTCATGGCACATAATATAAAGAGGTAAATGTGAGTTCAGGAACTCATAATGACAACTCTCACAGCCACATCTACAGAATTTTTAGTTATTTCTCTCTCTCGGAGCAGAGGTTGCTTTCCTATGATTTATACTTCACAGCTGCTAATACTTCAGTTCAAACTCGGTCATAAAACACAGACATCTAAAACCACCCAGCCACTAACTAACATCTAACTATTTGAACTATTCTAATGAAGATGCAATGGACCCTTGACTTACAGACGGCTTGACTTACAGACTTTTTGAGTTACAGACTTCTCTGGCCGCAAAATTTAGGTTTGACTTGCAGCCTGAGAATTGACTTACAGACCAGAAAAAAACCCAAAATGGAACAAAAACGGCCTGTTACGGGATTAATCGGTTTTCAATTCACTGTAGGTCAATGGAGACTTGACTTACAGACTTTTTGACTTGAGAACCGCCTTCCAATACGGATTAAGTTCTCAAGTCAAGACCCCACTGTACCCTGCCCAGTGGCACTACCCCACTTTTGGGAGCATTTTGACAAGGAAGGCTGGTCCATTTGGTACGTAGAATATCACTTCCCAGAAAAGTTCATGCAGACATCTAACTATTAAGTTTACAAGACATGGTACGGATGCCAGCATCCTAGGCAAACCTGAGATCAAGTACTACTCCTTAATTCCAAAAACACAGGACAGTACTTCTGTAAACTTCTAAAGCACTTCAAGCTTTGACTAAACACTCATCAGCTTTTAATAAAGCATGCAAACAAATCTTGCAGAAAAGTGTTAGCACTGCCATGAAGTAGGATCCCCATCAAAAAGAAGAAGAAAAAGAATGGGCCAAAGTTTCTTTGATAAATATTTCCCTCACTCTCTGACCACCTCCACAAAAATCTACAATCTATAAAGACCTTGCTAGTTCACTCTTTCATCAGGGCAAGGTGATTCTGGTCAGTTACCCCAGAGGTCCAGGAAATGACATCACTCTTAACAGTTCTGAAATGTTATTTATTTTTTATTTTTATTTGAAATTGTATTTATTTTTTTATTTTGTATGAAAAACAATGGAGCTGGCTCTCCAATGTTTTCTCTCCCAACACATATATGTTCATGTGCGTGCATACATCCCATGTACTACCTCATTCTACCCTTCTTCAGTTTATTGCAGGCTAGGTTTGCCATAAGTCAGAACTGACACAACAACACACAATTATTATCTGCCAGCCCAGCTGTTAAGGCTGCTGCTAGTTCAAGAAATGGACAGACACATTAACTTACCATTTGATTCCCTCCTAGGCAGGAGGTTCTTCTTTTCCATGGGTCTTTGAGGAGTACTGCAGCAGCTTATTATACCCCTTACTTCCACTGTGCAGTAGAGAAACGACTGGCCCAAGATCCATCAATAATATAGCAACAAAAGGGAAAGTTATGTTTAGCTATTCCTAATGGAATACAAGCTATAGGCCAGAGATGATATACTATTTTACATCTGACACAAAGTCCATTGTTGGTTCAATAAAATATTTTAAAAATACTACCTTGGACATTTCAAGTCCTTGGCATACTTCACAGCCAAAGTCAGAGCTTCTCGGAATTCAGGTTGGCGGCCAGGCACTGCACCTAAGCCCATGTCACCTTTTTCTTGGTTTCCTGAGAAAAGAGTAGTATGTATTCTCTTGATACATATTTGTGGAGGTGCAGAGAAGGGTTTTTAAAAACAACAGGTTCCTTTGAACTGATGATCTACTCAGAAAAGTGGGGCTAGAAAGTATTGACGCTTACTGTCCAAAAGCCCCTGAGTGCAATATTCTATTTCCTCATGTATTTACGTATTTCATTTCATTTATATCCCACCCTTCTCCCAATTCAGTGATGCAAGATGGCTTCCAAAATAGAATGGGATGACAGATATATAGATTACATATTTAAAATGCTATGGAGCATATAATATTAAAAAGCCATATGTTTTAAAACCATTTCAACATAAAAAAGAGCAAAGAAACAGAAAAAAAAACACATACACACTTTTCAAAATAAAGAGTTTTAAAGAATTAAAGCAGTAGGTCCTGTGAAAAACTCTTTCTGAAGCCTGATTAGTGGCCAAAGGCTTGACTCAAGAGGAGTTTAAATTTAACTACTGCACCTCGTGGTGCGGTGGTTAAACTGCAGCACTACAGCCAAGACTCTGCTCATGACTTGAATTCGATCCTGATGGGCTTAGGTAGCCAGCTCATGGTTGACTCAGCCTTCCACCCTTCTGAGGCTGATACACTGAGTATCCAGTTTGCTGGGGAGACAATGTGTAGCCTGTGCAATTAAACTGTAACTTCCCAGAGAGTGCTTTAAGTCCTGTGGGGTGATACGTAAGCAGCATACTTCGTTTAACTCAAGAGAAAGGCCTTTGTCTGCCAGGAAGGACACGAGGGAGAGGCCAGTCTGACCTGGCCTCCCTCACAAGTTATTTCCTACTGAAAGGCCTTCCCGAATAAAAGGTCTTGTGAGCGAGATTACTGAAAGGCCTTCTCTTAGGTTCTCACTAGACATACCTTTGAGAGTGATGTAACTGACAGAAAGGCTTCCCTAAAAGATCTTAAAACTGGGAAAGGCTTATACTGGGAACGAGAGTCCTTCATGTAGCCAATACCTAAACTGAATAGAGCTTTCTATGTCATAACTAGTACACATGTTGAATTGACCCTTAAAATGCACCAGAAGCAAGAGGAGCTGACACAATAGGAGAGTTACAAGCTTCCTATAAGCAGCCAAGGACAACAATTTGGCTGCAGTAGTTTAGACCTGCCGAAGTTTCTGAACACTCTTCAAAGGAAACCCCATATAAAGTAATTCATGGAGGATCCAATTAAGGCTTGTGTCACCCTGGCCGCATAAGACATTTTGAAGAAGAGATGCAGCTGGCACATTAGCGTTAACTGTACAAATACCCTTCTAGCCACCACTGAAACATAGACATCCAGACTTCCGGATGAATCCAGAACACACTAAGGTCTCAGGAGGAGAGTGTTTCCTTCTTGGAGTTAGACGGAAAAGATGGACAGAGTTGAATGTCGTCATACTGGTGGCCCTGAACCCCAAAACTCCAGGTGACTTCTCCCAGTGATTTTGTGTACACGTTAAATGGTACAGGGAATAGGACTGACCTCTGAGGGACACCAGAGGTCAAAGGCCAGGGCACTGAACAGGAGTTCCCCAACATTATTTTATGAGATTGCTCCTTCAATGTGGACCGTTGTCACTGCAAAACACTGCCTTCAAGTCTTGTCCCACAGAGGTGACCCAGAAGGATACCACATCAAGCCTTCTATAATCAAGCAAAATTAACAGAATCATCCTCTGCCTGTCCAGCTCTGAGCAGAGATCATTCACCAAGGCCACCAAAGAAGTCTCTTTGCCATAACAAGGCTTGAAGTCAGATCAAAACTCCTGGAGCTAAAAAGCATCTATGTGCTCCAATAACTTGTCCAAAAATGGAACAGCAGTCATTAACTAACAATGTGCATTTGGGGAAGGCTTCCCGAATAAAAGGTCTTGTGAGCGAGGAAGGACAAGGAACAGACACCAGTGGTGGCTCTGATCTCTGTGGGGATTCCATCCACAGCATCCAACTGCACAAACGGAAACTTCCATTATCACCAGATCACAGCCACAGTTGCATCCACAGGCAGTGTGTCCACTGGACCATCCCAGTCACAAGAGATTTGAGCAATCTTGTCCACAAGGTGCCCCAAAAATTACCGGAAAGCACAGAAAGGGTTCATCTTCAGCAAGCAAGATAAGGCTTGCCCACCAACAAGATTTGCAACTTAAAATCATTTGGACAGTATTTTGAGAGAAAGAGAGAAGGCCATCCCAGGAGACAGTAATCTTTGATCATCCATATGTTTTGGACTCAAGTTTCTACAGGACCCACCCAGCCAGGATGACCAATAGTAAAGCATTATGTCCTCTTAAAATAGCTGCAGGAACAAACGTTCCTCATCATCACCACCACCAAGTGGAGTCTACTGCACTGCAGGACTCTGAAGGAGCAAACTCTTAAACCCATCAGAGGCTTAGGTAAGAAGGGGGGTCCGGATCAGACCAAAGGTCCTCCTAGTTCCACCGTGTCCTGCCACATGTCAGTGGGAAGCTCCACAAGCAGGCTTCAGGGGAGAGGGGAGATGGGCCACTGACATGGATAGGTATGCAAGGAAAGAGGAAATAAGAGATGTAATCTACACCTGCAGGAACAAACAATAAATGGAGTGATATTTTTATCCGCCCCGGAGGCCACGGTGCTTAACAACAGATTCATAGCGAGGCTGAAAAGAGGTGAAATGTTTTTCTTTGCACGGAGCTGCACGGCTGACCTCTTGCCTTTTCCCCGACAGACGATCCCGCGCAACCCCTCTTCGGAAAAGCAGGCACCCTTTCCGGAGGGGAGGGGCGCTGCTGAGTGGCCACGATCTACGGAGAGGAGGCAGAAGCGAGAGCAGCCCCGGGCACTTCGGGGGAGGGGGGGAGGGAATACCTGGTGGCGTGTTAATCAGAACCAGCTCCAGGCCGGCCCGTTCCGCGGCCGCCCGCAGTTCCGGAGCCGCGCAGCCATAGGGGAAGGGCAGCTCGGCCGCGCGGAAACCAGCCCGCCCGGCCGCTTGCATGCGCCGCGGCAGCGTCGCCTCCTCTTGGAAAAGCCAGCCCAGGTTGGCCGCGAAGCGCAATGGCGGCATGACGGCAGGAAAGCCCCTCTTTCCTACCCCGCCGCGGCGCCCCCGGGCAAAGTCTTCGGCTCACTTCAGGCGGCGCCCTCGGGGAGAGAGGGAAGGAGGGAGGGAGGGGGGAGGAGGAGCTTAGGGGGCCGCGCCTCCGTGCCCGCGACCCCGTGAGACGTCGAGGCGGTCTCAAGACTGCCTTCTCCAGCCTCTTGCGCCCGGAAAGAGCCTCTTTGCACACGGAATGGCCTAGGCGCGTGTATAGAAGGCTGGGCATGTCGCACCCTTGTTTTGGAGTGCTTTGTTGTAGTCTTCCCACAACCGTTCCTCCGTCTCGTGCATTCTGGTGTCTCCAGGAGTCACGTTCTTACCACTGCCCTGCAACGTCTGTATGGGGAAGAGGCCGGGGCGTCATCCAGAGCTGTTTCTCCCAAACCACACACACCAGCTGCTGCTGAGCAACGGGAAAGAACTTCCATTCTGTTGTGTGTAATCCCCTCGGCTCCCCCCCCCCACCGTGTTGGCACCCTCAGGTTCCCTCCTCCTCCTCTATTCTCTGGCCTTGCGTCCCCGCTCTTCACTGTCTGTATCACCCTTTCCTGTGGCCGTGTTTCTGCTGAGCATCGATCCCCACTGATCTTCAGAACCAGCCTTGTCTCCCCCCCCCCACCCCGCGCTGCAATCCGTGAGGTGGCAGGTTTCTTGGATGCTGTTTTCCAAGGCTCGGGCGCCCTTCGCCTAAGGTCCCATTTCTAGGCTAGGTCTTTAATTAACAGCTGCTTGAGTGTCCTAGACTAGAGAGTTATGAACCAGACTCTGCTTTCCTGGTGGGGCAAGAGAGGGCTTTTCTGGGCAGTTACATATCCACTTCATGGAACTGGGTTGTCTTTTCTCCTGGGGGAGGGGGACAGGGGCTATTAACCCAGACACATGTAGGAAGGCTTGCATTAGGGTATTATTACACTGGGTACTAGGCTAAGGGGGAACAGCATTTTCCCCACTCCCTCCTCTCCACCTCTAGGTGTTGCAATCCCCACCATACCTAGCCAGGTATGCCTGATGGCTGAAGATGATGGGATCTGTAATCCGGCAGAGCAGGATGGTAATAAGGTGAGGAAAGCCACCTTCACTTCTCCCTAGTTCAGTTACCTGGCCCAAGGCCAGACTACTACAAGCCTTCCAAGATCAGGTAAGGCTACCGTGCACCCCCAGCAAGAAAGAAACACGTCACTGCAAAATCAGTAGAGACCCACCCAGTTGTTTGCAACCCAACCAGAGCAGGCACCAAAAGGGAAAGTCCCCCTCCCACACTCAAGACTTTCCCCGAATAATTTATTCAGAGTCAAGGACATCTGGGAGGCATGTCTCTGGAGCCTCAACCTAAGGCTTTTTGCTCAGTGCTCTGCAAGATTACACAGCCTCCTAACCATGCACTTTGCAATTCTTAGCTGCTCTGCGGCACTGCTCTGCTTAGTCTCTGCTTTACATTGTGCACACGGCTCCTCTGTGGCCCGATGCATGCTGTTTGTTTGCTTTGAAGTGATGTATAATCTGCGCTGATAATTAAAGAACGTCATTCCAGGGTTAGTATTTATTGATACCAATTTAACTCGCCTCATACATCAAACACCAACCATCCACTGAAATCCCTGGTGAATTTCTACATCCTGGAGACCTTGTTTTCATTACCCACAACTGACAGGAATGACTTTTGGGGCGCTGGCTCTCCTGCTTTGCCTGAGGTTTTCTAATGACCACTTTATTTATTTATTTATTTATTTATTTATTTATTTGTTTGTTTGTTTGTTTATTTATTTATTTATTTGTTTATTTATTTATTTGCTTGCTTGCTTGCTTGCTTGCTTGCTTGCTTGCTTGCTTGCTTGCTTGCTTGCTTTTAGAGCAGAGGCAAAAGCCTGGAGGGCTGGTATTGCAGATAAAATGGGGACTCAGGTCCTCCTTTGATTTCCTTACACAGCATCTTCCGACAAGTCACCCAGAGTCTGAATCAGGACCGCCCCTGCCCTGCAAAAATCTAGGAGTGTATTAAAGACCTAGATTTTTCTAGAGATTTTTCAAGCATTACGGCTTTCTCATTTAGAGTAGTGACATAAGTATTAGGCAAGTCTGATGCAAGTGCCACAGGTAGAGCAGGAAATTAGTGGCACCAACATGGCATGCTGGTCCAAAGATGGAACTACCCTATCCTGTTTAGTTCAACTTTCATATATAGGTAGTACTGATTTGGACTTCTTTTGTTTTATGTTTTGATTATCATTAAAGTTTCATGTCCATGTTATGATACTGTAAGCCACTCAGACTAGTGGCCTGGCCACTCAATGGGTGGGTGTGAGCCAGCTACAGCCGGCTGGGGGGAAGGAGCCAAGTGCCCCCTCAGCAACAGCAGAAGGGTTGTTGGCCTTGAAGGAAACACCTGAGGCAGACAAGGGTGGAGGCCCTGAACCCACCCCCAGAGAAACAGCTGTAGCTGAGGTAGATATAGAGGTGAGTGAGCAAGGAACAGGACATTTGGGAGGACGCCTGGGAGTTTCCATCACCTTTGGAGAAGAGAGAAAATAGTCTGCTGGGGGAGATGCCGAAAGGAGCTTCTAAAAGGCCTGTGTCTCCGGAGGACAGTCGGCACAACTGAAGGCAAGTTGAAAGCTGAAAGAAAGAAGCCCCCGGGGACAGCTGGGGCTCCACAGCCTCCTCTGCTTGCTGGACGCTGTGCTGGGGGACTCCGCTGGCAAAGACTGTTTAACAGCCTGGACTTTTCAGCCAGGACGATCTGCCACAGGAGTGGAATAACTCGCTCAGAGCTGGGGGCAGGGATGGAATATTCTCTCCGCCTTGGAAGGACTGGAATGATAGGAAGCTACCAATTCCATCTTTGCTGCTTGAGGCTAGAGGCCCCATCCTGCAAAGGACTACAGAGACACTCTTTTTCTTACCTTTTCTTTCCTTTGTATGCTGAGTCTAATAAAGCTTAACTGATCACCAGAACTTGCTGCCTCATCACGGATACAGTGGCTGGGGCCACTCACAGTGGGTAAAAATCTAAACAAACAAACAAACTTCCTCTGCTTCCAATTAATTTTGATCCAGGTAGCTAGCAGTCCGCCGCATCCCTCCCAGACATCTTCCTCAGTCAGAAAGATGAGTAGGGTGGAGTATGTAGGGGGTGGGTGGGTGTAATTCTCATATTATCTCCAATAAGTGGTTCTGTGTTATAAGGCTGTTTCCCAGTTGGGTATATTTTCATAAAATAAGGCCAAAAATAGACTGTAGAAATAACCTGCAATTAGAGCTAAAAGCACATTAATAGTGCCAAGAGGTGATGAAGGCAATTTTCATGTGTTTCTCATACAAAAAGTGAAGCCGAGGGTGGATGATACTTTGATTAGACCACTAAAAAAACCGCAGACTTACACTAGCTTTCAAACCCATGCAGATCTTCACTAGGCTGGACACTACAGAGCTATGGCTCAATGTGCAGGCTAGGCTTCTTTGTTTAAAACAACTTTCCAAATGGGGGCTGCAGTTTTGGGTTGGATGTGCAAGTTTCAGATTTCTGGAGTAGTACAGATATCACACACCCATGCACACACCCTTGCCTTCCCAACTTTCCTATATCTGTGAAGTCAGATTTCAAAGGAATCCTATGTTTAACTCCAGAAAACCAACCACCAAACAAAAGATAATCCTAGAAGTAACAGAAGCCTTTGCTTTGACACTCAGATTAGTCGAGAAGTTCCCTCTTCCATTTATAGCTTCCTCTAACAGCTGTTTCTCAACTGGATTCCTCTGTTTTCATCAGAAGGAGACTGAAAGTTTGACTCGTAGCAAGCTAAATGCTATGTTGGATCATCCCCAAAATCCATCTAGTCGAGCATTCTGTTTCGCACACACAGAACTTGGAAAAGTTCTACAACCACCCATGAAAGCAACCAGCCATTGATGTGCCTGGAAGACTACCCAGGCACCAGGATGTATGCATGTGGGTATATGAAAGAAAGTGGGCATATCCCGGCAGGAGGTCAGGGTTTCCCCTTGCCAGATTACGGCTACGTTGGCTGAGTGATTCTGGGAGATGTTGGAAGTGAAAAACCTTCTCTAAGCTCTGGTCTGCTAAATGCTGCCCCAAACCTCCCAAACGGTACAACAGAAAACAACATCTCTTTCATTTTGTTTTTCTCCAGTGAATGGTAGAAGCATGGGATGAAAAGTAGCATTATTTCTGAGTTGTCTATTCCTCTTTCCTTACACTTTCCCAAAAGATATGTGAGAAAAGAACATGAGATTCATGTTCTTCACTCTTTGCTGTAACTAGTTTAGCATCTCTTATCTCTCATTCCTCTGAGTACCCTCTGGAACGTGGATTTGTATAATTGGTCAGGGCACCTGAATTTAAATAATCTCTCTCCCTCCCTCCCTCTCCCCCTCCTTTCTTTATTGCAACTTTCTTATATATACTAGATCCACACATAGTATGGTAGCTTTCCTCACAACTAATTTTTTTATTTTTAAAATTAATATCCCTTCTATCGTAGGGCTTTTTAAGGTTCACTGGGTGAACCAAATAGCATGAGACACGCAATTAAGTGATTTTCCATTCCACAGACACCATTTCACAGTTCTGTACATTCATTTCATACCTCAAGTCATATAAAGCATCACGTTCTGAAATTCCATACACACAACAGTAACTTTCTAAGACTACGGCAAGTGTGGCTTCAAATTAATATTTTGGCTTTTGGTGTGAACATCTCTGTTGTTATTATTGAGCTGACACTCAAAATGGATCTAAGAGAGGGAAGCAGAAGTAGTGAAGTGTGTTCAGTCTTTAACATTTCTCTGTCAGAGGAAAGTTACTTGTAAAGATTGTGGCACAATTGTGTGCTCTGCCTTGTTGTATTAATTAACTATGCAGGGGAGCCTTTATTGCTGTGGCTGATCATCCCTCCTCAGGTCAGCTCATCTCGGGAATAGCTTCCAGTTGGCCCACAGGCTAATTGCCCTCACTTGGATCTTTCCTTCCTTCCCCTTTGCATACCCTTGCTCACCTGCTTCCAGTCCAGTAATCTGAGAAATGGCTGAGTGTAAAAGCCCTATGCTAGTATGAT